GGCGGCTTGTACTACCGCTGATATTGTGCCGAGTACCGAGCGGCGAGCACCGAGTACTCCGTACCTCAGGGTACCTGCTTGTCCAACTTGTTGCTTGAGTCGAGTGTGTTGTACCAGACGAATAAAGAAAATGGCTGGCTTCTGCTGTAGCATTGGCATTGATGAGGATCTGGTTCGATCTTGTTTTCGTTATGTGTCCTTGCTTTCGGCTGCCATCCAAGTTGACATGTTGCGTCAGACGACGCATGTTTTTACCTCCCCAACCAAGTACAATTTCGACGGGAAACCTCGGCTACCTGGGCGCCTAGATATATTTTTTACTTGGTTCTGCTATTGTGCTGCTTGGAGACGTGGGGGAAAAAAATTAAATTAAATTCAACAAAAGCCTCTTCATCAATCATGTCAAGGGGATAGATAATAGATCCTCTCACTAGGAGTCCTGGCTTGTCGCGCCAGCATCAAGCCGAGCCCCCATGTTTCGAATGACCATTCAATAGCTTCAACTTATACAATGATGTCCTCTGTCGCCATCAATATATGTACATAGTAGTCAGTGTAGCACCCAGGCAGCTTGTCAGTCACTCGGTAGCACGCCGCATTCGACTGGCTTTCTATCGTGTCCGTCACAAGACAGACAGACGGCACGCAATGAACCCGCACACGCACAAAACTTGACCTCCGGCTACGCCATTTCCTGAGCGGCAGTATCAGATATGGACGCGGGCTGAATCGATGACCAATGGTGATTTCACCAGGACGAAAATTGACACGCACTTTCCAAACAATGGAAACCCACCGAGGGTTTTGCCCCCATTCTCATAGAAATGAAGCGTCAACATATCCTCACCGAGGTAGAGTGCAGTGGCTTTCGAAAAGCGGCTTAAGGTAGAAACACCAGAAACACCACCTTTGGGAGCGCCTGAGGATGTTAGAATAGAGGAAGGTATTGTTTCAATAGTTGTTGATCCCTCAACCCACAAGTTCAACCCTCTGGTTGGGGGATATTCTCAGTATAAATCCATTTTCAGCCTTTGTATAGTTCTCCACAACATTATCCACTCGTAATCACTCGCTTATTCCAACAGAGGAAACACGCATGCATACGCGTTCACCTAAAGTCACATGGACATACCTCGAATAAACCCAGGCAAGTGACGAGCGTTCAAGATAATACTACATCGGGACTCGGAGTCCACATGTCATTGCGTCGAATTGCGCCGCTTTTGACCTTTTTTGAACACCAAGTGGCCTTGTTTGTGTAACTTCGGGCGGCTTCCTGTCTCAGTTAACTGAGCATGTGAACCAACATCGTCCGACTGGGGCGGAGGTCAGCATTGCCTTCTGGTTTTGCCCCTGTCTCAAATGGCATTTTCTTATCCCGCCCTTCGCGTCGGGAAAGCCTGGTGAATTGGTTCCTGACCTGGTCGGCCGAGATGTCCGTGTGTATGCCGACGAGTCACGACGCTGACCAAGAGGTTGGTTGGCTGGTGCGATGAGCTGCTCGGGTCTGGTGGCTGGACAGCTCCGGGCCGGCATGGACAAGGCAAAAAACATCCTTGGCGACGGAGTTTGCGGGCCCTTGGCCCTGGCTTTGCTCGCTAACGTCTTGTAGTACGGAGTACCTGTACTAATTATACCAGTTAGTACGAAAAGCCATCTCGGTAGCGCTAGCACATACATACTAGTATTCCACGGTCGAGATTCTAGCAGTCTCCAAAAGAACTTTCCGCGTCTCCATCGTGAACGGGCTGCTGCGCGGTCCAGGCGATGCGGGATAAAAAAGAGCCCATTTGAGGGGGCTGGAATGGAGTCAAACGGAGCGAAGCGCAATTGCCTGTTTCACAGCAGTAATCCAGATGAATCTGCGAACGAAACACGCGCAAAGGCGCCCAATGGTATTGAACGAGGAGGCAGCCATGTTGGCTGGCAGTTGAACGAGGATGATGAAAACAGTGTGTGTGGTGTAACGTGCCTCTTGGACGAGACACCTTGACACCTTGATTCATGGCTCAGAATCATGGGCTTACGAGCGGATGTGGCTGAACACAATGATCGAGTGCTATCCCATCGACTTGAGACGCAAGGACCAGCTTGATGGTTCGAATGTGGTATAAAATTGACTGGCTCAACACCCCCTTGCCCTCCTCCATTGATGACGCTATTGCCGACCGTGGGTGGGAACTGTGCTGTTATATAATGAGCGCGGGACGACGGTGAGACCACGTGCCAGAGAACAGGGGGACAAACATAGCATAGAGTCGTGGACCCCTCACCGCAACTCACGACGAGGTTCGGTGACGACGAGGCGAACGGTACTCCCGAGCATATATGTACTGTACTGCTGCTACGTCGGAGACTGGGATCGTAGCATCGAAAGCCCATCATTCTCTTACAAGGCTGCAAGCAGGGTTCGGTTCGTACTCCGTACTCCGTACAAGGACTGCATTGTACATCACAGAGCCAGCAAGCTGCAGCGGCCTTGGGTCGCCATGATCGCTTCATTGTCCATGCCGGGTGGTATTGTAAACATCTCGTTGCAGCAAGTCTCCATCTCCTGTCTTTGCTTCTCAGTCTAGCGTCAGACCTCTTCTTGACATTGGCGGGCAAGTAGAGACAGCCGCTGCAGCTCAGTGTGTCTTATCGTTTTGTTACGTACTTGATTCGTGGAGTGAGTTCAGCCACAAGTTGGACGTCTCGTGGTGCACATGGCACGACCCGGAATGCAGCCGTTCGGTCGTCATTCATAACAATTTCTTTTTCCCCTGTTCGTTTCCACTGCGGCAAGGCATAGCTTCACGCCCAGCCCTGATAATCAGCCGCTCAAAAGGAAGCAGGACACATCGCGGGGAATGAGGCCTTTCACCATTGACAATTGATTATTGATTGGCGATTGACTTAGACAGCTTCCTAGACATGTCCTGGCCCACACTTTGCACATGTGGACGATGAGCTGCTAGCACCCCGATCTATTACACGCGAGGGCGCCCTGAGTCCTGACGAACATGGGGCTTTGCTGGCAGGAATAGAGACTCGACTGATATGCCGAGTGCACCGTTGTGCCATAGGCATATACTAGCCGTCTCCTGACGTGAACCGGGGGTGAATGACCGCCCTACCTAGGTCTGTTGCCCGAACGGTTTGCTTGCCTGGCGGCTCGGTCACCATGATCAATGCCGTTTGAGCGTACAATACTCTGTACGCCGGCATTGATTGACATGTTCGTTGCGTATATTCGGAGGCATGCAACAGGGTTTGCCTTGCGAGCGGTTGAAGTACGGAGTGGCGGCAAGGCTGTGCAGCAACGGCGCATCATCTGCGTGACGGTTGCTCCTGATGCATATAATCTGCACATACAGTTGCTGCGGAACGGAGGAGACGCATGGCGGGTTGGAGATGTCTTTGAACGAGGTGGGTTGATCAACGCCTGGCGTCAACGTCAATACGGTGGTACTGGGTGGCAAGTATAGGCAGCTTGCTCTCCATGGTCACCATGTTGCTTGATGAGAGCTGTTGCTGTATGAGCATCAGGTCATGGCTTACTTCCGAGGCAAACGCTTGACAAAACCCACCGAAATACGGAGTACGTACAACAAAAACAGCCGTCACTGCCAGACTATATTCAACGCAAGGAAGGCCAGGGCCGTGAGTTGTCGAGGCCTCTCCGCAGTAGCAGACGAAACGAAGAGGGAAAAAAAGATTGCACCCGCGGCACTCCATAAATGGACCAATGTCGAACTGGGATAAACCCGGCTCCCACATCGTGGCCGTCAGCTGCTAATCGTGCCCGCCCCACTTTATGTGGTTCGGCTAGCAAAAGCCCTCACCACCAAAGGTGTGGTGAGGGCTTTTGCTAGCCGAACCACATAAAGTGGGGCGGGCACGATTACTGCATGTCGCATTGACCGTGATGAACTGTGTGGGATGGAGGATGGAGCGAGCATGCGATGCGCTGCGTGGCTGCGTGGCTCTCCATGGGCTATCAGGCGTCAGGTCGTGGGACATTGCTCACCCATGACTGATTGAGTGAGTGGGCTCGGGTCCGACGTTGGAAACAGAGACACACCTGTGGCCAATGGCTGGTGGCCAGGCTGGGAACTGGCACAGCATGCTGTAGCACCCGCTGCCAGCGAACCGCCGGCACTGGTGGTGTACAGTACGAATGAAAGCCCTACGCACATTGAAGCCCATGCAAGGCGGGCCCTTTGGCCTAGCAACTTGTCATTCGCATCCACATGCCTGCTGGAGTTGGAGGCTGGTGCTCCGTACGTCTGCGGACTTGAATGTTGTCAATTGAAATTGACCTTCAGGCTCCGACTTATCAGACAGCCAAGATGCGTGCTCTGCTCGAGCCTCGCTGTGCCCGGTCACTGCGCCTCCCACGCGCGTCGAGCAAGGGACGTTTGCTATACAGTGCGTCTTTGGAGCGCGGACCACCTCGTGATTGGGCGGCTGGGCCCTCTGGCCACGCATCTCGTCACGAATCTGGTCATGATGTCCCCCCAAACACCAACGGCTCCATCTGATGGCACCTCGAGACCTGGCTCTCTGGACTGTCGCTGGATCGCCCGCAAGGCTCTCCACTGTGGTGCAGATGCACAGGCGCCATCGCCCTCCGCCATTGGCTGGTTCGTGCGGCCCGGGGCTGGAAGAGCTCACCGCCTCTTCAACCCCCTCCCGGCCTGTCCCTTCCCCATGCCGCTCACATTCCCGACGCTCACGACCGCCTACCACCACCACCACCACCACCCACGACGGGTGCATCTGCTGCCCGTCCTTGTGGAAAACCCACGCACGCGCAGATTCCGCAGTGCCACCTTCACCACGCGGTCTGCTTTGCGTATTCCTTTTGCTCTACGCCCGGCCATTCTTCCCTCGCCCCTACTCCTCCTTGCTCCTTACACCTCCTCTACCAGGGACTTCACGAAAGAGCGGTGTCATCCGCTCGCTTCTACAATATCACCGCCTCTCGCAACCAATCTGTGCCCTCAATTTTCGTCAGCATGACCCTCGACTTCAACACCAATGGCGGGGGGGAGGCCTTGATCAGCCTGACCTTCGATCAGCACCACCGAGAACAAACCGCATATGCATATTCAACGGCGCCGGCTACGCATTCGCACCCGTCAACTGCCTCTGGAATCATGACCAACACGCGACCTTGGGCCTTGCCGCTCGATATGGCCTCCAACAACCCGCAGGCGACCTCAACCGCCTCACCCGAGGATCACCAAGGCAGTTCGCCCTTGTCTCATGCCTCAAGTCCGCACAGCCAGAATTCTCCGTTGCAGCATTCTCCCTTTCAGCCTGCCACCAACCCCTTGACTGATTGGGGCCAGCAACAACAGCAGCAGCAACAGCGTCATCAACAAGCCACGGCGACGCACCAGCAACCTCAGCAGCCCTTGCCCGCCCAAGATCTGGCTCAGTTTATTCAAGATAGTGCTCTCGTGGGCTTTAACGCTTTCCCTCCAAACTTTCAGCCCAATCCTCTGGACTATCTGCCACCCACCACGCAGGCCGCATTACAAGCCAACCTTCTGGAGTCGCCGTTCACATCTATGCCTTCTATAGAAGAAACCGCACATGCCATGCACTGGGGAAGCAGTGGGATGGATAACTGGCACGACTCTCAGAGCACCCTGCAGATGGATGGCTTGCCCCGGTTAGGTAGTGTCGGCAGCAATTCACCAACCGGGACCTATTTAGAAGTCTTGTCCCTTCCCTCATCGGCCGGAGAAGGGTGGGCGATGGTCGACTGGGGTCACCATGGCTTGGACCATTTTCAGCAAGCCCAAAATGCGGCCATTTTCAACCCTAGTCAGACCTTGCACTTGAGAACCAATTCAGACTCGTCGGAGGGTGCCAATTCAATGGAATTCGGTAGCTTTGAGGAAATTGCGGCCTTTCCGTACTCACCCTTCTCACCGGAGTCAGACGGCTATGTTGACCAACACTGCAACCACAACCATTCCAACCATCGTCATTGCTTTGGCGGCGAGCCTCGCAACCACAGCCACGATGCAGTCGTCAGCCCTACCACCGCTGTTGCTCCTATGGCTATTAAGGCTGATTCTTCATCCTCGGTTCGCCACAGCCCCGGAAGTGGCGCCGGCTCTGTATCACCAGCATCTACCATGACTTCCCGTAGGAATTCTGGACCTCGCAAGAGCCCTATAACAAAGAGCACCACTAAAACGATTATTCGTCGATCGTCCAATGGCAAGAGAGACGGCACGGTTGAGAAGAAGGTCGGGCGGAGAAAGGGACCCCTTCTACCAGAGCAGCGAAAGCAAGCCAGCGAAATCAGAAAGTTGAGAGCTTGCCTTCGCTGCAAGTTCCTGAAAAAGACTTGCGACAAGGGTGAGCCTTGTGCTGGATGCCAACCGTCGCATGCTCGACTGTGGCAGGTTCCATGTACGCGTATAGACATCAAGGATATTGGCTACTTCATGAAGGATTGGAAGGCCGACTATGAGAGACATGTCGATCTTGGTATGTCAGTCTACAATGTCAAGGGTTTCTCTTCCAAGGAGACTCTGATGTGGATTACCCATGGATATGGCTTTGCCCTTCCTGTCATGGTTCGCGAAGTCTTCGTCGCTGACGAGACCTGCTTCGCCGTCGAGTGGGTCGAGTCAGCCATTCCCAACCAAGACCCCATCGACTTTGAAACTCGCACGGAGAAGCTCGACGTCGGTGCTGAAGGCATTCGTCTCGATGCCCTGCAGGAGTATCTCGACAAACACGTCGACGGTCCGTTCGAGGACTTTATTGACGACCACTTCGAGGGAACTCCATTCATTACGGAGATTCTCAAGACGGCTCACCGCTACTATGTCAAGGACAGGATGCCCGTCATCAAAAAGGCACTGAAGCTGGTCCTGGCTTACAACCTGACGATGCACATCACCATGGTCGAGAACCAAGGTTCTGAGGTCACCTTGGACGGCCAGATCGATGACGAAGACTCCAAGTTTTATGGCCGCACCGTCGCACCTGTCATGATAAACTTCCAGATAAAGTGTGCCTTGGCGGATATGTGGCGTGAGTTGCAGAAAGATATTCTGGAGGAACTGTCTGCGCTCTACTCGGGCGTGTATAGTGGCGAGAAGATGAAAAACTGGCCGACCATCTTTATGCTGGCCTCTATTCTGCTTGCCGTCTGGGAGGAGATGCAGTTTGACTGCCACTACCGTGTCCCTGACCCCGCGGCCGTGAACAAGTTTTGCCAGGATATGGAGACCACCCCTGTCGGTGTCATCGTGGGCCTCTTCCATGCCATCTCTCAGAAGTTGCCGGCTTTCACCGACTGGGACACCAGACAACACGGTCACCTCCTTCATAATAATATCTCCGTTTGTGAGGCTATGACTGAAGTTCGTCAGCACGTCATCAAGCACGGTAAGTTTGCAGCCATACATGTCTCTGACAAGTATAATGGAATCTTGCAGTTTAAACTAGCTGCTAATGTGCTTTGCTCTACAGAGTCATACCTGCGTACTCGCAAGGAGACCAAGTTTGACCGGTACGACTTTGACTCATTGTCAAATAAGTTTCTGTCTAAGCTGGTCATTCGCGCCAACTAAATACGACAGCAACACTTCAATCCACTTTGTGGTCCACCATCGGCCAGCTGTGGTGGACTGCGTCATTTCCTTTGTCTTTGCTCTTTTTGCCCGTTGACTATGGATATGGCAACATTCAACATCGCTTGCGCTACAGCCAGCGACGGCGTTTTTGACCAAGATATTTCTGAGCGATAAAAGCCATGGGTATTTGAATACCATGAGAGTGAGCAACAACTTTCTTGTTGGGCTCTCGTTTTTTGCCATTTCTAATGTTCGCTTCACGGCTGGTCACCGTATCATGACACGACGTTACCTGATATACGGTGCAAATGTGTTACGACCTTGTAACGAATTCCTCACACGATTGTATGATGTTTATATTCACCATTTTGGACTTTGGGCAGCGATGGTGACGAAAGTTGACAAGGTGAACTTTTTTTGTTGCCGGTTTTTTGTTGCTTTGGATGTTTGATCCACTGGCGCAAAGTTCAGAGAGCCATGCATACGTATTTCTCTGTCGTTATGTTGAGATGATGTTCGGACAGGATGAACGACAACGTGTGGAATTGTGGGAATGTTGCGATAGAGAAGGAGACTGGAGACTACGAAGCCGGGCATACGAGCATCATGTCGAGCCAAGTTGGGAGGCTGGGATGGCAATGCAACCAGCCTTTGTTAGTCCACGTATGCACGGCACGTAGCTTGAGTATACATTGGGACAGTGTCATGCAATCATCGTTCGAGACCGCAACCGACCAGGATGGAACACTGATCAATACTGGGCGAAGTGCAAATGATTCAAGAGTAATTATACTGCGTCATGTAGTTCGGTGTCGGTGTGAGGGTTGGGCATCTGCACATGTTACATGAACAAGGAGGCCCTTTTCCGGTCACAACCAACATGATCCATTGGGGCCAAAGCCAAGCCGGCTGCAAATGCACCAAGGTTGCAAGCCTCGCGATACCCGTAGAGGCCACGAGACGACTACGCCTCAGTCACCCAAGTCAGGTTACACACACGGGAAGCACTGTGTATAAATAGAGCTCGCAGGTCGCGGGGTCCTTGCGTGAACCCCTCAGCGTATGTTGGACATTCGACATCACACGAGATGATTGTCAAATCCCTGGGAGTCTTGGCAACGAGACCTCTACTAGGCCCTTGTGAGCTGTCACAGCGTATGTTGGGATGCAAATACCCGAAGCGCATCGCACATGCCCCTTCCACGGATAGTTAAACGTTTGAGAACGGGGTACGGAGTACGGAGCACGCAGACGGAAGTGTTGACCAGGCTTCACGCGGCACAAGGTTCCCCTTGCGACGACGATGACCATGACGTGGGCGGTCGCAGCTTGAACCGGGCTTGGCTCCTGTAGCCGACGGTGCGCGACGGAGTTTCGACATCGTGCGGAAAGAGGACGAGGACTAGTGAGCTGACGAGATGGCGAGACGGACCACGCGAACTCGGTTGAACTTGCGCAGAGTTTCCATTCCCCGCCTGCCGTGCACGTATAAGAGCCAGCGCGCGACGTCCGAGTGAACCAGTCAGCTACCAGGCGTACTGTAGTTTCTACTATCTTGATGTCCAGGCAGCGAGGAAAACTGATGATGCCGGGCCGGGTGTGCGGTAGATTATTTGACACGTCGCTAGATGAAGCCATCCAGGGTAGTTGATGCGTAACGTTTCAGAGCAAAAACAAAAGAAATGAAAGGGTCATATGCGCAAATACTTGTCAGTTGTGTCACAAACGACCATGGCTGCCAGCAGAGCTCAGAAACCCGTCAAGCTCTTCTCTGGGGTTTTAATGCCGCTAGATGTAGAGGAGTGTGCCTCTATTTTTAGAGAATACAAAACTAAGAGCTAGTATAGATATAGTATATTTAAGTAATATAGAATATATATTCTCTTTAAATCTAAATATAAACATATTCTTTACCTACTTTTATAGAAGTAAATATTTTATTATCTATTTTACGAGTCTTAGTTCTAAGCTTAACTATTAGAGTTAGGTAGGTGTAAATAGAAGAATAAAATAGTTTAGTAGTTACCTATTTAGAGAGCTTATTTTGTGCTTTAACTAGTAGTAAATGTCATGGTCTGAGCTATGCTCGACCTTAATGGAAGCGCAGCAATGGATGCACTGCACTGCAATGCGCGATAGAGGGACAAGCCCGTGCAGGACCTATATAGTGCCAGATTGAGCAAGCTGTGGACAGCTTGTCCACAGCTTGCTCAATACGTACCCTTTTGACTCAACGGTCAGTAGTCAAGGGGGTCCGGCAAACCACCGGGATGACTGCGGCTGGCACCCGCTATAGCCCAATAGGGCTGGTCCATTACAGTAAAGGCTTTATTTTATAGCTCCTAGGCTTATAACCTATTAGAATTATATATGTTATATGCTTATATAGTATGTAAAGTATACTCCGTAGAACACTTAGGTACATATTACAGGCAGTATAAGCCCTAAAGTATACTCCACCATCCGACCCAGCCGATGGAAATCTAACAGTAGACCAATTGTGGTCTTCGCGCTGTATGCAGGCTGTCAGGTTGTAGCTCGGCAACTGAGGCCATATGACGTCTCAGAATGGGACTCTGTTGGGGGTAGATAGTGCGGTTGGCTGTTTATGATGAGCGACCCATAACAAATAACAAGGGCTCTAGGCCGCCTCACGCGATTCCCCCCATTGACCAACCTGCCAAAGACATGCCGCCAGTTTCTTCGTAATTGAAAACTATAAGCTCTTGCCCTATTCACCGCCGCCTTTCTTGAAATCTCAATGGACGAAATCAAAGAGTCGCGCCGTTTAATTCAGGAGGAACAACGTTTACATCAGGAGGAACAACTTTTACGTCGGGAGGAACAACTTTTACGTCGGGAGGAACAACGTTTACTTCGGGAAGAACAACGTTTACTTCGGGAAGAACAACGTTTACTTCGGGATGAACAACATTTACTTCGGGAGGAACAACGTTTACGTCGGGAGGAACAACGTCGACGCGAAGAAGCTGAAGAATTGGCAAAAGCCTCGTTGCCACTGGACCTTCAGCGGTATCTTGAGGCTTGCCATTCGCTTGATCTCTCTATTGACGTCGTAACAGACCTATCTTTGACTACGCAAGGAGAAACCACAAATCCGACCGGTCGCATCTTTCCTAGACGAATCATCCCTTGGGACAGCTTTGCAATGAGACAAGAAGAAATCTGGAACGATCTCTCTATCAGCGACTTACTCCCTAAACCCCCATTTCCATCTTACCATCAGATGGAATATGTCAAGTCATCCCTTCAGCCTATTAGCACTGATTTTGGGCTCCGGTGCTTCGAGCGTGATGTAGTAGAAAACGCGGTTCAGAAGTTGGTCGACCGAGCACACACAGATCCATTGCTACGAAACAGTCTTGGTCTCCAGGGGACAGTGACGTTCAAGATTCAAACGAATCTAGGCACGACTGACGACGCCATATCTGCGCCCATGGAACACATGTCGCTGGGCAGAGATGGCGTCGATGCTGCAGTGCAGGTGACTGCCCCGAAACCGCCGCCGGCTCCCAGGGCTCGTCGCAAAGCGAGAGGCAGGGGAAATCGGGCAGAGCAGTTCTGTATATACAGAACTTCAGACGGCCAAGATGTCCCAACTGTCGCTATCGAGTACAAAGCACCGCACAAGCTAAGTCTTGATGAGATTACCACCGGGCTTGAGGCGGAAATTCAGCCAGAACGTGATGTGATTAACAAGACTGGCCACGGCTTTGCTTTCACGGCCAGACGCCTCGCCGCCGCCGTCATTACGCAGCTCTTCTCTTACATGATCGGCAAAGGCATTCAGTACGGCTATGTATGCACTGGACAGGCATTTATCTTCCTTCACATTCCAGACGATCCTACCAAAGTCTACTTCTCGGTATGTGTGCCAAATTTAGACGTAATGGACGATGATGAGACTAGGCTCCATCGCACGGCTGTCGCGCAGGTTTTTGCCTTCATTCTCCAGTCTCTCCGCGCCAGACCACCGCCTGAGACGTGGCATGATGAGGCTGAGACGCTTGGTATCTGGGCTGTTGAGTACGACGATATTCTAAGGGATATTCCGCCGTCTGAGCGCAAACGCAAGGAACCACGTGCCTCCCCTTATAAGCCACAGCGTTGGAAGGGATTTTGGCGATCACCAATTCGTACTCGATCCAGCTGCCAGCAACTGAACACAAGGCTAGACGACTAGAGAACGATGACGATGACCCTCCTTCTCCTACGCCGAACCTACGCACGGGTGGAAAAGCGTCCTCTTCAGCGGACAAGAGCTTGGGTAATAGGAACCAAGGACAGCGCAGAGGCCAACAGAGAGAGCCAGGTCCAGAGAAAAAACCGGATATAGTTACAAAGCCGGCCATTTTGTACCCAACGTTGTCTCCTGGGACTAGCATATAGAGGACCTATGGACAAAAACTGAGAGAGTTTTTTATTAAGTACTCTACTATTCTTTAGTAGTAATTTAACTCTATATTATATTAGCCTTTAAGTAGTATTTCTAGTTGATTATTATATATTAATAGTATTACACTTATTTTACTCTCTTTATATTTATTACTATCTAAGCTATATAGAGCTTAAGTTTAGTATAGCAACTGCGCTAGCTGTAGCTAGCTGTAAAGCTAAGAAGTAATTTATATATAAAATAAAACTAAGGTAAATCTAAGTATATAAGCTATTATAGCTAAATAATAAATATATATAATAATAGTTATATAATAAACTAGAGCTAGGCTAGTCTATCTTTAAGAAAAAGATAAATATTATACTTTACTAAGAAAGTCTATATCTTTAGTAAGAAAAAATAATAAGAAAGTAAGAAAGTAGATAAATAGTAAAGTAAATATAGAAAAGCTTTAGTATAAAGCTAGAGATAAGTTAGAGTTATTAAAGTATTTTATCTCTATAGAATATAGCACGACCAGCGAATACCTAGTGTTGTATGTCCTCTTTTTTGTCTCCGTAACGATGGCACTAGTTCAGCAGGCGAACGGTGGGCTGTAGATTAACGGTCTGAACACGCACAACCCTTGAGCCTGGCTTGCGTGTTGTTTGTTCAGCCACATCCGTTGCAAGTCGGGCTTGTGTGTTCAGACTGTTGTCTTATCTTATCGCTCCTAGTCCTGCATCGTCATCCGCAGTGTGGCAAGAATAATGGGACGGCAAATCCTTGGCAGTTGGCAGCTCGGCTCAAATGCCCTTCAATTTTTTGCAGTCGCCCCTTCTAGAGCCTTCTAGAGATGCCAGTTCGTCGTCTTCGCGAGAGTTGAGGTGAACCGTCACCTGAGCGAGGTGGCTCAGTGGGGTCCTACCTGGAAAGTGGAGTCACCCTCAGATCTGCACACCTACGGACTACTCCGTAGACCTTCCTCGGGTTATCACCCTGAATGCGAAGGCGGATTGAAATTATGTTCTAGCCAATCACAAGCCTGGTATAAAAACGACGCTTTACTCTACTAGTATTATGATAAACGACGCTCGGCTTCGGCGAGACGTTCGTCTACCTCAATCTCCTGTACTACGTGAGGTAAGAATCCCCTTCCCACAGCGGTAGCGGTCGACGGGGCTCCCAACTTGCCGCCGCCGCCCCTGCTTACGCCTTGTCAGCACCCTCATGCTTCACCGCGAGTACTTCCCCTTCCTGCCGACCCCGGAGTCGGAGCCACGGGGTCCAGTCGACCAGCCCATGCTGGGGGCGCCCGCCCCCGAGGGCTGGTGGGACGACAGCTCCCGACTCCTCTTCGGCGCGGCAGAGCACATCGCCGCCATTCTACACGAGGCCTCCGAGTGTGGCGTGCATCTCATGACGCCCTTTGCCGGGTTCTGCGCATTCTCAGCCGGCTACCTCAACCTCTACGTGGCGAAATACCCCCGAATGAACCTGGGCCGCAGCCCGCGAGCAAGCGACTGTCTCAAAATGTGTCTCGACTACCTGGAAAAGTTTCGACTTGTCTGGAAAATCGCCGACGGATGGGTAAGCCGCCCGCAAGCATGACACGACCGTGGCCACCGTTGCGCTAACATTGAGAGGGCGGCACGCGCAAGATCAAAACGATACACCATGCATCCGTGCTCTACGAGCGAGCAACCGAGGACCGGACACGATACCAGGGGCGCACACGAGCAGACTTTGATACTCTACACCAGTCTGTCCACGAGTTCCGTGTCGTGGATAGATCCGACGCGCATACTCGGGAGATTCGGGGCGCGGAGCGGCCCTCGGCGCAGGCGACTTGGCCGGTTCAAGGGCACGAGCACGAGCACGAGCACGAGCACGAGCTCGACACTAATACCTTGTTGAACCAGCTTTTCGCGGAAGTCAGCAATAACCTCGACGAGCAGGGGGCCTGGTCTCAATGGTGGCCGGCGATTGATCAGGTGGATCTTTAATGAGCTGCGTAATTACATCCGGGGTTTTTTTTTTCGTTGAAGCTTCCAATGAATGAGTGACGACCTTTGATTTTTTTGATTTTTTTTTTAAAAAGGGCTGTAATATCTGGTTTTCTATACATGTCCTATTTTTATTTCCCGGTCTAGAAAAACAGTCAACAGATAATGCACCTCTTCATATGGCTCCCCTCCCGTCACCGCCAACAAATGCATACCTGTCGCGTCAACCATTCGCCGTTTCTCCTTCCAATCACGCCTTTGCAAAGACCTTTCTCGAGTTCATCAGGCGAACAGCAAGCATAAAGAGCATGCCGACAAAAGGCGCCACAACCACGCCAAGAGGACGTTTTTTGAAGCAGCTAAAAAGGCACGTAAATGGCGTCTGGATTCTGTACTAGATCTACTAGAAATTTGGGACGAGAAGGGTGTACATTATAGGCGAAGAGGTTAATAGCGTTATTAGGTTGAAAATTGGCCCGCCTTGGTGTCCGGCCCGCCTTGCTGTCGAGCACCACCTTTGGTGGTGAGGGCTTTTGCTAGCCGAACCACATAAAGTGGGGCGGGCACGATTAGCAGCCTATCATCGCAGCTATAGGTGACGCAGGGCGTGGCGAAAGGGTACCCGCCAGGTATCGCAGAAAAATGGAGACGCTCCAACCAACGCATTCGATTGGCTGCTCTTGCTGATGAATCATGCGCTATCGTCCTTTCCAAGTTCTGAGCGCGTGCATGTTACCTCCTGTACTTGGGGCCTCGCCGCGTTTGCCAAGCGCCTCAAGGCGTACCCGGTCGCTTGGTTGTCACTGCGCCCCGCTCGCTTGTTCCAACTGCCAACTGCCTGCGTTTCGCCTCGACTCCTCTTCCTCAGCCATTTGTCGTCCCGAGCCCGGCCCCTACTTAAACTCCTCTCGCCTTCTGCCACCTTCACCTTGTTTTCTCCCCTCCCCATACTCAGCACTCTTCCCCTCCGCTTTCCATCCCATAACTTTACCTAACGTCGCTCGACGACCGTCCTGCATCTCGCAAATCGACAAACACAGAAACACAGCGATACCCAGACGGACGCAGTCATGCAAATCTTTGTCAAAACTCTCACCGGCAAGACCATCACCCTGGAGGTGGAGTCGTCTGACACCATCGACAATGTCAAGTCCAAGATCCAGGACAAGGAGGGCATCCCGCCTGATCAACAGCGCCTGATTTTCGCTGGCAAGCAGCTCGAGGATGGCCGTACCCTCTCGGATTACAATATCCAGAAGGAGTCCACTCTCCACCTTGTGCTCCGCCTTCGCGGTGGCATGCAGATTTGTAAGTCTTTGCTTGTCAGGCTCGCAAGATGTCCCCAACGGCAGTCACTGACCAGTTGATGCAGTCGTCAAGACGCTCACCGGCAAGACCATCACCCTCGAGGTGGAGTCATCTGACACCATCGACAATGTCAAGTCTAAGATCCAGGACAAGGAAGGCATTCCTCCTGACCAACAGCGCCTGATTTTCGCTGGTAAGCAGCTCGAGGACGGCCGCACATTATCTGATTACAACATTCAGAAGGAGTCCACTCTCCATCTTGTCCTGCGACTTCGTGGTGGCATGCAGATCTTTGTCAAGACCTTGACTGGGAAAACGATCACATTGGAAGTCGAGTCCTCAGACACGATTGACAACGTCAAGTCTAAGATTCAGGATAAGGAAGGCATCCCTCCCGACCAGCAGCGTCTTATTTTCGCTGGCAAGCAACTCGAGGACGGCCGAACCCTGAGCGACTACAACATCCAGAAGGAGTCTACCTTGCACTTGGTCCTCCGACTTCGTGGCGGTATGCAAATCTTCGTCAAGACACTCACTGGAAAGACCATTACCTTGGAAGTAGAATCCAGCGATACGATTGACAATGTCAAGTCAAAGATTCAAGACAAGGAAGGCATCCCTCCTGATCAACAGCGTCTTATCTTTGCTGGCAAGCAGCTAGAAGACGGTCGCACCCTTAGCGACTACAACATTCAGAAGGAGAGCACCTTGCATCTCGTTCTTCGTCTTCGCGGCGGCCAGTAACGGATTCGATGAGGTTTTGATATTGGTTTGATGGGTTGCTTCTGAATGGAAGCGGTATAAGGCGTTTTGTGGTTTAATGGCACTGGCAACCGGGCTTATTCACTTTATACCTTAGCTAGGCATCTGATCATCTGCGTGGGTCAAGTAGACACGCCGAATACAACTCATTTTTACACTCAACCTGTCGAGGCGTCTTCCGCGCCATTTCGGACGTAAAAGGCACGCTTAAAAGTCGGACCTGATTTAGGCACATGGCCTGTGCTCGGTGACGATGTGAACTCGCCTAGACACGTACGTCGCACTAGTCTCAAAGCGTTGGTCTGTGGAGGCCAGATTGTTGGGATAAAAATATGGGGCAACTTCACAAGTCCAAACCTACAAGCCAGCATCTGTATTTCAAAGACAAAAATACTCCGTACCCCAGACGGAGTTCTGTCACCCCTCAAGCATCCTCCCCTCGCTTCAACCTCCTCTCACTGTTGCCCACGCATATTTACCCTACCACGGAGCAATGAATTCCAAGAAGTCGAGACTGGAAATACAGAGGTTACCGGGACTGTCCCTACCACCTTGATACATATCACCACCCGATCTTCCCCATCCACTCTGAGCTTTTTTTTATCTTGGAGTATTCAGTGTTCAACTCGAAGGCTGTCCATGTTCAGTTCTTAATCGCATACACCAGCCGGTACTTTAGGCCATGACTTCTTATTTTTATCACCTCAAATTTGAACTGTACCCTACACCGGATCCGACAGGTACAAGTTGTCAACGAGCTCGGCAAGCCCGTCTCTGGGTGCCGTCGCCCGCCACGGACGTCTTTGACGACTTACCTTTGCATCCACACCCAGCTCGACCTGTGACTGGTGTTTTACCGTCGTACCAGAATTCGCACAGCTTCTCTGCGGGCGAATCTTCCTCTTCCTTGGCGTCGACTTCCCCCGACAGCCTTCCCGACAGTGTGATCGACTGCGGCGGGTCTCGTGCCCCCGTTCGCCGCTCCCACAGACGACTTGAAATCATATCGGAGAGACAGTGGCTTGAGAGGGTGAATAGTGATCCTCCCCCGCCGTCTAGTGCTGCCTTGCACCCCCAGACTGCCGTTCGGGACTGGCGCTTTGGCCGAGTGAATATCGAAACCATCGACCCAGCTGCCGCTGGAGCTGCCGTAGGCATGGCAGGAGAATCGAGTCGGGCCGGCCCGTCTGCGGCGCCAGCCCTTGGACCGTCATATGGAGGAGAGGGAACAGCTACAAAAGCCAGTTTCATACCGTGCGAAACGAAGAATACCGAGCTTGGATGGGGCGTCGTCCACTTTTATCGAGAGCCCGATGAAACTACTGCATTTGGCGGTCCTCAGCAAGAACAAGAGGCGGCGTCTCCCTTGGAAGGTTGCACTACCTTGTGCATACCTGCCGTACCAGTGTACATGTCGCCCAGCGACCTGTTGGGTTTCGTGGGCGAGCGATGGCTCGAAGATATAAGCCACTGCCGAATGGTAATGACATCAAGTATGAATAGGTATTTGGTTTTGTTGAAGTTCAGGGATAGCAGGTCTGCGAAGAACTGGAAGCGGGAGTTTGACGGCAAGGTTTTCAACCCGGTAGAGGTATGTTTGCTGTATACCTTTTCCTTCGTGACATTCAGCGTGGCGTTCGAACAAGTATGCTGACTGGTGATTTTAGCCGCAACCGTGCCATGTTGTATTTGTAAAATCTATCACATTCGACACACCAAAGTTGCCACAACGAGCCGATTACTCCAAGGCTCAACCGTCGTCTTCTGCTGTCTCTAGCAGCCTCAAGCCGTTCCCGCCGCCGACGCCGAATCTGATCGAGCTACCTACCTGTCCCGTTTGTCTGGAGAGAATGGATGAGACAAGTGGGTTGCTGACGATTCCGTGCTCCCACATTTTTCACTGCAACTGCTTGCAAAGTTGGAAGGGATCAGGTTGTCCCGTCTGTCGGTTCACGAATGCATCGGGCCTGGAAGGCACCTCCAACAGCCCGGACAACCCGTACTCACAGCCATTTGGATCGTCAGTATCGAATCTATGCACAGTATGCGACTGCACAGATGATCTGTGGATCTGTCTTATATGTGGCTACCTAGGCTGTGGACGATATAAAGGCGGCCACGCAAAGGACCACTGGAAGGAGACGGCGCACAGCTTTGCCCTAGAACTAGAGACGCAACACGTATGGGATTACGCTGGTGATGTATGGGTCCACCGACTTATCCGTGACAAAGGCGACGGCAAGGTGGTAGAATTGCCCAACAGAAGTAACCAGAGTGGGCGTTCTCTGGATGAGGATGTCGTGCCTCGAGCGAAACTCGACAGCATTGGCCTCGAATACACGCAACTCATCACGAGCCAGCTCGAGTCCCAACGAACGTATTACGAAGAAATGCTCAGTAAAGCCGTCGACAAGGCTGCCAAGGCTGCCGCCGCCGCCGAGTCCATGGCCCTGCAGTCATCCGCGGCGACGGAGAAACTCGAAGAGCTCGAGGATAAGTTCAAATCTCTGACTATGGATACCATTCCGCAACTAGAGAGGGATTTGGAGCGTGAGAGGAACAAAGCCTCCAAAAGCGACACGCTCGCTCGGAACATGAGCAAGTCGCTCCAAGAGGAAAAGCGCGTCAACGAGGGCCTCTTGAAGAGGATCGAGCATCTGGGCCGTGAAAATGACAAAGTGACGAGGCAGCTGGCGGAGACGAAGAAGGAGGTGGACGAATTGAAGGAGATGAACAGGGATTTGAGCATGTTTATTTCAGGACAGGAGAGACTCAAGGAATTGGAGAATGAGGGCAAGCTTGAGGAGGGTGAGCTGCAAGGGGGCAGTGCCAGCGTGCCAGAGAAAAAGGGGAGGAGAAAGCGGTGATTTCGGGACGGCGGAGCGCACCATTGCCGCTGTCATAGTAATGATAAGAGGTCCCCGTTATGTCAGACCTCTACCAGCCAGAATTTTCACGACCCGCCAGCGACTAAGCGGATGAGCCACTTGATGATTGGGTATCTGCAATTGCGAGAATCTATCTGTTTATCGGTGACTTGACATTGACGCATGCATACTATGAACGGCGAGGAGAGATGACGTCATAGAGATGAAAGAAGGGTCTTCAGCAACTTTTGTGAATGCTGTGAGGTTGGTCTGCGGAGCCCCTGAAATGCAACAAAGCCGCCGCGAAGGAGATTGAAAGGATCTTTTTCCTTTTCTGTTTCCACGTCTCCCTGGAGCTTCAATTGACACGTGCTTGCGAGACGGGCTGTTCTCTTGAACCGCACGTGCCGTGCCGGGCGTCATCACAGGCTGTCGAAACCGCCGAGCTGCAAGGCAAACAAGCAACCAAGGCGAGGCCAACGGGGCTGGTTCAGATGTTGGCGATGGGGAAGCATCTCCGAAAGCACCCGCCCGCCGTCTTTGCGGGGGCAGCCACATCCGTCACGGCCGGTCTCTTTCCTTTTTTTTTTTTCCCCGCGGGGAGGGGAGGGAGATGCTGGTGGAACGAGGTCCGAGGCTTACACGGAGTACGGCTTGCGGCGATGTTGAGATGGCGTTCAGGGGGAATACGAACCGGAGTTGGGTCTGTCGGTTGAGCGGCCTGCGTTATCGTGGCGGTCTTTGAGGACGATTTCTTGCCCCCACTAGCCCCAGTCCCGTCTTGTGCGAGGTTGCATGTTCTGTCAAAGTGGCGTGGCGAGACGGGTTGATAGGGCCGAGGAGGCCATTTGTATCTGTCGATGGCGACGTCGCAGGGCAGGAGCCCAGACGGCGGTTGGGATAACGGTTGGACGTGCTGGTGGTTGTCGAGGTTTCGATTGAGCAACGTCTGAGGCTGCAAAGTCCAGACAGAGAGAGTACTTAAGTACCTAGGTAAGTACCTAGGTACCTAAGTGCCTCGGGAACCTGGAAGTACTCCGCATTTATTCGCTATCAAACGCCGCGTTTTAGTCTGTGCGTAGCCGTCAAAGTACTTAAGTACTTAAAGTAGTACGGAGTACTGATTAATTTGAGGACGGTAGCCAGACTGACTGACGTCTGCATCGTCTGACGAGCTGTGCCGCCCCGGCGCCCCTCTTTGGGCCCCAACCCCTCCCCTCCTCAGTGGCTGCTGATGATCTAGCCACCTTTGGCCGTTGCGCCAGGTCGACTGGCAGCTACTCGAGTACTTAAGTACCTAGGCACTTAGACGTACCGTACCCAGGAAGGTACCCGGATACCCGGCCGGGGCAGGGAGGAGCTCCGGCTGAACTACAGCACCAAACCAAGTCGTTCCAAATTCCAACCCTCACGCTGCAGCCGACATCATCTCAATCTACGCCCCAATCTCCTCCTCCACCTCGCGCCCGCTCTTCTACTTCCCCTTCGGACGGGCATTTGTCCCGACTTTGCGCTTGACCACCACGCCGTCTGTGTGTTGGTTGTGTCGTGACCATTGACGGCCCGCGACGCGCAGCGCAATCAGACGTTGCATGAAGATTCGACGACACCACCGCGTTGCAGCCTCGCGCCATGGCCCCAAATACAGAAAAGGATGGCCAGCGGGCTGAGGACAATGCGACTCCCGTAAGGGAGCTATATCCCATGGTGAGCTGGAAGTATGACCTGTTCCTGTACATGATGGGCAACTTGGTCGACCTGTTCTTCCGTGAGGTCGTGCCACGAGGATCATGGAGAGTCCCTCAATCCGGTCCGGTACTATTCGTCGCCGCACCACACGCGAATCAGGTCAGTCGGTACAGCTTCAGTTCCTGCACCAATCCGCTTGCTTCACAACACTGCAAACCTGCCGATGTGTTCCTGGATACTTCAAAAACTGACACATGATTGCTTGCTATCCTGCAGTTTGTCGATGGGCTGGTGCTTCTGCGAACTCTTAAACAACAGGCCGGCCGTCGAGTGTCTCTTCTCATTGCCCAGAAATCAGTCCACGGCTTCATCGGTTGGGCCTCTCGACAGGCCGGCGCTGTGCCCGTCGGTCGTGCGCAAGATGCGACAAAGTCTGTCCCGGGTACCATCTACCTCCCCGATCCCATCCACGATCCCACACTTGTTCGTGGCGTTGGCACAAACTTTGGTACTGGCGACGGGCAGACCCACGGCATGATCTTCTTGCCGCCGGGGAAGAACACTGCCTCTGTGAGCAGCGATATTGCCCAGATCCTGGGCCCTGAGCAAGTCAGACTCAAGAGACCATTCAAGGGAAAGCTCGCCATGCAGCAATTGACCGGTCGTGACGACATTGACGAGGACGGCAAGTTTACAAACAAGAGTGTAAAGGGCCCCGCACCAGGATATCAAGGCACAGCTTTCAAGGCGGCACCCAACATTGACCAGACAAACGTTTACGAAGCCGTCTTTTCACGACTGAGACATGGCGGCTGTGTGGGCATTTTCCCTGAAGGCGGTAGTCACGACCGCACAGAGCTTCTCCCTCTCAAGGCTGGCGTCGCCATTATGGCGCTTGGCACGCTGGCCGAGGCGCCAAACTGCGGACTCAAGATCGTCCCTGTGGGCATGAATTACTTCCACGCCCACAAGTTCAGAAGCAGAGCCGTTGTCGAGTTCGGCACACCTTTTGAGATTCCTCCACATTTGGTGGAACTCTACCGCAACAACCAGCGGAGAGAGGCCATCGGTCAGGTAATTGATACTGTGTACCAGGCCCTGAGTGCCGTAACCGTGTCTGCGCCAGACTACGATACACTCATGGTCATCCAAGCAGCTAGGAGACTGTATAATCCTACCGGAAGGAAGCTGCCTCTTCCAGTCGTTGTGGAACTCAACAGACGGCTTGCGATGGGCTATGAGCGCTACAAGAACGATGCACGCATCGCATCTCTATCAGCGTCGGTCAAGAACTACAATTCGCAACTTCGCTATCTCAGCCTCAAGGACCATCAGGTCCAATACGCGAAAATGTCCATCTTCAAAGTCCTGTTCCTCCTTGTGTACCGCTCGATCAAGCTCTTGCTCCTGTTCTTCTGTACCGTTCCAGGCTTACTCCTATTTGCCCCCGTCTTCGTAGCGACCAAGATTATCAGCATCCAAAAGGCAAACACGGCACTGGCAGGCTCAACTGTCAAGGTCCGAGGCCGTGATGTAATGGCCACCTGGAAAATCCTCGTGGCCATGGGTCTGGCTCCTACCCTCTATCACTTCTACTCCATCATAATCGTATTCAAGGTCTGGCAAGACAGGTTCTGGGGCTACGTTCCTACGTGGGTGCCTTTATGGCTGGCATACGTTGGCATATGGCCAGCCATGATTGGTCTCACCTTCGCGGCCTTGCGATTCGGCGAGGTTGGCATGGACATTTTCAAGTCGCTCCGTCCCCTGATCTTGTGTTTGGTGCCCAGTTCCGACTTCAACATCCACACGCTGCGACTTCGACGGGCAGAGTTGAGCGCCCAGGTGACGGATCTGATCAACACCCTAGGCCCTGAAATGTTTCCCGACTTTGACAGGACTCGCCTTGTGCCGGACGTATCCAAGCTGGAGAGCGGCGGTGCCACTCCCGAGCGAGCCCACAAGCGCAAAGACAGCGACCAGTCCAACACGAGCGCCGACGCGGAAACGCCTCCAGTGCTTTCTCGCCGCAGCACGACGCAGTCTAGTCGCGCCCTCCCGCGGAACGACTCCTTCAGCAACATTGGTGCCGTTGGCATCTTCTCCACTCGCCCGCCATCCCGATCGAGAAGCAGGTCACGGCCCAGCAGTGCCGGAGGCGGCTTTGGCTCGGGCGGCTTTCCCATCAGCGGCTTCACCACTCTGGATTCTGCCGAGGGATTCAACGAGGCCACCCGAAAGATTCGACAGGCGATGAAGGATCGCAGGAGGAAGTCGGACAAGCTGCATGCAGCCGATGATGACGATGACGAGGATAGCGAAGAGGAGGGATACGATGAAGCGAGGAAGAAGAATATTTAACAAATTAGATGTGAATGGCAAAAAAAGGTTGCAGTTTAGACTTTTCCTCTGCCGAAACCGCCGAATTTAAAAAAAAAAAAAAGGCACGTGGCCCGAGTCGGACAAGGATGGATACGTTTCAAATACTTGTATACTGGGAGAGTACTTTCTTGATTTGTTGCAGGAGTCCTCTTCGGGTCAATCAACACATCGAATGAGTCATGATGTTTTTCGATATGGGCTTTGGCCAATTCTTGACGGTGCGAGGAATCTGGGAGTTGTAACTACGGTGAATGACGACGCTCAACTGCTTCCATCACGACTTGCGCCAGTGTTTGTAGCCGAGTTGGGCCGTGACAAGCGTTTTGAGGGGTCAGTCGAACGGCTACGAACAGCGTAGTGGTTGGATCTAATGACGAAGCCAAAACACACCCTTGGCCTGATGAATTCTGGCGGCCTCCACACCTTGTCGCTTGCAAGGTCGATCTTGATCTTGGATACATGCTGGCATAGGCGGACAGATGGGGCTTGAACGGCCAATGATGGATTCCAGGTCGGTGCTGCCTGCGAGCAAGGGAAGATGCAGTACGGATACGGGGGATGCATTCATATTGTGCCGTCACACGGAATGCAAGGCGCAGGGTTCAGGTGGCCGGAGCGGGGTGGCGATGGATGAGGGACGGATCTGATAAAGCGACAAAGCGAGGCTCGGCGATACGCGGCTTTTTCGAAGCAGCACAGACACACGGGGCCAAAACTCGCGCGGAGAGTGGAGCGGGAAGAAGCCGGGCTGTGGCAGAAAGGACACATGACTGCAGCACGAGGCAGGCGGTAGGCGATTCTCGGATCTGATAACGGAATCCGGAGCGCAGCTGGCTGGCACTTTCCTCGATTGTCCACTCGAGCTGGTTTGACCCCACGACGACTGAAAAGGCTGCCGTCACTGGCTGGTCATTCCAAACCCCACCATCCACCGTTCCCATCCCACGTCGTCCCGACGTCGAATTTTCCAACCATCGATGCATTACTACTCCCTGCCCGGCGAAACCCAATCCTATTGGGACGGGAGTTGCCAGGCTCTTGTGCCCGAGGGCCACAGCCCCTTTGGCTCGCCAAATCGGCGGCCGCGATCTTCGACAAGGAACCCTTCGGCCCGGCCTTTGTTTTTTGCTTTGATCCCCCTCCCCAAAAGCAAATCCGAAGCGGCCCATGCTATCCTCCAAACTTCTCCGTATAAACCCCTGGGCTACCTTTTTCGCTACTTTTTCTTTTTCTCCCTCCCATGTCACCCCATCTCTCGCCCTGCCGCGCATGCCCGTTAAGCAGAAAATGGCCGTCTCGCTCAAATCACTCATGTCGTCTGTCCTTGGGGGCGGCAAGACACCCACGCCTGCCTACAACCAGCTGTTCGAAAAAACGGACCCAGACAAGGACGGGGAGGAGTGCTTGCACGACTGTGATAGTTGCACGATACGGTATCCGAGGGGGTTCAAGGTTGATGAGGAGGATGTGCTGTATGGGCAGGTCAAGGGGTGGAGTACACATGTGTTGGTGGGTACGGGGAAGACGGACTGGGTCAGAGATGTGGGAGATGAGAAGGGGAGTGTCATGGAGGCCATTAGCAAAGCGGAAGGCCCAAGTAATGGGGTGAGTAATTACTTGTATCTCTGCCGTTGCGGTGGTGCCAGAGTTCAACACGCCCAAGCCATGGACGTTGAGGCCCCAGACGTTGTCCTCACTCTGAGATGGGGAACCATCTCATATTCACGACACCGTTCTTGGAGACAGCCACGGCTGACGCTTCTTGCAGAGACTCATGCTTTCGGCATCAAATATGCCCACGCCAGACGACACAAGCGACTACTCGCAACCCACGACTGTTCTCCTACTCCCTGCCTTCACCCTCGTGGAGAACGTCCACCCAACCAACGTCACCACTCTCATCACTGAAGTCATCAACAAGGCGCCGACAACCGTGTCGCCGCTCACACCCCCTTTCTTCCCGCGGTCTCTGCCCAGTCTAGATACCCACGTTCCCGTCCTAGGAACAAGAGCCTGTCCTCATAGCGCCGTCATTCTGATGTGCAGCCACAAGACACGAGATGCCCGATGTGGCCAAAGCGCGCCGCTACTAAGGAAAGAGTTTGAACGTCATTTGAGACCCCTGGGGCTGTATCGTGATCTTCACGACGAGAGACCGGGCGGCGTCGGCATCTACTTCATCAACCATGTCGGCGGACACAAGTATTCTGCCAACGTCATGATTTACCGGAGACCGAATGCTTTTGGACAAGATGACGTTGGAGAGACAAGGGCACATTCGCATCCAAGCGGGGTAAATGGAAGCTCCAACGGTACCAATGGCCTCTCGAATGGCGATGATGGCAGGCCCGATGTTGGTGCCGCGCAGGGCATCTGGTTAGCGAGAGTAAAACCCGAGGACTGTGAGAATCTGATTAGATATACTGTTCTGAAGGGAAAGCTGGTCAAACCGGAGAGTCAACTACGGGGTGGTTTTGACAGAGTCAAGGGCCTGACGAGTTGGTAATGGGGGGGAAAAAAGCAAAACGGGACGTGGCACCATCAAGACAAAATACTACAAGGCGGCGGCGGCGGAGAAGCTGATTCGAGACAGCGTGTGGGAACAAAACGTCGCGATAGATACCAAGACAGCGTTGCACGGGAGCGCCATATAATTCCTACAAAGGTTTACATGCGACGCTGACACTAACTATACTACGATTCCGCGGGACAACCAACATCTCAGAACTGGCGGCCCACAGATCATATACAAGGTCCGTCCACCTTTGATGTCTGAAACAAGGTCAACATTCAGGTTATTCCTGCTAACCAAGTCGGCAGATGTGCGAGCGGCTCATGGAAAAGAGGTTACGGAGCGGCGCCATCAGACGGGCGGATCATCTACGGTCCAAGGCTCTTGTCCAACCTCAGACGTTGGACATTGAGTGGATAAGTCTCTCTCTCTTTTCTGCGAAGGCTAGATTTCTCGTTGGTTATAAAACTCACACCCTCGGCCGAGCAGCTTGGCAGGTTGAGCGTCCGATTACGAAGGCATCATTACAGTACTCTTATCCTGTAATCAGAGGGCGCACAGGTGCGAACACTGTCTCGATTACTTTTTTTGGGGGGTGGGAGGGCACCCATACGCTTCAAATTTAGAAGTACAATGTGCGGCATAGTCGGAATTTCACCAATCCTGCACAAGGACGATTTAATTTCCCCTCTTCATACTGCATACGGCAGCGGAAGTTGCAAGATTCAGGGACGTGGCGAGCAGGCAGCACGGCAGACTTTTTCACTGGAGTATGTGAGAATTGGAACAGATGAACAAGACGACTGTATTGACTGAATCTGCAAGCAAGAGAAGGAAGAGATGGAGATGGAGAGGCAAAACAAGACAAGACAGGACAGGACAAAAACAGGCCCATCTTCATTGTGGGAGTGCACAGAAAGAATTTCCCTGGTAGTTGTTGTCCCACGGCCAATTCTCATCATTTTTTGAGTTTAAGCACGCGTTAGCCACGAGCTGCGCGATGTCTTGTTGTTCATTCATGGGGAAGGGAGCAGTCAGAAGCTCCAAGTCCGCCGGCTCAGCCGGCTCAGCCTGCGGGTTTTGCAATATCGTGCGGCAGCGTTGCAGCAACTGGGACACTGCGTCCAAGGTTCCGTCGTAGCCGTCTCTGCGAACGGTTTGCTGCGGCTGGGCCGTGGCCAGAGTCAGAGAAAAGCTGACAGGGCAGTCCTTGAGGCGTGCACGAGTTGCGTCTACACAGTCCAGCAAGGCCTGAACGTCCCGGGCGGCTTTGACGTGTAGGTCGTTGACCCTTTTGGCTGACCTGTCCTGGATTTTTCTGCCTTGCTCCTCATGCTCTCGTTTCAGCTGGTCGAGCTCTTCATCCGGCTCCGGCTCCGGATAGGCATGACGGCCAGACGCAGACGACGCGCGAGAAGGCTGAGGCGTGGGGGGATCCGCGGCCTGGCTCCCCTCGTAGTTCATTTCGTCTTCAGATGCGGTTGATGCCGACTCGTACAAAGGCAGCTGGGGCATGTTCAGCGGTGTCTTCTGTGTGGCCTGACTGGAGGGGTAAAAGGGAGTCGGAGGTGCTTGCGACATTTTGCGCAAGGCAAAACGTTGGTTTGTTGTCGAGGGCGAAAAGGAGCCGGGAGACAAGTTTGCAGCGGATAGCGTTAGGGAGAAGAGAGAGACGCTTAGCGAGGAGAGGCAAGCGCATCTCGAACTCGACTTCGGGGCGCAAGGCCACATATATACGCATCCATGGCAGACCAACAACGAGAGAAGACCACCAGTGCACGTTTCCCATGTTGGCGCTTGGGTGGGGGGAAAACATGAAGTATCACAAGTGTTCTATCAGGGGAGTCGGGGAGGGGGCCGTGGAGTTTGGCGAATCTCTTCCCGAACAGACGGCAAACGGGACTGGAAGAGACGCAGAGGAAGCGCACAGGAAGCCTTGTTGCCATTGTGCCAGCCTGACGATGCTGCTGCAGGTGGTCAGCAGTGAAGATTGCACGCTCTCCAGGGCTGCTTTTGCGAGAGAGCTTCTCGAAAAGGACTTGGCACAAGGGGCGCGCGAGAGAGAGTGTGAGTGAGTGAGAGAGAGAGAGAGAGAGAGAGAGAGAGAGAGAACAGTCACCACGCTGGAGAACGAGGCATCTTCTCGCCATGACAAAGCGATGCCTCGTGAACTGGGGGCCCTCTCAACGAAGCGTGTGATGTGCCCTCTCTTTCTCAAGTGGCTGACGTTGGGAAACTACTGTCTTGACGAAATAGGAGGGAATTTTCTTCTTCTTTTCTCTTCTCCCTAGGCTTCTCTCTCTCTCTCTCAGTCTCTCTTTCTCTCTCTCTCTTTCTCTCTCTCTCTTTCTCTCTCTCTCTTTCTCTCTCTCTTTCTTTTGTTTTTCTCTTTTCCTTCCTTCGGTTTTTCTCTCCTTCTTCCCCCTTTCTTCTCTTTGTTGTGTATGCTTATGCATGGCAGCAACCATGTAGTCCAAGGTGGCGTGCTCTGAACTGCGTGGTGAGGTGTAACCGTGTGCAACGAAACGAAAGACGAAAGGAGGCCGTATAGCTCCCCCGCCACGACGCGGCGACTGAGAGAAAAGTCGGAAACAAGCGCTGCCGACGTGGTGGACTTGTAAACCGCCCGCGGCGCACTGCAGTCGCCTTCCCCTTTCTCTGCGGGACTTGCACGCCGTCTCGCATCATCAGGCCGCAGAGGCAGCTCCCAACGCACCCGGGTGCCCTATCTGATTCGGCCACGGCTGAACCGACGGAGAAGAAGGAAAAAGTCTTGGTAGGACGGTCTACGAGGGGGAACGTGCTTGCAGACGGGCCGGACTGGGCCGGCTCTGCGTCGAGGCACGGATGAATGGGTCCTGGGTGCTGGAAAAGGAAAAGAGCTGCCGCCCAAAGAAAGACAACGGCAAACGACGAATGGAATCAAGGAATCGACATGGTCAGGGTGTGGCTTGCGAAGCAGGTGCAGCAGCACGGTTGCGCAAAAGGGGACGAACGGAGCAAGGCCGGAAAAGAGACAGACATGGCAGCGGGCCGAGTTCCGTCATGACGCAGCTTGTCATATACACGGGAGGAAGCCGTCTTCCTTTATCACAGAACAACAAAGGAACAGGCTCTCCTTGTTCTGTGACAAGGTCTAGGTCAGAACAAAAGTGCGGCGTACCCACCACCCCGGGTGCCTTTGTTGCAGGGAAGCGTGGTTGACGAACAATGCAAGCAAGGCGGACGGACGGACGGACGGACGGACGGACAGCATGGTGGTATGGGACGCGCACTACAGAATGCGGACCAGTCTCTCTCTCTATTTACTTGACGCATTTAAATTCCGTGTATTCCATGTATTCCACCCAGTCAGTCTACATTCCCGCGACATTTGCGGCGCTGATGTCAAACCTCATCTGCAAACTCAATCAACCCGCATGTATGTATGTATGCATGTATGTATGTACGTATGTATGCAAAGATTTCCCCAACACGCCACGGAAGCTCCCCCCCTAAATAACCCTGGTCCGCCAGAACGGCCGGCGCAAAGATGCGAAGCTAGATGCTGAAAATGTGGTTCATCACGTCATTACCACGGACAGAGCCGTTGCCTCCACCGCCCAGCCCGTCTGGACCACCACGTACATGCGTGGATGGCGTGGCCCAAGTGATGCCGCTCCCGTCTCGGCTCGCACAGGCACAGATGGATCAGATGCGCTCGCGGCACCGCCTCGCAAACGGCCGCCTCGGACTCGGACTCGGACACGGACACGGACGCAGGGCGGGCGCGGCGGCGTCGTGCGCTCCCGCCATCAAGGGGCCGCACGCGCGTCGCTCCCCCGGATGCGTGTGGGCGTGGGCGCCGGCGCCGTCGTCAGTCCACTATGTCCCCCGAGCCGCTGCTGCTGCTCTCGCTCGTCTGCGGGGGGAGGAGCCTGCTGACGACGCGGACGAACCTCCAGATGCCGAAGGCTATGAGGGAAAGCAGGACGAAGAGGACGATGATGATGATGGCGATGACGTGGTTGCGCTGCACCATGGTGGCGTGGCGTGGCGTGGCGGTCGGCTCTGGCCCGGAGGGTGTGCTTTTTTTATTTTTTTTATTGAATTTGAATTTTATCTTTCTTGTCGTTCTTTTGCAGGGTTTGCTTGCAGCTCGACGGCGCGCGTGTCCGAGGTTTCGGAGCGCACGTGGGGCCGGCTGCGCTGAAGCTATTCGCGGGCGGCGACGCGGCGGGCAGGACAGGACAGCACGGTCCCGTGGCCTCTTCTCTGGTGCGCGCCGTGGACTAGTTCTGGAATGGACGGGATGGGACGAAGCGGCGAGCGAGCTGGAACGCACTTTGACTCTGGGAGCAAGCAGGATGGGAGATGAGGCGTCGCGTGCGGTTGCCGCGTGCGTGCGTGTCTGCTCATATAGAAGGCGCCTGGTTGCCCTGCCACCGGGATTCTGCGCAAGCCCAAGCAAGTCGAAAGTCAATAATGGGATGGCTGGCGACCGTTTGGCGTTGGCGTCGGCGTTGGCGGTGGGGTTGGGTGGGGCAGGGGCCCAGCCGCGTCTGCAGCCCAGCCCCAGCCCCAGCCCGGCCCAGCCCCAGCCTCCCCCCTGCCTCCTGCCTCCCCCTGCAAACCTGCTGCTGCCTGCAGACCCAAGTCGACTTTGATTTTTTATTTCTGCGTACGGAGTACGGGATTCCGCACCGGCCTTCGCTCCAGCAACTCCGAGCAGCTCACAGCATGTTTTTGGTCTTGGAGAGTTGGAACAATTTCATCGCCCCAAATGAGCCCGCCATTCCATCTGCCCTGTCCCTATGCTGCTCCTCCTGCCTGCCAAGGCCCCTCCTTTACTCCTGTGTGTTCGCCATGGAGATGCTTCGTGCAGTATGAGAGCACGTGTTGCGCACAAGACCAACCCAATGGTCTGCTCAGATAAAGCCGGCGTTGACGAGCACCCAACTATGGTTTGTCCACACCCAACAAGCCAGTCCAGTCCAGGTAAAGAAAAATAAATAAATTAAAAAAAAACCCCCCGAGTCGGATTGCTCTCGCCCACTCCGACCACGTCAGGCCATCCATTTCCCCTTCCCCGAGTCACCTCTACGCCGCCGTCTTGTCATCATCTCGAATAATCTTGACATGTCTTTCGTAGAATTGCAGCATCTGGCCGTGCGTCAGTCGTGGCAACATTTCTTCTGCCTGTCGGGCGTCCGACGTGGCCGCCGCACGTACCTTTTGGGGACACTTTTTGTAAATGACAGACGTGGGGCAGGGCCCCAGCCGCGTCTGCAGCCCAGCCCCAGCCCCAGCCCGGCCCAGCCCCAGCCTCCCCCCTGCCTCCTGCCTCCCCCTGCAAACCTGCTGCTGCCTGCAGACCCAAGTCGACTTTGATTTTTTATTTCTGCGTACGGAGTACGGGATTCCGCACCGGCCTTCGCTCCAGCAACTCCGAGCAGCTCACAGCATGTTTTTGGTCTTGGAGAGTTGGAACAATTTCATCGCCCCAAATGAGCCCGCCATTCCATCTGCCCTGTCCCTATGCTGCTCCTCCTGCCTGCCAAGGCCCCTCCTTTACTCCTGTGTGTTCGCCATGGAGATGCTTCGTGCAGTATGAGAGCACGTGTTGCGCACAAGACCAACCCAATGGTCTGCTCAGATAAAGCCGGCGTTGACGAGCACCCAACTATGGTTTGTCCACACCCAACAAGCCAGTCCAGTCCAGGTAAAGAAAAATAAATAAATTAAAAAAAAACCCCCCGAGTCGGATTGCTCTCGCCCACTCCGACCACGTCAGGCCATCCATTTCCCCTTCCCCGAGTCACCTCTACGCCGCCGTCTTGTCATCATCTCGAATAATCTTGACATGTCTTTCGTAGAATTGCAGCATCTGGCCGTGCGTCAGTCGTGGCAACATTTCTTCTGCCTGTCGGGCGTCCGACGTGGCCGCCGCACGTACCTTTTGGGGACACTTTTTGTAAATGACAGACGTCTCATGCTTCGTCTTCTGTCCGTTCTTCCATATGAGATAGACGACAAGCTTGCCTTTTCCCTCGTCCTCGCAAGCGTCAATCGTGGCGATTTCTTCTTCCCAGGAGCCCGCAGGTGGCTGCCACGGTTTGGCGCTGGCAGGTGGTGCCGAATCACGAGGATGCGTGCCATTCTTTCGCGATCGCTTGGCCGTCGTCGTCGCCGCCGCCGCAGCGCCGGCGCTTGAGGCTGCTCGGCCTCTCTTCCTCCCCCTTGCCGCCTTCTCTGTCTCGTTGAAAATGTTCTCTCGCCCACCAAACCTGCGAAAGTACTCGTCTAGGATCTCCTGCGCCGATTCTCTGCGGCCAGATTAGTCATCCAATTGCAGATCGTCGCTCGCAGCCTCACCCGCAGTCGCAGTCGCAGCATCATGCATGTACTCACACCAGATTCTCCTCAGGCTCCCACGTCAAGTCCTTTTTGGACTCGTAGCCTTCCCACTTCACCTGGAACCGGAGACTGCCCTGTTGACGCCCTCATTAGAAACTGTGCACAAGGTACCCTGGGGATTGTTTCCGCGACCAACATCTTCATCAATCATGTGGCTCTTGATTGCTTCGACGATGAACCTAGGTCCGCGTCAGCAAAACATCCCCTGCCGTGAGAGAGCGGACGGTGCATACACGTCCTCCTCGAGATCCTCGTCCGCCTCATCGTCTTCCCCGTCAACCTCGCTGCCGCCATTAGCAGCCACAGGTCCTTCTTCGTCGTCGCTCCTCGCGCCGGGTGCATTGTCGGCCAGAGATCGCGAGCTTCGGGAGGATCGCGTCGTCGTCGCCTGCGGCTCCATGTCCGAAGTCTCATCGTCGCTGAGTGCTACAGAACCGTAAGTTGCATGAAACACACAGGCAGCGCATCATCACCAATCGTCGGCTTGGCGACGGCGGCGTGCGAGCAAAGAGCTTCGAGCCAGAGCCGCGATGGGGTGAATGGGCCAAGGAGCACCATCCACCCCGCGCGCAGACTTGTCTTTTGCCAAAGGATCGCGTACCTGGAGGCATTGCTGCTGAGTTGCGGAGGGTTCCCACGAGTCGATTCAGTGGTTGTAGAGAGACGAGGCCGCGCATTTGTCGCCAATCGGCGTGCTTGAACCCAGGCTTCTCGCACGATGTTTTCTGAGCAGACGCGCTCGACTTGGACTGACCAGTTGAACTTGGTGGAGAAGCAAGCCACAGGTGGCTGAGGCTGAGGTGGTGGTGAGGCGCGCATGTCACGTGCGCTGCGGCTCCTACCTTGGATGGCCACAGAATATGAGATGCGTGTCTGGGACGGTTGAGAAAACCAGTTCCGCATCGTCAGAGCATTAACTTTCCGCGGTGCGTCTCCAAGGATTCTGTGTGGCCTGTGGAATGCTCATTCACCAGGCAGTCAAGGCTCTCTCAACTGCCTGCGATGGAAAAGCGTGCTTAATAGAACAACAACTCCTTTTATTTCAGACGCCAACTCACATGGGAGACGAATCGATACGCAACGTGCCCTTTTGCAAGTCATTTGCCAAGAAGTAAGTTACATGGGAAGCAGGGATCAGAATCTGGCTGCGGCGTGCAGAGAGTGATGGTCGCCTTCAGCTTCAGGTCCCAACTTGATGGATGAATGGCTACAAATCTGCCACCATCTGTTGCCGCGCAGTTCCTATCTCAGAACTTTCGAACTTTCTTGCACTAGGGGTTGCGCTCGTTGATGGACCCATGACCTCGTGCTGGAGAGGCACTTCCAAGATAACTGCACTGCTCACAATGCGGAGTCGCCAAATGTCCGTCTTGACTGACTTGCGAGACGCCTCCAGACAGTATATCAACTACCGACCGCGGTGACGGGACGCCGGATCGATTGTTCTAAATAATTACAAACACACACACACACGCTTTAAGTCAAGCAGCTCATCTGCATCTTTGAGAGGAATTGTCTCCCAGATGGAGCTTGTGCCAGCATGGCGAGACTGTAGGTTGGTCGACGCATGCTTCTAACGGTAGTAATTTCCCTTTACACGACAAGTATAATCCGTGGTCGTTTTTCTCTACTTGCGCCATCCAAGAGAGGGTCGACAAGCTACTTGAGAAGATGACATGTCTATCATTGACAGGTCACTTGTGCCTGGCTGTCGTGACTGACAGGCTTGGTTCAGACCGAAGAGGCCGTCTGATAGGACTACATAGCTGCACAAGAACAAGGCAACGGCTCCCCACGTTACGGGTGCTTCGGGAAAAAAAAAAAAAACCACGCAGTCCTGTCATTCGCAATGTTCTTCATAGTCGTCAGCTTGTGGGTCGAGTTTTAACTACACACGAGGCGCACGTTGCGTCGTGAGCGTGGCGCAGGTGAAACATGATGCAACTTGCGGCCCAAGAAATTCACCCCAAAGAAACCCTTTGTTCACTGGACTTGACTTGACCCCGGAAGACTGGTCATTCAGCTACGGAGAAATCCACTTGGTGAGATACGGGTACATGGGGTATTTGCACCCCATCGTGACTAACTAGCACATTCCAGTCCATGGCGCTGCATAAGCCGCCCATCTCTAGATGCACTAGGCCGGTGTAAAACATGCCAATGCTCTTTCGCCTGGTAGACATTCCACCCACGTAGACTCTCATCTCAGAAGTAGTCCAGATTCGCAGGCTACACGTGCGTCATGATTTCCCATGGGGCAAAGGCGGCGTGACGCGACAACAGGAGCACATATTCTTGCCAACGTTCCCGGACGGGCAGATGGAGAGAAGCGAGCCTTGATCACCTCGGGATGTTCGATCCGTACGTGGCCTGACCATTCCAGGGCGAACTACGAAGGGTCAGGCTGCGGCTTCTCGGGTGGCCAGCACGTCAGTCGAGGTCACGACGCAAAAAAAAAGAAAAGGAAAAGAAAAGAAAGGAATCATCTGCCAGCGCGGAAACGACGTTTGTACAAAACGACCGGAACAGAGGATATAAAAACACACGGCTCGGCATGCAAGTTTTCCATTTCTATACCTGGCCTCCCGATCAACATCCATCTACATACAAAGCCCACATCATATACTCGTACCCCCCCACAGAGCCATGAAACCCTGCGAGCTCCCGGGCCTGGCCCTCGTCGGCCTGGCCCTCGTCGACCTGGCGGCCCCGGGACCGCTCCCCGCCGCGCCGCCGCGCCACGGCCTGCCCATCGTCAAGAGCACAACCACGCCCGACGGCCAGACCCTCGACTGGGTGCCCGTCTCGTCGCAGGGCACCGCCATCAGCAGCCCGCCGCCGCGGCCCCTCCTCAGGCGCGCCCCCAGCCGGCGGGACGCGGCCATGGTGGAAGCCATCAGGCCCTCGGACCCGGGGCCGGCAGGAACGGTGCCGATCCTCCGCGCCCGCGGCCCCACCAAGCCGATGAAACAGCCCCCCCGGCCGGACGACCACAACGCCACGACGGCAGCGGCAGCGGCGGCGGCGGCTCTGTCCGGCGGCCCCCCCTCGTACCAAGGCAGGCACTGGTACGCCAGCACGGCGCAGACGGTCGACAACCACGGCGGCACAGCGACGTACAGCCTCTTCGAGGCGTTCGTCCAGCACGCCTCCGACTTCTCCCTCCTCCAGGCGGCCGTGGTCCGCAACGACGCCGCGCACGCCGGCACGCCGCCCAAGAGCCAGACCGTCGAGGCCGGGTGGATCAACTACCCCGACCAGGGCGCGGCGCCGCACCTCTTCTCCTTCTACACGACCAACAACTACGAGTCGTACGGGGACTACGTGTGCGGCTGGAACCGCGACGTCGCCGGCTGGGTGCAGTACGACCCCGTCGTGTACCCGGGCGTCGCGTTGGCGCCGCTCGCCGCCGTCCGCGGCGCCCGCTACGAGGCCGACATCGGCTTCTACTACTACCAGGGGAACTGGTGGCTGCACACGCTCGGCCGCTTCGTCGGCTACTACCCCGGCGGCCTGTTCTCGCGGGGCGTCAGCCCGACCGACACGCTCGACCACCACGCCGACCAGATCAGCTTCTACGGCGAGGTCTACAACGGCGAGGACGGCCTGACCACCTCGGACATGGGCAGCGGCGAGTTCCCCGACGCGGGGCTCGGCTCGGCCGCCTACCTGAGGAGCATTGCCTACTACGACACGGCGGACAGCGCGCGCGACTACGACGGCAGCGGCCACCTCATCGTCAGCGACGAGACCAGGTACGCCCTGTTGCCGGCGTGTAACTCGTCTTCCGACTGGGGCACGTACTTTTACATTGGGGGCCCGGGGGCCGGCGGCGTCGTCGGCGCCTAGTAGGCCGTCTTGGCTTGTTGTGCGGCCCCGGCACGGATACGACTTGAATGCGACACACGACGAGAACGAGGAGGAAGCGGGACGCTCGGTGGTGCCCTCGGGTTTTGCGCATGCTTGAGATTTTTTTGGCCTCTTGGTGGTTACATACTGCTGTGTTTGGAAATAATAACGCATAGGCATAACGCAGAACGAAACGCATAATGCATGGCAAAGCGGCCCCAATCAAGCATGACAGAGGAGGGCCTGGCCCTTTCTAGACCCTCTTCGTGCATTGGACTATTCAACATTGACCATGCATTCGTTTGACGTGTACACTACTAAGCGGTGGCTTGGGGCCGGGCGCACATGGCTGGGGTCACGTCTTGACGCTGGCCACGCCTCTCAACGGCCACCTCATGTAGATAACGCATGACACTTATTACTCGATGGTACCAGCACGGTCGGTGCCATCCATGGACGTTGAACCACCATAGCCACTACGTAGTAGCATCTGCTGGTCGCTGGTTCTTATTACATCCCCAAACTTCTGCCAAACTAGTCAATCAGAGCTGAGACTGTGGAACTAGGGCAAGATAAACCGGTAACAAGGCCCGGGCGTCGGCCCGTTCACCGACGAGCAGGCCCCGCCAGTGTTCATTTTCCTTCCTTGAAGCTTGGATACTTTTGGTTTGGCGTAAATAATGGGGTCCGAGGTTGCCTTTCCCTTTTTCGTTTTACCCTTTGCCCTTTTGTCAAGGTTGGGTACGAGCTACGTCTATTAACAACAGCTGCTAATTTGGAAGAGAAAAAAAGAGATATTCGCCGGCCACGGAAGCGTTCTAAAAAAAATAGTTCAATCATCAGCAGGACCCATTCGTAGCATGGAAATGCCCAAGACTGACATCCGTCCGGACCTTGTCCACGTTTTAGCCAGGTCCGGAAGATCCGCCGCCTACAATCAGACGAACCAGAGCCAAGCGGAAGGAGAGACACTAGGGCTAATGAACTCTCGGCTCGGATACCCCCCCGCAGGGCATGCCATGGCCTTGAGCGAATCTCTGTTGATCTCGGCTTGGGCAAAGGCCGTGTGTGTTGGCAGCCATATCTCGGACCCTGTTTTCACCATCCAGCCAACACACCAACAACAAAAGGACGTATGGAGCGTCTCGGGCGCCGCCACAACGGATTGGCTGTCCGCGATCAGCCTCACAAGCCTTGGTGCCAACCTGAGGATATAACGAATTGGCAGACGAGCAAATAGGGGATTCGACTCAGACAGACGGACCAATAGGCCTTGCGGTAGAATGCAATTAGATGGAGTGATCAACGGGCAGAAGGTTGGACTGGACACTTACCCAGGTCGAGGTAGGCAGCTTGAAAGCCCAGCGACGTTAGCGCCGCGCCACTTCTCGAATCTCGCCGAAGGGCCCTGAGCGAGGTTGCAAGCGCACTGATTCCCTGGACTTTTACACTCGGCGGCTCGGTGTCGGTTGGTGTCGTATGCAGTGAGTAAGGAGTCATGAGAGTCTTGGGTGTCAGGGAGTGGCCCAAGACAGCCAACCGCTGGCACCTTTGGCGGAAGGCGCCCGTCACTGGTCAGAGAGGAGAGTGATTTCCCCATTAGTGGAAACCTACGCGGGTCCAAGGTCGCTGTTGCTGGGTGGGAAAGAGCACCAGACGCCAGACGCCAGACGCCAGACGCCAAGTCGCGGTACTGAGTACTCGGCACTCCGTGCGACCGTGGGCTGGCGCTAGGGCCTTAAGCGCGTTGACGCCAACCCAACGTCTGTGCCGACGGTCCTGGAGCGCCAGGGCATGCATGCATGCAAGTCGAGCATCACGGGCAACACAAGCACGAATTTCGGGGTAGTGACAGTGATGCTACGCAGGTGTCAGTTAGGTAGTTACATATGGTAGCGTGCGAGGCCATGCGACGCCCAAATTGACCCACGAGTCAAGGCACGACATCTGTCTATCTCATCTTCTTTGGTCGCGAGCACCAAACTGTCCATCCTCGCAGAGCTGGAGACGGCCATGTTTCTTGATGACAAATACCGATTGACCAGCGCCTGCATCGTCTACTCTGGAGTAGTACTTGCCGCACTTCGCTGCTCTGACTGCGAAGACCTCAAGGGCTGCGTTGTGCGTGCTTGCGTCCGTCCGTCCTTCTACACTGGGAGCATCTTGCAAATGGGCCAATGGCACGGCACGTCTGCCCAGAACCAGAACGCAGCGGGCTGAACCCTGATACGGAGTGCTAGAGCTGGAGTACAGGCACGAGTAAGCTGGTTGATGGGCTGCAACGTTGAAGTGAGATGAGGGGGACGGCAGTGATCGTCTTGCTTTTCTTTTTTTTTTTTTTTTTTTTTTTTTTTTTTTTTTTAAAAAAAAAGGGTCAAGTGTCGAGCTCTACGCGTGGCTGTCCATGTCTGCTTCGAGTTCGAGGAACACGGCATGCTCAACTACTTTCGCAGCTTTGGCACAGGTAGACCTTGCCGCATAGGTGACTCCATGCGTCACAATGAGCACCATCTCAAGGAAATCGACAGGTACATTTTTGTCTTGGACATCAAGAGGCCGAGCCCACGGCCAAATCGGTTTATGAGCCTTCACTCAGGAGGTCTTGTAGGCGCGCATTGGCGTCGCATCCGGCTTAGATGCGAATCGATATCCCGTGCTCGGTACGAGGTATCCGTACATAGGCGTCGAATGGACTCTTCTTTCGAACTTGCTGACGTTGTTGTTCTCTTGGAATTCGGATCCGGGTCCAATGGTGCTGGCTGAACAACGGCCGTCAGTTCATGTGAAGAGCGGTCCGTGGCACAGCTTGATGGTGGGTGATGGTAGTTACCTGGTAGTTCCAGCAGGGCGCAAAACGACTGCGATGATGGACGCAAAGCTGACCTTTCCAAGTTGAAGTCGAGCGCAAAAATAAGTGGCCCCGGCAAACATCGACTGGTTCTCGCGCTGGGCCGTCTGCCGTCTGCCTGCTGCCTACGTTCAATGTCGTCGGTCGCAGGTGGACAAGTGCCTACTACCTAGCCAGGTCCCCAATCATCCCCGTCCCGGTACTTGGTCTCCCCATCCGCCCCCCCTTCCGCCTCCCCATCCGAGAGCCCGTCCGGTTCCACCCCCTGAGTTCGTAACGACAGCTTTTTGCTACGGGGGGAAAGAAGGGGGAAAAAATTAAAAAATCAAAAAAAAAAAATCGTGCCGGCTCCTACCGCGATCCTTCACTCCCTCGCTCTTTTGTTCCAACCTGTGCCTCTTGCCTGCCGTCTCTCTCTCACATGAGAGCAGCAGCAGGCCTTTGACAGCCGACTTCTCTTGTCCGTGGCCTTGCATGAAACTTGGACGACTCCAGAACTTCCTTTACTCACCAGCCCTGGAGCTTATTGTGCCGTCTCCTTCCCCCCACACGTACCAGACACGTTCGTTATCAACCTCCCCCCTTTCTTAATTCTCTAACCTGTGCACAAGACGCTCCTTATGCTTGCCGCCGGAAACACCTCCATGGCAGGAGCCCGGCTCTTCAATTTGGCTGCGACGAGCTTCTGACAATTTCACATCCTGGTGATATAACAACACATTCCGGGCCACCGGCCCTACCTTCGTCGCACTCAGACCCCTCAGCCCCTGTTTCCTCGAATTCCACACCAACCAGCTCGCTCGCCGCTGGCCACGCACCATGGGAACTGATATGGCGTCCCCAAAATCCGAAACGACCCCTGCCAAGCTCAGTGCGCCCAAGGACAAGAATTGCCCCTATTGCAGGCAAGCTTTTACCTCTTCGTCCCTCGGCCGGCATCTCGACCTCTACATCAAGGAAAAGAATCCCAAGCCGCCAGATGGCGTACACGATGTCGAGGCCATTCGAAGAATGCGAGGTTGCATCACGAGGCGGCAAGCCCGTGGCTCTCTTGGTGCGCGCAAGGATTCGACTCCAGCTGGAACACCAAAGCCTGTTCCGAAACGCGAAACATCCCACCGAGACGTTGAGTCTCTCGGTGCTGCGTCCACACCAAAAGACGGCACCTATGCAGCCGACTCGACTGTCAGCAAGTTCCCCTTTTCTCCAAGGTGGCAAGCTACTGGTGTCATCAACAATATATCCCCCAGGGGCTCTTGGGATGGCGATGCTGGGCCAGAGGCAGTGAAACGACCGGGAATCCAGCCGACACTAAGCAAGCAAGCAGTTCAAAAGGCCCAGTTGGACGTGAAGCAGAAGCTGTCGGACGCCATGGACACCGCTCGAGCTGCAGAACTTGCCTTGAGAGAGCTCCTGGGCTCGTGGAGAGCGGCCAAGTACGTGTCTGTTTATCCCGTGTGAAAACGAGTCGGCTTCCTAGATTTGCCCTCTAACCAGTCGTAGGCGACACATTGATCATAGCTCCATGCCGTTCGACTTCGATCCACTCTCCCTCGACTTTCCCGCTCTCACATTGCAATGCCTGCACCCGCCGCCGACCCTATTTTCCTCCACGCAGCATCCCACCTCTACGTCCTGGTCTGTGCAATCCCCGGGACAGCGGGAATTCAAGGCCTTGCAGTCGTATTTCGATAATGAGTTCAGAGCTTGGAGAGTGACTTGTGCAGCTGCCACAACAGCGGCATCCGAGGAACTGGCCTACCCTCCCAAGGGGAATCTGCAAAAGGACACCCGCGACGCGGCAAAAAAGGCCGGGAAAGTGGCGGGAAATCTGGAGAGGCAGGTGGAGGAACATCTGCAGTCTGCATACACTGTGTGGGATTCGCTGCCTGGGCAGCGTCGACAGGAGCTTTGGATTCTAGAACTTGCGCGCGGAGTTGGCAGGAAGCACAAGGAAATGGAAACAATGAAGGAGCTGCAGCATCGGTTGACACAAGAGAATGCAAACTTGAAGATGCAGGTTGATCAGCTGAATCGTCTGCAGCAGCCCCGCGAATCCAAGCCCCTGTCACCGTCGACCATACCGATAGATCGCGATGTGATAAGCTATGCGTATGAGCAAGGTGTGAAGGGTGGAAAGAGCGTCGGTTTCGACATGGAGGACCACCATCTGGATATCGCAACGGTTGTCGCCAAGTCGATTGAAAGGTGGAAGAACGTAATTATGTCAGCTCGTGTAACGTCGGGCGGGATGAGTGCACAACGGCCATTGGACCAACCACCTCAAGCACCAGTCAATTTCAGTAGTCTGTCGCAGTCGCAATCGCAAGGCCCGTCTCAGACGACGCAACAACAACAGCATCACCAACCTCCGATCCAAGCCGGCAGACCCAGCAGTGGAGCGCGATTGTCTACTGCTAGTGCGTCCGAGCCCGTCAGCGAACACACAGCCCCAACCGCCAGCACGACTGGGCCACCATCGATGGCCGAGCAAGAGGAAGAAGAGGGAGAAAGAGGAGAGAGGGACGATTCTAGTGATCAAGATGCGGATGCCGAGATGGAAGACGACGACAGCTTCGTCATCATGAACACGTCTCCAACAAAACCGGCACACGCACCAGTGGAACAAACCGCGACCGTCGAAGCCCCCCGGACGCGGAGACCCGTTCAACAACAAGGCGCTACACCAGATATGCAATTCGTGATGCAAACTGGAGCAGGGAGTCCTGTTCCCCGGCCAGCCATGACTGTGGCCAGGTCAATGCCTAATATGAACAGGGCAATGCAGAGGAATCACATGCATGGCAGTGACTTGCCCGTGATGCAGCAAGTACGTGGAGATGTGTACATGGAACAATGACGCGTCATTGACGACTACATGATAGCAAGACGACCAAAGGGACAGCCAAGGGGAGAACATCTTTGACCATGGGAGACGTGTTTGAGGAATAATGTTCAAACCGGTGTCGGGGTGAAAAGCCACAGAGAAAACAAAAAGTTGAATGAACACGCCCATTTTATACGAGTCGCGGACATTGTAATGACTAAGGAGTTCTTTTTTTCTTCTTCTTCTTTTTTTTTTTCCATTGTAGCGGCTTGTGCGACTGCCTGTGATGTGTTAGTACGAAGAACAAAAGTTTTCGGTTGGAATTCTCAGGCCTTCATTTCTATTTTCTTTTTCATCTCTCCGAATTCGGTCCGTCTGCACATCGGGCGAGGGGGCACGCATGTCAATGAGAACCAAAGACTTTAATGCAAACACACTTTATTTTGTAGGATACATGGAAGTCTAGAGAAAAACTGAGCCGAGAGACTATGCTGAGCCGGGCCATGACCTGTGCGCACGCGTCTCGCGGCGCAACGCGGCTGCTTCGGTCTTTGTATATACAACACTGGTAGTACATCTTCACTTCTCGCCCAACTAGGAAGTTATTCCTTGAGCTTCTTCAACCGCTGCTCAATCAGCCGCAATGTAGGCCTGGGTGCCCTCAGCCTGTGCGCCAAGACCAGGGCGCCTGTCAAGACGGCGAGGCTGCCAGCCTGGTGGGCTGCGGCCAGGGGAATCGGCACCATGTAGATCAGGGTGCAGATGCCGAGGGCGGCCTGCAGGGAGACAAGGTGGACCAAGCTCTTGGCCCCCTTCTTCGCATCCTTGGGCAGAGCGGCAGCCACGCGACCCGTGCGGGAGTAGGCGAAGAGGGCCAGGATGGCACAGAAGGTCGAAACGGCGAGGATGCGATGGTCCAGTTGAACGGTGCTGGGATTCTCGAGCATGTTGCGCCACCAGAGGTCGGAGCCGTCTGCCTTGCGACAGTAGAACTCGTCCCAGAGCTCGGCTTTCGGCGGCGTGAGGCCCACCCCCATCATGGGGAATTCGTTGTAGATGAGGCCCGCGTCGAGACCGGCGACCAGGGCTCCAGACATGATGGTGATGAAGGTGAGGGTTGCGAGTGCAAAGACGGAGCGGCGAAAGGTATTCAGGGCAGGGTTCTGGAGGGCCCGAAGCGCGGAGGCGGCGGCTTTGGGGTCGGCGAGGAGGCGGCGTGTGCGGAGGATGGACAGGCCCGACAGGAGCATCCACGAGTAGCAGACGAAGGCGGTGGCGAGGTGCGCGGTGAGGCGATACTGGGAGACGCGAGGGTGCGAGCCGGGCGCGAACAAGTCGTCCCTCAGGCCGGACTTGACCATCCACCAGCCGATGACACCCTGGAAGCCGATGAGCGCGGATATGCCGACGAGGTTGAAGGCCATCTTGGTGGTGACTCTCCGACGGGCAACGAGGTATACGGTAGGCAGAACAAAGGACAGCCCGATGAGGCGGCCCCAGACGCGGTGTGCCCATTCCATCAAGTAGATCTTTTTGAATTCGCCAAGGGTCATGTGTGGGTTGAGAAGCTTGAACTCCGGCGAAGCTCTGTATTTGTCGAACTCGGAGTCCCAGTCTGCTCGGGACATCGGGGGCAGCGAACCGGTGACGGGGCGCCATTCGGTGATGCTAAGTCTGCGTTTGAATTCATCGTTAGACGGACCGTGGCTGTGGGGAATCATTGAACATCCATCAGGTGAACATGCCATGCGTACCCAGACTCGGTCAGCCTCGTCAGACCTCCCCAGACAACGATGCCGAATACACTGACGGCGCTGCCAATCAACCAATATGCCACACTCTTGGGGTTTGTTTTGGGAAAGACAGCCGCCTTGGCAAGTTCCCGGGCGTGCGGAGATCTGGATCGCAACGCAACACGGTCTGCCAGCGTTCCCAGCGACGTCGCGGGCTTCGCATCGGCAAAGCTTCGAAATCGCACGCCGTTCAGAATGCGCGATACGAAGCGTGGTTGTGGCGCTGGTGTGGTTTGTCGGAGGCATTGGTTGCAGGCGAAGAACCTGGAGGGAACCTGCAGAGCCAGTCGCCTTGTTCCTGGGATAATGGGGTTCATCTTGCCTTGCCGTGCTGGTATCCAGCGACAAGCAGACGGTCGACGAGCAACAGAGAGGAAAAGTCACGTCCATCATCGAAGCCTCCCCCCCGGGGTCGGGTCTCCCACTCATCCGACGGGTCCACCGCCGACTTGAAAAGTGGAACCGCGCATCGGCCGCCGTTCACCGCCCAATTTTCTTTTACAGACGGCAGAAAAGTGGTGCAAGGCCCTTCTTACTACCGGCCACCGAAATCCGAAATCGTCCTCACGATTACGAGCACAAGAACAGGACGGCCACTCGTTCCGAGCAGCATGCCGGGGCGACAATCGCATGGCCGGCCGCTTGCCGCCGCGCCCAAGACCAAAGCGGGCGGGAAGAAGAGCTCCAAGGCGAGGTCGCAGAAGAATGCGCTCAATGCCTTTGGAATTGCCCAGGATATGTACCCCAAGAAACAGAAGAAAACGCCGCGAGCAAGGGAACTCGATGCCGAAATCGAGAGAAAACATGGGCGAGACGAAGACGAAGACGAGAAACAACAGCCCGGAAGAAAGAAGGCCAAGGGTCCATCACCAGCCGACGGCGGCGGCGAGGATGGCAGCGACAGCGAAGGCAATGAATGGCGCCTGGGAGGGTTGAGGGACGACGACGACGATTCTGAAATAGAGAGCGACGACGCATTTGGAGACAGCGACAACGAGAAATTTGAGGAGTACTCGTTCCGGGGAAGCAAGTCCAAGCCTGTAGGTTGCTAGGCAATTGCACCTTCACCGAGAGTTTTGCTAATGATTGTACTGCGCACAAGAACAATGATCCCGAAGACGACTCGTGTGATGACCAAGGCGAAACGCTCGGCGCGGACGCCATTGATTTGGCGACCGCTCTGGATCAGTGGGAAGAAGAATCAGACGACGAGCCACAGGCAGATGACGAACCTGGCTCTGGGGATTCAGAAGAGGAAGAGGACGAGGACGAGGACGAGGACGAGTCGGAGGATGAGGATGACGACGACGGTGCTGCAGCCGATGCCGAAAAGTTGAATGCATTAAAGGGACTCATTTCACAGTACGCCGGCGACAAGGCTGACGACGACGAGCCGAAATCGAGCGCCGGGCAGAAGCTATCTCTCGGGGACCTGGGCCTTTCTGGGCTGAAGGACCCATTGATGAAGAAGTCACTCAAGCTGATGAACAAGGAGGCCAAGGAAAAGCGACCAGGTGCAGCCAAAAAATTGGCCGTGCCACTATCTCGACGTGAGCAAGGTCGGCTGGACCGAAGCGTTGCATACGACAAGACCAATGAAACCCTGGACAGATGGACGGAAACCGTCAAGCAAAACCGCAGGGCCGAACACCTCGTGTTTCCGCTTCCTCAAAACTCGCCCACTGCCGGCCTAGATACCTCGGAGATTCAGCCTCTCAGCTCAGCCAAGCCCAGCAATGAGCTCGAGTCTGCCGTCATGTCCATCATGGAGCAGAGCGGCCTTTCTATGAACAAGGAACTCAAGCCCAAGCCCCGAGAGTACGATGAGGAGGGAAACATGCTGTCGCGAAACGAAGCCCTGGCGCGAAAACGAATGGAGCGAGAACTCAACTCCAGGGAAGCCAAGCGAGCCAAGCGCATCAAGAAGATCAAGAGCAAGGCCTACCACAGAGTTCACCGAAAACAACGGGAACGTGACGAAATAGCCGCCAAGGAAGCCATGGACGAAGCTGGAGAGATTGATTCCGAAGAGGAAAGAGAAGCGCAGGACCGCCGGCGCGCGCTGGAACGTGTTGGCCTGCGACACAAGGAGAGCAAATGGGCCAAGATTGGATCCAAGACAAAGCGTGCCCTCTGGGACGACGACTTCCGCACCGGCCTGGCGGAAATGGCCAGGAAGGACGAAGAGCTCCGCCGACGGAAAGAAGGCAAGGCCGGCGTCCACGGCGACTCTGACTCGGATGCAACCAGCAGTTCCGGCAGCGATGGCGATGATGATGACGACGACGATGACCGTCTCCGCCGCCAGCTAAGGGAACTGGAAGGGGAGGGGGAGGGGGAGCCTCTGACGAAGCTAATGAGCATGAAGTTCATGCAAAAGGCCGAAGCGGCCCGGAAACAAGCAGACGACGACACGATCCGTCAAATCCTCCGCGACCTCGACGGCGACGCCGCAGACTCCTCCTCCGACGCGCAAGCCGACCGTGAAGTCGGCCGCAGAAGCTACGGCAGCGCAGACGCATGCGCCAAACCCGCCCTCGAAACCTCGGCCCGCGCACCCAAACGCACCCAAGACACAGACGTCGACATCACCATCAGCAAAAACACCGCCGCCGCCGCTACCAAAACGCACCCACCAGAAGAAACCCCGTCCTCCACAACGGGCGCCTGGTCGCGCAGCTCTACGCGGCGCAGGAAAGCCTACCCCCTACGCGCCGAAGACCTTGATTTGACCGCCAATGTCCTCGTCGCCTCACAGCCCAAGCCAAAACCCTCTCACGGCAACAGCAACGGCAACGGAAACGGGAACGGCAACAGCAACGACAGCGACGAAGAAACCTCCGAAGCAGAGCAGCACATGCCCCTCGCCGTCCGCGACCACGCCCTCGTAGCACGCGCCTTCGCAGGCGACGACGTCGTCGCCGAGTTCGCCCGCGAAAAGGACGACATGGCGCAAGCAGACGATGACAAAGTCATTGACAACACCCTTCCGGGCTGGGGATCCTGGGTCGGCGACGGCGTCAGCGCCCGCGAGAAGAAGAGGCACCAGGGGCGCTTCCTCACAAGGGTAGAGGGCATCAAGAGGAAGGACCGGAAGGACGCCAAGCTGGACAGGGTGATTATCAACGAGAAGAGGGTCAAAAAGGTACAACATCCTCCCTTCCCTGAACTGGCATTGCCCACTTCCCTTTTCCATGCTACTGCGTCCTTGTCTGGGAAGCGACTAACGCCACGGAAAATAAAACTGAGCTTAGAACGATCGCTATCTCGCGTCCCAACTCCCCCATCCTTTTGAATCAAGGGCCCAATACGAACGGTCTCTTAGGTTGCCCGTTGGGCCGGAATGGATGACCAAGGAGAGATTCCAGGATACCACGAAGCCAAGGGTTCTGATGAAGCAGGGCATAATTACGCCAATGTCGAAGCCGACTGCCTAGGCTAGTCGGATGGCAATAGTTTTATTTAATCTTTCATGGCTTGTTGTTTCATGACAACACCTATAGACGACATATATAGAAGGGGGTGCATTTCATGGCGAACATGTGGTTGGGAAGAAATACAAGTCGATTCCTCGACGCCGTGGGACAAACACAGTCCGTCGTGTTACAAGACAAAACCACAAAGCAAAACCCGTCTAGCGAGCTAGACAAGGCGTCGTGGAGCCAATGACTGGCCAAAAGTTGGTCCCTGGAGCCCGACACCGATTTTGTCAATAAAAATACACAGATTTTGGTACAATAAACGCAAAACCCAAGACCTAGGTGTTGTGGCCAATAAATTCACACAACGACCTTGTACGCATTTTTGGGACTGTTCGTCATGAAGATTTGCCAAGCAATTGAGGCAAGTGCCCGTCAAAAGCGTCGCTGGGCGTGGCGTAGAAGGCGACGGCGATAATGATGTAGAGACCCAAAAGCATAGCTCCTTCAAGATAATTGGATTTGCCATCTTGGACAGTGTATGTGACGACAAGGACCGAGACAGCAAAAGAGACGGTTTGAACTAGACATGGGAATTAGCATTTGTTGATTTTTTGATGACAAGGGTTCCAAGGAGGGAGCAAGCCTACACGTCTCAAAGTGCAACGACATGGGCTGCCCAATGATCCATCCAACAATGACGAGGAAAGGAGTGACACCGAGAGCAATTTGGATACTGGAGCCAATGGCGACCCCCATAGCCAGGTCCATCTTGTCGCGGAGAGCCACGACCACGGCAGTGACATGTTCAGCAGCGTTACCAACGATAGGGATGAGTACCAGACCGATAAAGGCCTTGCTGATATTCGCCTTCTCGACAATATCATCGATACTTCCAACGAGATAGTCGGCGCAAATGGCCACCAGAACGGTGACAACAACTAAAACTATAGTAGCAGCAACAGGCCCTATGTCTGCTTCTTCTTCGGGCTGGGCTTCCATGGTGGCAGAAACACGTCCTATGTTGGCTTCTTGGTCAGACTGGGATGCTTGCTGATCTTGCTGTGCTTTTGGTCTGAAAAGGTTGCTGTGAGTTCGGAGTTGGAAAACGAGGTACATGACGTAAAGAAGCAGCAGAATAATGGCAGTGCCTCTTGACAGGATGAGGATGCTACTGTTTTTGTCTTCTGATCCGTTCTGAGATAGTACAGCGTATAGCTACACAGACGCAGTTAGCAACACAAGGCCTTGAGCTTGTAATCTGACTGGCCCATGCATCACTCACGGTTGCAGGAATGACAAGAGAGGCGGATGACAGTGCCATAAGGGAGCATGTCGTCTGGGCGACGGCGCCAGAGAAGGACTGCTCGGTGCCGCCTCCATTGACACCTCGGTGGACCAATCCACCGAAAAGGAAGCACATTCCCATTACCAACAGCAAGTTGGACAAGATGGAGCCGAGCATTGATGACTGCACGACTTCGATCTGGCCATCCTTGAGAGCAATAATGCTGACCTTTCAAGACAATAAGCATGAGTTTTCGTCAGGATGGTTTCCTCGGACAGAGGCGGCGGCACACAAAGGGCACATACAATCATCTCCACAGCGTTGCCAAATGTCGCGTTCAGCAAGCCGCCCAAGGCATCGCCCAGCTTATCTGCGATTGCTTCGGTCGCAAAAGAGAGAACTGCGGCAAGAGGAATGATGGCGAAGAAATTGATGGTGAAGACAGCGGTTGAATTCCAGTTGAAGGCGCCAGCGATGATGCCGATAGGAACCGTGACGAGGAGGACATTGACATAATCTTTTGCACCATGTGCAGGTTAGCGGTAGAATAGATGGGAGATGAGAGAAAGGATGAGGCGAGCAATCAACTTGATACAAAGGCCAAGTTTCGATGGTACTGAGGAGACTCACTGCTAAGGAGAGTTGCTTTGGTGGCATGCCAGACATGCGCGGCACTGCGCACGGCAAACGATTCGCTGTCGGTTCCAGGCGTATGCACGGTATCCAAAAGGAAGGCGCGAAGGCCGGTTTTTCGCTGGCGCTGCGCATCACGGCCGGGCTGAGCCGATGCAGCAGAGTCGCCGTTGATCAGCGGTGTATGCTCGTCGGCACGCGGCGAAGGTCTGTAAGACATTTGGCGGCGGAGCTGTCTGTACGACTGGTTGACTGCGGCATGGGCAAAGCAGGCGTGGATTAGCACAAATCGACGGCCGATTTTGAAGAGACCAAAAAGAGAAAAATTTTCAAAAAAAAAAAAAAAAATTGAACGCAGCAGCTTCTCGATTTTCACACACACCCAGCCTTGGGGTTGGTCGGTCGGTCGAGAGCGCCCTGGAGCCTGAGAGGAGAAGGAGGAACGTAGGCCAAGGCGCTCCTGCCAGCACCGCACAAGACGCCAAGCCGCGACTGCGCCTGCCAAGGACGTAGTGGTAGATACTAGTAGAGCTCGCGTGAACCAAGCTGAGAAGCGGCGACCGGAAGCGGCCGGGGCGCGCGACGATGCATGGAGCGAGTCTATCGAGTCTGGACAGGGAGCAGGCAGCCAGGGGCAGAGAGAGGTTGAAGAGCAAAATGAATCCATGATTAAAGCGTACCTGCTATTACTCGGAACTTGGTACCCGGTACGGCGTGGAAATAGATGCTATGTGTACACACGCAATGCAATTGCAGGTGGCGAGAGAAAAGTCACAAACGCCGCATAGAGTCATGGATGTCAATGGGTAAATACCCGGATACGGAGTCACGAGACAACCTAGTTATCTGGACGGCTACTTCCAAGACCCTGGGCGTCCGGGGCCAGTGGTCCGTCTATTTTCATGGCGTCCAGTGAAGGGTGTGCAAGGGAACGGTCTTTGTTTGAAACGAGGGCATCTCGAAAGAACAATCGCGGCCATGGTTTCAAGCATGGAGACTGGGCCCGAGACTGCTCGGGAGCCTTGGGGGTGATGACAGCCACAGAACTTATGGCTCTGTCATGGATGATGAGCATCACTATCAACCAAGCATCGCACGTGACCAGGTCCGCGTCTGCAAGGAACGAATGCATGCATGTATGTATGTATGCATCATGTTGGTGATGACGACGACGACGACGACGACGACGACGACGACGAGGAGAGACGTAAAGACGAAAACTCGAGACTCAACTTACACAAGCCGCCAAAAACCATTGCTTCTGGTTGAGAAAGAAAAATTGACCACAAAGTCAAGGAGCAGAGCAGAGACGGGGCTTTTGTTCGTGACCAAGGTTTCAAGATTCGAGCTCGGGGCCCAACCAGGGCGTTGCTTTACAACGGAGAGTGCGGCGTGGTGGGAAAAGGACCCAGCAGGGCAGCGGCGCGATCCGATGGCAATACGTAGGGTACAGTACAGTGTGGCTCGGTCGAAGTAGGCAGGCGTTTTCGCGTGGGACAGAGGACCGAGGTTGATGAGATGGAGGAGGAGGAAGAGAAGAGAAGATACTGATGCGGCTCATGAGGAGGAGAAACAAGACGAGCCGGCGTCTAAAACAAACTCGAGTGGGTGCTCAAGTCGGGAGTACTTAGTAGCCAACAGGGGGCTAAGCGAGCCACCGGCGCCCACTGGGGCTCCCAGCTGGCAGCTCACAGTTCCCAGTTCCAAGCTTCTTGATTGTTATACTTTTACCAGACAAGTACTTGGGTATCCATCCATGGACGTACGACGTTACGTGCCACCCAGGTCAATGGCCAATGGGCAAAATTGAAAGTCCTGCTCGCCAGTCGCTTCGGGCAAAGCGCACCTGTTAGCTGTCCCTTTGTGTTGTCCTGTCCGCAACTTGCGTGTGGCCAGGAATCTCTCGCCCGTCGTGTCTTGGCCTTGCCTTGCCTTGCCGTGCATTGCATTGCATTGCATTGCATTGCATTGCAGCGGCATGCGACCAAGTACCTACAGACGTACCCACGTCCCTCCCCTCCCTCGATACCTGGGTGCTGCTCCGCAAGGTACTTGTCGTCCCCCGCCCCTGGTCCTTGCGTGCATATGTGTCGTCCTAGCGCGCCCCTCGCTCTTTCCGCGTCTGTGATCCGGCTCGGAGGCCTCCAAGCCAGGATCCTACATTGACGTCACCCTTGGCGGCTCCCCCGCAACCACCAAAGCCGCCGACGCTCCAACGTTCCAACTGTTCGACACTCCAACGCCCGCCAAGCCTGCTCCTCTTTGTCAGTACTTACGGCCGAGTAACTACTAACTTAACTACTACGTAGTTCGTACGTACCCGAGAGCAGCCAAAATAAACTAGAAAATAAGCTCCTTGCGAGGCAGGGGCCCAACCCCGCATCTCAGATTCAGATTCAGATTCAGATTCTCAATTGCCCTCCGCTATCAAGCTGCATTTCTATTCTCTATGAAGCATTGGCCCAATGGCCTTTGAGTTTTTTTTGTTTTTTTTTTTCTTTTCATCGACGGCAATGGCCCTGGCCTTCCCATCAAAGGCACCAGCCCACAAAATAACCTCACGGTCTCTCTCTCGGCCACTCGTGAGTCGTGCCATCATCCTCTCCTTGAAATCCAACCTTAAAGACTACATAGACAAACTTCCTCACAGTCACGTTCCCGTCAACAAGACCATAACATAGGAGCTCTTGCTCGACGCCATTCACCATCCATGTAAACAAGGCCATTCATCACTCGTCACCTTCACAGACAACCAAGCGCTGTTTCCTAGTCAGTACGCTGCTCAACTTCAGTCCTGCGCGTCGTCATGACAGACCTGCCGAGTATGCCATGAACCAAGTCATGGATGCGCCCCCATCTAGCCACTGGGGATCAAAGTCGCGCGAGGCGAAAAATTCCCATGCCTTTCTTGGTTCAATAGTGGCGTAATTGCCGTAAACAATCCCTTTCCAAGCGTTACGAATACTGTCAGCTCGCCCCTTGTCGAAGAATGCCTCCCATTCCTCTCTGACGAATTTTCTGTCCCGTACGAACGGCGTTGCTGCCAGGATTGGTATCATGTGTATGCCCTGAATAGCCTCGATGCTGGAATCAAAGTACGTCGAATGATCAACCTTGTTCTCAAAGAGAATCCCCGCCACTTTGTTGCCAATAAACTGCTCCGGTTGCACTGTATTGTCTTTCTTGTACAAGTAGTAGCTCTGCAAGCTCCGTGAAATAATGGACAGCTGCAGATTTCCCCTGCACCACTGGTAAGCACTCATCTGTCTGCCATTACGTCATATTGCGCCATGGCAGCTTTACCCACCTCATTTCGAGATCCGAGTCCTGACTGACTCTCCCCCACATTTTGAGCGCGTAGGCACACATCGTGTCCTCAGAGCTAGACTCTTGGTCCTACATCAACGTCAGATGTACGTCCGGCACAGAACAAAAGAAGAGATGACCATGGCCAACCTTGCCGTCCATCGCGGCATAAAGTCCATGAGCCCAGCTGTGACCGTGATACCAGTCAAAACTGCGCCACAAGGGAAAAAATTTATCGCCTTCGCTCGGGTTCGCAACGTCGCGGACCAGTAGATTCACGTAGTCCTTGTTCGCCTTGGCCCATTCTGGATCAAGATGGCCAATGGTAGCTGCAGCCAGGATGAAATAACCGTAGTGGAAGTGATGGTCGTTGTAATAAGTGTTTCCGAAATCAACTCCGGCGTCCCCCGTCACGTAACTCGCTGACGAGACTATCCCTCCCCAGGCAGCTACCCACGCCGCCGTTAGCGGGAACTCATAGCCATCAATTTAAAAAGAGTCACTTGCTTTCATATACCAAAGGAAACTTTTGCTTGTTGGCTGCAAACGTCCCAAAGGCCGCTTTCAATCGACCCAGTCCTGTTTTCGCCAATTCCTCGTCACCCAGTAGTTCTTGGACAACGTATAATATGGTCGCGAATTTAGCAAGGGCCTGAACCTCTCGCTTAGCCATGGAACCCTGTAAATGGATTTGAATAGGTCTCACCTTTCCGCTGAAATACATTGAATCCAGATTGATCTGTGCGACCATGTTTTGTGACAACTCCTTCGCGGCCGCGGCGCGAATTATGCTTCTGGTCCTGTTCGACAAATCTTTCATGGGTCCCTTTTCTGGGTGCCAGGGAGCAAAATCCATCTCCGTGGGCATGTGCAGCTCGACCATTGTCCATTCCGTGCCCCTCACCAAAGTGGCAACGCCCTTTGTGGTTGACTGGAGACGTACCTCCTGAACTCGCCTCATCGTCTCACCGTTGAAGGACGAAATATGATGAGGCAAGGCAAACATATAGAGATGGCCCAACTGATGTCCACCCTTCTGGAACTTGAATTTGTAGGAACCCTCTTGCCCGAATGCCGATCCTGATAATCCAACTGTCACTGGGTAGATCCCTGCTCCATCATCCAAAATTTCTTCAGAGCCCTTGCTGACGGGATCTTTGCAGACTTGTAGTATGCCGTAGAAGGGATGCTTTGATTCGGCCGTACTGTTATTTATGACCTTCAGGTCCAGCTCCTCACCTTTGGTTCTCCAAGCATACACTCTCCACGTTGTTTCGTCCTCCAAGTGAAAGTTGTATTTTGTGACATGCTCCTTGGGATTGGTGTTTACGCGTGTGACAGCCTTGAAGAAAACTCCCGATTGAATCAAAGGCACAGAGCCATCGAACTGCGCCGTGATATACGCCATTCCCTGGACCAAAGGAAAGGATATGGATGGCTGTGCCGTTCCATCCTGGCTTAGGTGGACTCTTGCGGAGAATGCTGTGATGCTGTCCATCGAAACAGTGGTTTCATTTCCAAGTTCCTTGGCAGATATTACCATTGACTGAATACCGATTGGGTTCAGATAATAGGACGATGCCCCGTCAAACTTCACATCGCCGAAGACTCTCTGGTGTTCCTCAACATGCGAACAAGACATGCCCCAGCTAGTGCTTCCGCCTTTTCCGCCAGCCCATGCCACGGAATATGGGAATGTGAAACTTGGGCCTCTTTGGTCACCCAAGAAAAAATTGGAATAAAACTTGTTGGTTTGCAGCGGCGCCTGCGACTGGATTCCCTTGCGGCGAACAGGATGATCGTGGCGGATAGATATGTTGGACGGCGGAGGTTTTGTATCTACAGGCGTATCAAATATGTCTCGAGACACCATAGTGGACGATGTTGTACGAGCCGAATTCTCAAATGTGTGAGTGGCCTTTAGCGTCGAAAAGGTGGTTTGCGCCGTTTGAAAGATGTTCAAGAGCAATTCTGCTGTTTTCTTCCGTGAAGTAGGCAGGTATGCCGCGATATTGTCTACCGTAGCTGGCTTCTGATATTTGATGCTCGGCAAAGCATATAGGGTCGCACTCGATGCGGTACGTGACTTGGCTCCCACGATCTTCGATGCTTTGTGATAACTTTGTATCAAGTCGGACTTTTCACCCGGACTCTGGATTGGCGTGGGTATATTGGGTGGCGAGGTTTCAATAGCGGTTCCGATTCTCGAGACCGATTTCTTACGCCAACGGTCTGTCGAGTTGTTGTCTTTTCCCAGCGAAATTTGTCGAATTCCACTCTTTGAAGTCCCCAACGTGTTGATATACCCTGTTACATACGTTAGCCAGCAAACCCAGGGAACCAATACCATATGAGACTTCATATCGAGTGTGTTGCAAGTGAGAACAAGGTGTGGAATTGGTTCGATTCAGGATGCAGAGGTCGAGGTCAAATCAGATGCCCATGCAGGTGGCTGGAGGAGACAAAGGCCTATAAAAAGGAACTGCCGCGATTCTTTTGCACAGCATTCCAGAGATATGCTGGTTGCCATGCCGTTTTGTAGCGGCATTGATTCACTTCTCCGGGTATCCAGCCACCTAGCTAGCCAAAGGACCGGAATGTGATCGACTACGGCAGATTTATCGCACGTACCTTGATAACGTGAATCAAATTTTCAACCAAGGGAAGAGGTTGGTGAATCTAATGGCATACAGGCGATGCGATGCGTGAATTCTTGAATTTTTAGGTGATGTATGTGGCCGTACTGCGATCAAGGTTGTGACGGGGTGGAGGTGTGGAATAAATCTACTTAAGTACTTTAGTAGGAGGAAGAGAGATTCAGTCACGCAAGGCTCTCGTCAGACTCGTGCAAAGAAAATTCCCTGATCAGGAAAGAGAAGTTATGTTCTTTCTCTCGAGGCCATCGAATCGAGCACATGGCTGCCAAGTGTGGAAGGAGCACCTGACATTTGGCTTTCGTGACCAATGTGAGTCGGGGATGTTGTTGTCGTCCGCGCACGTGTCTACCTACCATGTCTCATCTTTGTCTGACTTTTGATAGGCTCCAAGATAATGTGTTTATTCGAATGGCGTGAGCCAACAAAAACACCAGGATGCTGCACCGGACTCCCTGGTCTACTGCAATTGTCGCCGCCAGGCCAATGCGTCGCCGCGTTCCCCTCAAAGCCGAATCTATCTTCTCCGTCAAATGACATCATAGGCCCAGAGCGCTGTACTTCCCTTTAGTTGACCCCTCGAGTATCAATTGCCTGACTCTTGCTGTAGTATCACGTCTCAGCTTCGCCTTCTCTTTCGCCCGTGCTTCAACGGACTCGTGAGGCGAATCTAGCTCTCGAGTCCTTGCCGCTCTTTTCTCCGTACCCGTGCAGGCCTCTGAAGTGGCTGCAGGCCGCTTCTTCTTTCTTTCTGTACCGGAATGTAAAAGCCGGGATTCTTTGCGACAACGACGAATTTCCTTCTCGGACAGGACCCAGGGATTGTCAAGAACCTGAAGGCGAAACCTGGATCTCCTTTCCCACATTTCAACCTCTTGAGCCGTACTCTTCACGACTGCCAGTCTCTCAATCTTGATTTGTTTCTCGCCCCTGAAGGTCGACAGGGCGCCTTTGACATCGACTACGTCGCCGACGTCTATGTTGGCATATGTTCCAGGTAGATCCAAGGCATGCACGACGCTGGGCTTTGGCGCATCGCCGTAAGCTGATCCAGGATGGTATTCGGATGTTGCAACATTGCTCACTGAAGTGGGTGGTTGCATATTGACCAGAGCCTCAATACATTTCCCACTGCTATCGTCAACGGTGAAGACGCGTCGGCCAACGAACTCATCGATTGCTACAACTGGTCCAACGACCCGGACCCATTTAATGGGCAAATTTCTGTGAAAAAAAAAGTTTTCTCCTGTCGTCTAGATTAGCGCCGGACGACTGAGTGTTTTGCGACGCTCACCTTCGAAGCCTGGGTGCTGCTTGAGGGCGTGAATGTCAGACGCGCGAAGCAAACACCAGCTATTAGCCGTTGGCGACAGGTGGAAGCAATAGCGCGGGTAGGGCAGAACTTGGGCTTCGTCATTCATAGCATGATTGAAGCAAGCTTCACCCTGTGGAAAGGGTCGTAAATTGAGTCCTTGGGTACTTGGGTAGATTAATGGCCATGTACGTGACGTGACGTGACGTGAATCGAAGGAAGAGTCGACGTTGACAGCCAATGCCCGGCATGTAGGTACGTGCTGTCATGGTTACCAGGTCCAGGTCCCAGGCGCCGTTTGGCGGGCAAAGCACCGGGCCCACCAGACTCACAGGCTGCCGGTCCCCACCTTTCGACGCTGAAAACTTGCTCGAGTGTGCATGTCCCCAGTCACATTCACGCTTCCTCGCTGAATGGCAACCAGCCAGATGCAACGAACAACTTATCGTAGCTAGCAAAGCAAAAGCTTCAGTTGCTCATCTACCGGATTCCCGTATTCCGCAAAAGATAATTGCTCCTATCCTATACCCTAGCCTGAACCGTACTCCGGCGTGACCGATACCAAAAACCCCGCACGATACCTCATTTCTTGGACTTCTTGGATGCCCGGCCTCCCTTTTTCAACTTGGCAGCGGCGGTTTGAAAGGCTTCTTCTGAGGGCTCATCGTCCTCCACTGCTCGCTTTTTGCCCTTTTCGCTCTTGCTACTATTAGCTCCATACTTTTCCGCCAGGTGTTCGAGGAAATTCGCAGATCTGTTCTGTTGTCGTTTCTGGATCAAGGCTGCCAGGCTATCCTCGGAGCTACCCTTTGATTTCTTGTCCTTTGTGGAAAACAACATGTCGTGAACACCAAGTACCTTGGCATGGCTCTCTGCCTCCGCTGCCTCAGCTTTCGCGGCCTTGATACGGGCTGCGCGCTTCTTTTTACTTTCCTTTGAGTATGAGTCGAAGGCTGGCACGTCCTCATCGTCGATGGCCTTGTCAATAATGCTGCGAAATCTCTCATCATCCTCTGTGACATCACTCAACATGACGCGTTCGTAAATCTGATCCATGTCTCCTTCACATTCTTCGTAGGCAATCAAAACATCATCCCTTTCCTCATCAGAGCCCTTGTATTTCTCGGCAAATTTCCTAATTGCGTCCGCAGATATTGAGTCTCTGTACTGTTCTCGGTAGTAATCGCTCCAACTGAAGCCATCCGCGTCGACGATGGACTCTGAAGTTGAGCCGGTAGTGTCATATCGTCTGCGTCGCGCCGGGTCGGAGAGGATGGCGTAGGCAAAGGCAATCTTCTGAAATTTGGAGTGGGCCGCCTCTTTTTGTTCACTGGCCACCTTGTCTAACAGTTTCCATCAGTATACTAATTAAAATGGCTGGTAACTGTACGTGAAACGCACCAGGGTGGCTCTTGAGCGCTGCCTTTCGGTAGGCACTCTTGATTTTGTCTGCCGTGGCCTCGCGGTCGAGGCCGAGCACCTCGTACGGATCGATGACAGGTGGCTCATTGTCCATACAATCCTCAATATCAGACATTCCGGACGTCCGCCCCAATCCTGTGGCGCGATGCAGAATGGAGCCAGGAAGTTGTGTCAGCGTGGATGAGTCTGGCTGTCACGCGTCAGAACGCGCTTGAGGTTTGGGGCGGACTGCGCTTCTGGAGGGAGGTCCAATGGGTGGGGCTGTCCGGCTGTCAGGCTGTCCGGTGACAGGGCTGTCCAGATGCCGGCACCAAATAACTAATCCACCACCAGATTTGACTGCCCTCGAGTTCTAGACGTCTAGACATTGGGCCATGTGCAAGCCTCAGCCATCGAAGACATCAATAGCTGTGGTCCCCATGACACTGCATCTAATCAACAAATTCTTTTGAGGAAAAAAAAAAGACGTCCCACATCAAGTATGGCTGCAAGGACGGAACAAGATCACGACAAGCTCATGCGACACGCCCTGGCGTTGGCTAAAAGTTCACCGCCAAAGCCGAGCAATTTCCGGGTCGGGGCCCTCTTGGTCAATCTCGATAATGGGCAAGTTGTCGCTGAAGGATACACTCTAGAATGCGAAGGCAACACGCACGCTGAAGAGTGCTGTTTGATCAAACTCGCGGAGCAGCATGCCACCAAGGAAGAGGGTCTGGCCGACATCATCAACACCCCTCACGCATTATACACGACCATAGAGCCATGCTTCAAGCGCCTCAGCGGCAAGTTATCATGTGTAGAGAGGATTCTACAACAACAGTCGTGGATCAGGGAGGTTTATCTTGGAGTCCAGGAGCCGGAAAAGTTTGTTAGCAAGAATCCTGGCCGAGAAATGCTTGAATCATCTGGCATCACAGTGGCGGCGGTGCCGGGATTTGAGAAAGAGATTCTCGAGGTTGCGACGGCAGGTCATGCATCCGGTGCTTAATTTTTCAACAAGTCACATGGGCGGCGGTGGTTTACTCAATGTGGCAACTGGAAGGTATCCTGATACGAACTGGCTTCGTTGGCAGACATGATATGAAAGTCTTATTGTAGCATCCTCTCTCATTTGCTTTGGACACGCTCTCAACAGATGCGGAGAGTATACGGCGACCATTCAACGACGGTGCGTTCAATAGGCTTCTGAAACGCGATTCAACGGGAAACCACAAGGATATCTTATCACGAGGATGACGGATATGACCAGGGCTGTCCCCTCAATAGACGGACATTGGGCTTGCAGCTGTTGTTCGACACCTCCGGCCTATTGTGTTGCTTCCGGTGTCGCAAACCAGAGAATACCTCTGCCTCAAGCAAAGAGCAAAAATTCGGCTGCTTACTCGAGTATCTATGCTCTATGACTGCACCCACAACGTCAAGGCGATGTTGAAACAGCAAAGGAGGGGACGCGATGCAGAGCCCGGTCACGGTATCCATCAGGGAAAAAGGTATGGAGAATTTTTTAAAGCAACCACCGAACAACGACAAACTGTTTTGCCCAGAGGGAGCAGAAGCAGAAGTTATTTCTATTTCAGCTTTGCAGTCGGCTCTCAAACAACCCCACCATTTTGCTTTGCTCCCCATTCCCCGCATTCCCGCTGAAGCGCCGTTGGAGGGTGCAAGGGGTTTCTAACTTAGTTTGCCAAGACTTCAGCACTCCCGTGATCCAAAACCGACTGCATAAACCTATCTCGTGTCGATCCCTTGCAGGTTGGAATGTAACATTTTGCCACATCCTGGGGGCCCTATGATGTCTGCGAGGGGGTGAGGGCCGCTGCAGCTTTGATCATTAGCCCCTCGTTCGAGACAATCTGTATAAGATCCTCGATACAGGAGCTCTCGGCCTGGGCTATTGTTTCTTTCCTTCTATCCATGTCCCGAAAATTAAATTTGTTATGCTTCGCGCTTCAAACATCGACCAAAATGCTTGAACAGCCCGTTGTGTCATTTGAGCACGGCCAAGGATTCAGTCTCACTGGCGCAGATATCCTTATTGACCAAGATGAGTTCGAAGGAGTTCACATTGCAGCCAAGAACCTATCCAAAGACTTCACAAGAGTCACTGGCCGAGGTGGCAATGCAGTTCTGACAACAGCAACGGACCGCGTCGAGTCTAAATCTTGCATCATTGTGGGAACATTGTCAAAGTCAGCCATGATCAAGAAGCTTGAATCCGACGGGAAAATCGACTTCTCCAGCATCGATGGAAAAGGGGAATCTTGGGTCACGCAATGTGTCTCCAATCCAGCTGAGGGTTATGACAACGCCCTGGTAATTGCCGGCAGTGACAAGAGGGGTGCTATTTACGGCATATACTCTCTGTCTGAACAGATCGGAGTCTCGCCGTGAGTCTTCGAAGGGCCAAATGAACTTGTTTAATTTCTAACACCTCGGCAGATGGTGCTGGTGGGCAGATGTTCCTCCAAAAGTTCATGACGACATTTATGCACTTCCCGTGTCAACCCGCAATGGCGAGCCAAGTGTCAAGTATCGAGGTATTTTTATAAATGATGAAGCACCAGGAATGGACTCGTGGGTCCACGAGAAATTCGGCCCCAAGTTTGATTCCAACTTCTATTACTTGGTCTTTGAGCTACTCCTTCGGCTTAAAGCCAACTTTATGTGGCCTGCCATGTGGAGGGGATACCCGTATCCAGGCCGGTCATTCTTCGTGGACGATCCCAAGAACCAGGCTCTTGCCGACACTTACGGGATAGTAATGGGCACTTCTCACCACGAACCAATGCAACGCGCCATGAACGAGTGGTCCACCACAGAACCAGCAAACACTTGGAACTGGGAGACGAATAGGGAAAAGGTCACAGAGTACTTCAGATTTGGTGCGGAGAGAGCACGGCCATTTGAGTCGTATATCACCATGGGCATGCGAGCGGAAGGAGATAACCCTATTAACGGGAGTGACCCTCAAAAGATCCTCACAGATGTCCTTGATGTGCAAAGAGGTATCATAGAGGACAACTACGGGAGCAAGGGTGGTGCGATGCGTAAGTTGGCCTTCATGCCGGAGTAATTTCGTCGCTGATTTCCGCGCAAGAGTTGATGGCACTGTACAATGAGGTGCAAAAGTACTACGACAATGGTTTGAAGATTCCAGAAGACATCACACTTCTTTTCTCTGACGATAACTTCGGCTCCCTCCGCCGACTACCGAATGAGCAAGAGAAGAAGCGCCCCGGTGGCTCCGGAGTAGGTCTTTCTGACGAGAACTCTCTATATAAGTCTCCTAACATTTCAATCGACCAGTACTACTACCACTTCCAATACACGGGATATCCCCGATGCTATCGGTGGATGAACAGTAACAGCCTAGTAAGCTTCTAGAATATCAAGTACGGACATACATGTTGTATTGACATGAGTTTTAGGGGAAAGCATGGCACCAGCTGCAACTAGCGCATGCCCAAGGCGCAAATCGCATCTGGGTCTTCAATGTTGGCGACCTCAAGCCTTGTGAGGTGCCCATGAGCTTTGCATTTGATCTTGCTTGGAATGTCCATTCTATTAGCGCCGACTCGTTTCTCCAATATTACGAAAAATTGGCAACACGAGAATTTGGGCTCGGGCACGCGAAACGAATCGCCAAGGCTTGGTACGACTTTGACCATCTTGTCGCGCTTCGGAAGCAAGATCACATCGACGTGAGCACATTTTCTCTGCTCAAGCATCACGAAGCAGACAGTATTGTGGCACGTTGGAAGACTCTCGTGCAGGATGCGGAGGAAATTGACGCTCGGATTGGCAAGGAGTACAAGTCGGCATTCTTTCAACTTGTTCTCCATCCAATCAAGGCGTCTTATTTATGTACCTTGCTCCGGGTCACGCAGTATCGAAACCAGCTATTTGCCAAGCAGCGTCGAAACTCTACGAATGTGCTATTCCACCGGAGCCTCGACATCCTCGACAAGGACCATGATCTCATGATGGAGTACCATACCATTAACGGCGGCAAGTGGAACCACATCATGAGGCAGCCGCACTATGGATACGGGGATACTGGTGCTCAACCGTCAAGAAATATGATTGATGGTCTTTGCTACGTCCAGACTAGAGAAGACTCCAATCCAAGTGTTGGGCACATGGGCATTGCCGTGGAAGGCACTGAGGGCATCAACCCCGGACATATCAATGAGGACTCGGACCGAACTCACCCATCCCGCAAGTGGCTGGAGCCGGGCGTCACCCTTCCTTTTATCACTCCGTACGGTCCACAGGACCGATATTTTGAAGTATTCCACCGCGGAACAAGGGCATTTTCTTGGGTCGCCAAACCGCAGTACGATTGGATCAAGCTCACCCAATACCAAGGCCATCTCAAACCCGAAGACGATGATATCAAAGTGATTCTCACTATTGACTGGACTCAAGTGCCGGCCGGCTTTGATGAAAAAGTATTCGTGGAAGTCGTTGGTTCTCGAGATGGCTACGAAAAGGTCCATTTGACAGTGCGGCATAGCCGAGTGCCTGTTGACTTCACTGGCTTCGTGGAAACTAGCGGTCACCTGGCCATCGACGCGGGCAATTGGGTTACTTCTCCGTACCAGGCTCTTCCAGCCCTGGGGCGCACCGTCGCGGGATCGGTGACTCTACCAATCGGCAGGGGCCAGAGCAATCCCGACGACATCCCATTCTTGCGCTATCCGATATATGTCCTTTCCGACCGCGAAAACACCAATCTTGAGCTGCTATTCAACATGACTCTGGAAACAGACCCCCAAAGTCGTATGGAGTACGACATCCGCTGGGACGGCGGAGAAATCCAGCGATATCGTCTTACGGACGATGACCCTGGCAACGACCGTGGCCTTCCACGAGGCTGGAACGTGGCCGTCATGGACTGCGTCTGGAGGAAGTCACACAACATCGGGCACGCCACGGTCGGTGCTCACACCATCGAAGTGCGCCTCCGCAAGCCCAACATGATTTTGGAAAAGCTTGTTCTGGACCTTGGAGATTTGCGGTACACATATTTGGGCCCGCCGGAGAGCGAGTACGTCGAGGCTAACAGTCGCACAACCACCTATATCAGACACAACGATCGGCTGAGCTTGGATCTGAGATATTGACCTACTACCCATGCTATATATGTAACATGCTTTTGCTTCAATGAGTCCTTCCTGGAACGTAAACTGTCTGACTTGCTAGAAGACAAAATAAACACGGTATGCTTTATTTTTCGCACGCAACAACGCGTGCGACTGTAGTCACAGCCGCTGAAGTAGTCAAGGTGCAATTGGACTGGTTGCAAAGTCGAATAGGCAGCATTTGATTTCGGTGCAAGGGCGGCCTGATCTGGTTTTCCGCCGTGTGCGAAGAAGGTCGTACCCTGGAAGCTTGCCGCACCGCAGCCGCAGCCGCAGCCGCAGCCGCGACCCGCACCAGAGCGGATCTTGAAATTGGCCAGAGGCTACGGAGTAACTTCAAGCTCCTCCTCCTCCACGCTCCTCCCTGCACACGGCTTGCGACGCCCGTCGTCTGCCTGGTCTCAACAAGCTCAAACCCTCGCAGCACCATCTCGTCATCCCCTTCAAGGTCCTCCGGTCCTCCGGTCTTCCGGTCCTCCCAACCAAAAGCACCACACGAACCGGCGCCCGTTCAACTCACCTCACCCTACAAGTCTAACAATCCCCAACCATGGCAACCCAATACGAAGGCAAAAGCTGCCCTCTTCCCCCCTCTTGTCCTCCAAACGAGAACTAACACAGCCCAGTCGAGCACAACGTCGAGTTCGCCGAGACGCAATCCCGCTCCCGGCGCGTAAACATGGACTCGTTCTTCTCGCTGCTCAACCGCATCAGCGACTCGGGCACCGCCACGCCTCACAACAACCCGCACGCCACGCCCACGCTGCCCGACATGGCCAACATCTTCCGCCTGCTCCAGGACCAGATGCAGACGCTGGCGAGCACCGCACCGACGGCGGAGAACCGCAGCTTCCTCATGGACCTGGTGGACGCGCTGGACCAGGACATCCTCGACCCGCCCGACCAGCTGCGCGGGGTCAGCCAGGAGTTCCTCGACTCGCTGGACCGTGTGAGCCGCAAGAAGCTGCGCAAGGATGACGACTGTGCCATTTGCAAGATCCCGTACCTGGAGGATCCGTACTGTCTCGTCGTCGAGTTGCCGTGCAAGGGGGCCCATCAGTTTGACCTGGAGTGTGTCGGGCCGTGGCTGAGGAGCAAAGGGACGTGTCCCATGTGCAGGGAGGAGGTGGGCAGGCAGAAGCCGGCCGTAGTGCAAGACGACGACGAGGGCGACGACATGGACATGATTTACGCCTAGACAGACGGGGTGGGTTGGGTAATTGGCGCATGGAGCGTGTTGTTACCCAGCTGAAATGCAGTGGCGTTGGGGTCGTTGTTGTCGTCGTCGCAGTATACACAGTATTATAAGCGAAAGGGAGAGGACGAGATACCACACTTGTGAGAGGTGAAGCTTTTCCCCATCTTTCTCACAAGCGAACCGCCATGTATTGGCATTCTATCGGATGACAATGACACAGACACAGACACAGACACACGCTTCTTTTGCCAAGTCGTGTATACCCCTACTTAGCTGCCCGCAATCTCCTTCATCTTGTCCAAAGCCCTCTGCGCCTTCTCCTTGGCCGCGCCGCTTCCAGCGCCGGCACCCAAGACACCAAGTCTCTCGCGCCAAAAGTTCCACCGGTCATTGCTCAACCCCGACGTCTCAATCTTAAGCAAAGATCCTGTCTTCAGGGCCCGCTTCTCCATTGCGTCCAGCTGCTTGGCCTGCCGTCCGTTGGCATACAGCTCCTTGCCGGCGTGAACAATCCACTCATATGCCGTGGCAATCCTCGTATCCTTGGCATTTGGCCGATCCTCGGGCGTTTCCTCCAGGCCAGCGCGCAACTCCCAGATGCCCAGATTCTCCCACGACTGCAGCGAAGCGCCGTATATTCTCGCGGCAAACGAGTTGAGCGAGATCCACTCCTGAACGGTGGCGTCGTCCTTTTCCGAGCCATCAAAGTCGGGAGACACTGCAACCGCACCAACAGTTAGCTGTGACGATGCTCGGGATTCAAAAAGCAAAAGATGGCGCTGCGCACAGTTCCACTCGTCTCTCATGACGGGCCCCAACATGGGCAGTTCACTCCAAACGCGCGTCTTCTGGCCCCACATCTCGACCTCTTCGTCCCGCTTGCCCTTGAGCTTCTGGACAATCGTGACGAGGAGTCCCTGGCGGGGGTCATCGGCGGGTACCTTCTTGGCCACGGCGACGAGGAGCGTCCAGAATGTCCAGAGGAAGCCCTCGGCCGCGGAAACATTAGAAGGGTAGAGCTTGTCGATCTCGCGGGCGGTGGTTTCGGCGGAGGGCTCGGTCGGGGGCAGGTCGTTGATGGCACTGGAGAGTATGGATATGATTTTAGGCTCGTACTCTGAGGAGGAGTCCTTGTTGAGGGGGGTCAGGTCGATGGGGGCCGACATGGTTGGCGACTGTGCGACGAGACGACGAATCTTGGGTGAAGACGGCGGGGCTGAAGCTATTTCCTGGAGGGGAGGGCCAGGAGCTCTGTTGGAGGTTCCTCGTCGTGTTTGAATCGGGGCAGCGGGAGGGAACGGGTTTGAATGGGGCGGGGATGGAGGATGACGGAAGTTGAAGGCGTCGTGTATCGTAGCACGGACGAGCCACGTCGCTTGCTTTGCTGCAGGGTGCCGAGGCCGAGAGGGCATCCAGTCGAACGGAGGACGAGAAACTGGACGAGGACGAGGCACATGCTGGAGCTGCGCAGAGTGTCTGGTGGGTGAGCTGGGCTGCGTCACTGGCTGACGGAGGCCCGCAGCCTGGATGGATGCGGGGACGTGACGTGGGGGTTGAGAGGTGGGGTTGTTTTGCGTGCGGAAAGAGTCACGGGCCGAAGGGAGACGGACGGCGCGCAGTTGGACGGAGCCAATCGTTCAGCATTCAGCAACTTCACGACACCGCAATCTCTGTTCCTCCTTGGCTGCGATGGTGGCTACGGCCTAGTCTTTTATTTTTGCTTGTTTGTTCCAAGCTTTGACTTTCTCCTCGCCCCTCACACTTCCCGCGATTCGTAACGTCAAGCAGACTCCCTTGCCGTTGGGCAGCGTCATAGTCCCCATTCCCTGCCTTGGCCGATTCTGTTGAGACTTTCACGTCGACAAAATCGGATCACACAGTAGATCGAGTTGCGTGGCACTGGTGGCAAAAATTTCGAGAAAATAATCGAGCTTTCAGCGGGTGCAAACGAGTCAAATTGGTCCAAAATGGAAAACTGACACCAAGTCGAGTCGAGTCGAGTCGAGTCGAGTCGAGTCGGGGGGGACGACCAGAGGGAACGATCATGACATGACTGACTGATGGCTGCGGATTATAGTAACGGACGAGCTGGCTCGGAGAACATACGTGATGGCGAATACGTACGCGGCGGTTCCGCGTCTAGATAGGATCCTGGGCATTTGACCTCGAGATGATTGTTTTTTGGGTCTACTCCGTAGAAAAGCTCGGTATTCAGGGATCCCCGGTCGACGTGATGCGCTTCCACCTGCTTCCGGTTGCTGCTGCTCCTGTTGCTGTGAAACTACCCATCGACCCAGGCACTCCGTTCCGTAGTCCGTACGTGTAATGGGTGCGTCCAAGCGATAACTACCCGCCATCGCAGGCCGTGATCCGACGTAAAACGTCCCAAGCCGCTTCCCGCCTCCCGCCTCCCGCTTCCCGCCTCCCGCCATCCGTCTTCCGCCTCCCGCGACCCGCCGTGTCTGGAAGTTGATGCGTGACAATTGCTGGACTGCTTGGGAGATGATCTATAATTTAGACCTGGTCCCCCAGTCCATAACCTTGTCGTGCAGGCTTCCAGAGCTGGCTTGCCTTGTCACTTGTGTGTCTGGCAAGTGACGTCCACTGGTCCTTCCGCACAAACCCTCGACCTCGATTGTGCAACGCCGAGCACGTGCCAGGTCTCGACCGGCTGCGGCGTAACTGCAACAACCTCCGAGTCTCTGACATTCGCGCAGCAAGCATGACGGATATCCACCGCGGCTGGTCGTCGACGCCGTGGGAGCTGCGGGCTCATCTTGCAGTACCCATGTTTCACAAGCCTCGCGTTCCCTACACACGTCTGCCCAACAATCTGCAACACGTCCATGTTTGGATCCCGGCCCAGTATGCACCACGGGAACCGCAATCCAAAGAGCCCTTGCCGTCGTGGCTCCCCCCTCCCGACACCCTCTGGATCATCTACATCCACGGCGGTGCATGGCGAGATCCGCTCGAGACGGCAGACGACCTGGTGCCCACGCTCGAAAGCCTCTCCCCAGCCTTGTTCGCATCCCGCGAGGCGCCGGTCGCATTTGCCTCCATCAGCTACTCTCTGTCTGCCTATCCGCAGCACTCGACGCACCCGAGCTCACCGTCCGACCCCAGCCGCAATGCCACTCACCCCAGGCACCTCCTCGACGTGCTGACTGCCATTTCACATCTCCAGAGAACCGCCGGCTTTGGGAGCAATTACATCCTGGCGGGACACAGCTGTGGTGCTACGTTGGCGTTTCAGGCCGTCGTGAACCCCGCGAGATGGGGCACCGACATGGACAGGGCGACTATCGAGGCGCCGCAAACCGTTCTCGGGCTCAACGGGCTCTATGATATGCCCAAGATGGTGACGGATCCCGGCCATGGCTACAGTCAGTACCGCGAGCTTTACAGACAATTTACGTCGAGCGCCTTTGGCCCTGACGAGCATGTGTGGAGAGCCATCAGCCCCGTCTACATGGAGAATTGGGCAGAGGAGTGGCCAGAGGGGAGACACGTGTTCGTTGTACAGAGCCGTGGCGATACCCTGGTTCCATTCTCGCAGGCAGAGGCGCTGGAAGCAAGCTTGTTGAAGTCCGGTGGTCGTCGGCTGCGTGTCCAGCTGCTTGAAGGGCGAGGTGATCATTACGACATTGTGAAGCAGGGCAAATTCTTTGCAGAGATTCTGACTCGATCGATTGATGTCTCGGGACTTTAGCTGTGTCCTGCATCCATAACCCCCTGAGAGAGAGCAGAACGACGAAGAAAAGAGAAAAGGGAGAAAGGGGGGAATCCCACCCCGTGTATGGAATATCAGCCGCACGCCTCCATGTCTTGATACAATGCTCAAAACCCAAAAGCCGCGCGCGCATCACGCAATAGACATCTTCATCCCGCCGTTGGCGCAAACCACACTCCCTGTCGTCCAACCTGCCTCCTCCGAACACAACATATCAATCGTCCCGGCAATCTCGCCCGTCAGGCCAGGCCTCCTCCCCGCCATACCATTCCGCACCGTCCTATCAAACCGCTCGCCATCATCGCCAAGCAATTTCAATACGTCCTCCTCCCCATTGTACGCCGCCAGCGGCGCCGCATCCACAAACGGCTGGTTGATCTTCCAGAACTTGTCGCCCGCCTGCGCGTACATGTCCCCCCATGCCGGGCCAGGGTTCACCGCATTCACCGTCGCCTTTTCAGCCAGCTCCCTGCTCCAGGTGCGCGTCATTGCCTCGACGGCCGCCTTACTACCCGCGTACACCGACTGGCCCTGGTATCCGATGGATGAGCTGACGCTGGAGACATTGACAATACGTCCGGAGCGATTGGCGGGCAGGTACGGGGCCGCAGCTTGCGTCAGGAGCAAAGGTGCAAGGACGTTGACCGTGTATACGCGATTGAATTCGTCAGCCGTGACGGGGCCCAGCGTCGGATCGTTCAGGTGCTGGTTGGATGCCACGCCTGCGTTGTTGATCAGAATGTCGATTTGGAAGTTTCCCGTCGGGCTGTAGGCGGCGAAGAGCTCCCGCGCGGCCGATACGACCCGCGGTACGGCGGCGGACGGATCGGAGAGGTCAGCCTGGACGGAGGCGCACTGGACATTGTGCGAGGTTGAGAGCGCAGCGACGAGAGCCTCGGCACGCGCCTTGGAGGACTCGGACGTATATGCTACGACAAGATTGGCCCCCTTGGCAGCGAGTCGCCTTGCTACCGCTTCCCCGATACCTAATTTGGCGCACAAAAAAAGAGAAAGAGGTCACTACGCAGTCGAGTTGTTGTGTTGTGGTGGTCGTGGATGGAGGAGTCTAGTGCTAAATCAATGTCATGGGAACAAACCTCGCGAGCCGCCAGTAACGATGGCCAGCTTATTTTCATACGGTCGTGACAGTCGTTCCGCCATGGTGGAAGCCTTCTTGGAGTGAACACGGAGTCGTTCTTGACGCGAGGAGAGCTTTTCAAATCAAATGTCAAATCACGCCTGACAAAAGACATGGATGACTCCCAGCGCCGGCGGATGCATGACATGTCGAGAAATATAAACCGTCGGGTGCTGTCAATCGCGGGCGAGCAACACCCGACTGAATCGGACTGATGGTGGCCGCCCCACGGCGAGCGGGCGGGGTTGTGGTCTGTCTACCTGCCTACTTAAGTAGGTACTTACGTAATTGACGTGTAGCCTGATCGGTGTCGCCCTGTCATTAGTAAGCTCTCGGATTGTCTAGTGTTGCGCAGAGCCGGTCGCTACCCTGCACCCTACCTGCTCTCGGATACTGCTTTTGTGGCTTCCGGTTCTGGCGAGAAGATAAAACAAACTTGCGTGAACATGGTGTCGAGATTTGGGACATATGCCGGGGGCGGGGGAATAAAGACCATCGGTGAGTGTCCTGATGCACGACCGTGTGCAATGCACACTACTGCGTGCCAATGCTTCTCTAGAGTCTTGGGGAGGGCTACAATTTATGTACGGCCGAAGCTAATATAGCCATAAGCTCCGATGGCATTGAGACGCCTGCGAAGATGCGATCAAGGTTTTTTTTCCGAATATCTGTCGGCTCCGCCTGGACATGAGGAACTAGACACGCTCGAGAACGACACAGTCGCCATGTCTCATTATGGCAATGCTCTCTGCTTACCGCCAGCCATCTCGAAGAGGCCCTCCATATCGCCGCGAGACTGTGCAATGGATGCTCCAACCGAGAATGCCACGCGACGTGGTGCTCCTCGGGCAGATGTCGTTGCCATGGCCAAGGAAATTCCTAGCCCGCATGTAAAAGAGACTCAGCAAGGCGTGGAATTTATATCTAGTATGCGTTCACCTGAGCTCAAGAGGCGGCCAGGCGGTTGCCCAGACATTCAACAAATACTAACTTTGTGTCGTCAAGTCGGGACTCTAAAAACGCCCTTCTAGTCAAACGAGCTTCGTTGAGTTCGTCCATGTTTCAAACGCTAGTGATGGCGTGTTCAGGACCGCGATCGAAGCTTACTTTGATGCTTGTGAGCACATAATGAGTGGCCGGCATCATCAGGGCATGCCGGAATTTGCAGAAGCTCGTGACCGTCACAATTAAAAGGCGCTCGCGTGACCTCGACCACGTGAGCAATTCAGCCGCCCGTGAGCAGCCCTCAGCGTCTTTTGTCATCCAGCCAGTATTGTCCACGACAAGGCCAGTGCTTGCCAACAACCCCCGCGCGGTCCGCGTGTCGAAAGCACCGCCGTCTTTTGTTAACCGTCTGGGCATGTTGAACAGCGTCCGGACCTGCGGCTGATGCGTGAGCCATGTTTCCTGACGGCTTGCGGATGGCACCAAGTCATCCGGTGATGGAGCATCGCAGGGTTCGAACTGTTTGAAGCCGGGTCCGGGTTTCCCTAAAAAGGCTGTTTCCGGCCTTGATCCTCCCATGTGTGAGCACCGAGTCACGCCAGGAAGAAGTCTGCGAGGCTCAGTGCGGCCCTGTTGCCTTTATGATGACGACACGCGACTGATTATATGTAGTGCGGCTCAGCCGTCTGCGCTGGGTGCGGCGCCACCGAGAAAAGCCCAACCGTCTTGGATGTCAATGTCAGGAATCGGGATCCTTCCGGCTTCGCCCACGCTTACTGGTGGTGTCGTGGGCATCGCTGCATGCGGCTGCATGGATGGCCAACGATGTACTCGGTGCTGGCTCTAATGAGAGGGTGACTGGGATGGTCAATGGCCGTGTTTGCTTCAGGAAGATGACACCATGGGCGGAATGGACCTATGATGAAATCCCGTCATTATTGAGTGGCATTTGGTGCGCTCGAGTCCAGGCGGCGACCCGGCATCAATGGCCGAGTACCAACAATTTGCCTGCTGATCGGTCAGTCCGAGGGTAGGTCGATTCAAGAATGCCTGACAACACCAACAGATATATTACGTGGCACATTGACCTGCTTGCCTACGCACTGCAGGATCAGGATCGCTAGGCAGGGAACTGGCCCAGGCAGCCTTGGCCAGAAAAAGGCTCATCGTGTCGGGGCAACATGCTCTCCTTGATGTGTAAGGATGAGGATACGTCGGTATGCTGCGTCTCAGGACGGCGTCTCAGGAATCAAGAGCGATGCCGCCACAGTCATGCTCTGTGTCATGAAGAAAGAGGCTGCTTGAATGCTGGCATATTCTGGCATTTGGATTCTCCTGCTGCCGTGTCGTACTCATGGCAGTAGAGGGGTTGCTCCTCGCGCGGTTTTGCAAAGGACAAGTATACTTGTATTGGTGGCTATACTCTGGGTTACATGCGTGTCCATCTCTCCATCTCCCGACACCTTCTCCGTTAAAATGTCTTTTGATAGTACATATGAGCTAGAAACTACTGAAGAGATCCTCATCCTTGCCCAGCCAGCTCTGGATCGGGCGAACAGGAGCTGCTATCCATCTCGGTTGATGCACAGTCAAGAAGCAGTATGGCGTCCATAGTGCAAATCTCGTTTCAAGGAACATCACACGGCTTTCATCTCATCCCCTCACGCCATACAAGAGCATGTAAAAGGGTCACAATAGAGAGAGTACAGAGTGATAAAACATCTCTTTCATTACTAGTAAGCGGAGCAGAAAGCAGTAAAATTGAGCCGTCTAAGGGCTACCGGTGCCAAGAAACGGCAGTGACGTTACATGTCTCATATGACCGATGGCTCCTCCCGCGTAGCGCAGTCTGGCGATGACGCCTGAGGCCCGTTCAAGGGAATCGCGGCGAGCTGTTCATGCTCTGTAGCGCCTAACAATGGAAGACTGCTTCGTGACGACGAGGACAGGCGAGCTGGTTCCTCTCCTTGCACCACCACTTGAAGTGATTTGCAAATAGTGGCGTATGCTAGTCTCGACCAACACGTGGGCCAGCAAGGATTTGGGGCCAAATTGGCACGCTGTCTGGGTTAAGTATTATCATTCCTTAATTATGCATTGCCTTCCTGGCTAGCACACAGTTGCCGGGCTTGTATCGTTGAATTTTGGCATCTCATGCTCACGATCCGGTTCGTGGTGATGGCTCATTCACTCCCCCTGGTGCATAGTGATGTCCAAAAATGGACCAACTGCTGCGAAGTGGATGGATGACTAGGCATCGTCGTCATCCATGGCTTCTCGTTATAGGCATCCATGTGCGTATAAACAATTGAGATGCGATCGACCTGCCTAAGCCTGAATCTGCCTCAGCCCATGCGGCCATGTTTGAGCTTCGTATTGACACTGACGTCAATGGTATCGGCCGTTGCATGTCGGCTGACTGATGCTGCAGCAATTCGGAGGCGGGATGACGGCACACGCCATGCCCCGACAGCTTGGGCACGATATGCTTGCCCGACACGGAAATGAGGAGACGACTGATTCCTTCGGCGGCGGATAGCAATATTGACTCCGGGGACGGCGCGGCGCGGAAATTGCCGCACAGGGCAATTGAAACGAGACCAGACGACACGATGGCGTCAAGTGCTTGATCCGACAACGACCGTACGGGAAACTGAGATGAGCTCTCTCCCTGCCTCTCTCTCTCTCTCTCTCTCATTACAGCTAATAGTAGTAGGCAGGGTCACGACTTGGTTCCTGCCCTGTTATGAGGCGAACCGTGCAGATCGTTCCTTCCAATATTGCGTCTCCTCGCTGTTTCCTCCGGGCCAGTTATTTCAACATCCCGTCTAGACCAGGGAACTCCGCTTTTGCGCTCTTCCTCCATAAAATCCGGTATTTCTCGTGCTCAAATTCAAGCATCTTCGAGCTCAGCGATCTCAGCACCCGCTCAAGCCCGAGCCCGAGCCCGAGCCCGCGCCTTTCATCGGCAACGCCGAACCAGGCCTCTGGAGAAGATTAGACCCTCTGGCTGGCCAGCGGGCATTCGGTCCGCTCTTTGGGACAATTTGGGATTCCTTTCTCCACCAATGTCATCTAGCCTTGTGATGGATGGTATCGAATCCGCCACTGCCGCTAGTAAATACTCCGTAGAAGACCCTTGGCAATTTAACGGCGTGGTGTGTATCTTGGTACGACTGAGTTCCTTTGCTAAAGCGTTTGTTTGACAGCAGAGGAAATCATCAAGACACAATGGCCCGTGGCGTAATTATCCCGGCGATGTGGCGACAACCCGGTATTCTGATGGGCTGAAAAATACCTGGGCCTGTTCCCATACCAAGCCTGGGACTTGGAGGATCGGATCAATGCTAAATCACCCACACTCAAAAAGCCAGGGAAAAAATGTCCCAAAAAAAGGATTGAACGATATCGTGCTAGTATTATTATGCCCAAACGACACCAGGATAAGAGTCTTCCCCCGTCGCTTTTAGGTAAAGGGGAGGGGGAGAACAAGCTGATCTTGTGGGTATTCACGTCGAGCCTCCACCAACTGGACAATATCTTCGAAACTCAAATCTCTAATTAATTAGTATCATCTCGCGCTAGGCAATCGGGAAGGCAGTACGGAGTCGAGGAGTAATATCTGATGGGCTCAACGAGGCGTCCGCCCATTTGTCGGGTCAGAACCTGGTGCGTGCCAACATCCCAAGATCATGCGGAAGGAGGTCTTGGTTCTCTCCAGGAAGTTGAAGCTTACTTATTACCCAGGTACTGCGATGCCGTCTTCTCACGCACGGGTCAGGGGCACGGGGTAGACATGTACCAACCAAGCTAGAGTCTGTACGGAGAGCAACAAGCTAAAACAGTACCAGAGTATCCGCAGAGGTGACGGAAGGTGTGCCGAGATGAGGCTACAGAGTATGGTCAGCGAGCATGGGAGAGGCAAACCTATGAGGTGGCGCCATTGACCAAACATACGTAATACGGAGGCGCAACGACATGACCGCACCACGATACGGGGTAATGTTGCCGACAGTACGGAGTACTCGATTCTTCAGAAGGGCTCAGCGCCAAGGCATTGGGCCTTGTGCAATGACTTCCACGCGGCCAGCGCCCGTTCCTCACGTGGAGGGACCCCTGCTCTAGTTGGTAGTGGGGTGGATTCGGTCGTGATGCTTGGGAGGTTTGTCAGTCAATCCCGAAGTTTGTGTTGTACTGAGCAGGGACGGAGCACACCGTGAACAAATTCGCATCAGCACGCGTGCCGCCAGGAATCACCAATCGACACCATCAAACCAAATTGTCAGTTTGCTTCTTGTTTGGATCACGGGTACGACGATAAACTGAGACTCTGAACACCGCGACACCGCGACACCGCCTGAGTGTGTAGGGAGGGGGTGGGGAGTTGGGGAGACAATTCAACCAGGACGGTCAGATTCGATATGCATGTTGGCACTGTTTTTGCAAGTACGAACTATTGCGTATGCATCATGAAGCGCAAATTGTGGACCAGTCGTCAACGGTCCATGACGGTGTGAATACCTAGGTACTCCGTGCTCCGTAGTAGACGGGTTATCAACCTTGTTTCATCAATGTCCGGCCAGCGCCCGTAGGGCAGCCAACCGGGGCGGGCGAGGGACTGGGCGGTGTATCACATCGTGTCTGTGCCTGCGCCTGTCTGTGCCTCGTCTGCGTGTGCATCTATCTGAATCAGCTGGACCGCCCAGCCGTCGCCTTTTCCTTCAAGGTTCGCTGTCTGCCATGTTGGCGCCCCCCACCGTCGACTTTTTCTCGAAGCCTGTCGGATCCGTTGCTCCATATTTGCGCCAATGCACCAATGCGCCAATGCGGCCCATGCACCAATGCATCCTTGCATGTATACCTAGGTACTTGGGTACTGCATGGAGAATTGGTCTGGTTCACCAGGGAGCGTCCGTACGTGCTCCGGACCGACGGATAGACACCCACGTGGGGGTTTGAGACTCGAGAGAACCGACTCGGTACCCACTGAAGTAGATAGGTACTTGGAGGTACCCCGTTCTCCGTACTTTATCAGGCACTTTAGGTTTTGGCTGATGGGCGGCGACGCGGCATTGCATTGGAGTGAAACCATGGGTTTCTAAGTAGTAGTCTGCACACCTGCGCATCTGCTGCACACCACCCTCGTCCTCGTCGTCTTGGTTTACACTCGGGCAAGCAAGATGCAGAACCCTCGCCTCTCGCCTCTCGTCTCTCGCCATCGCCATCGCCATCCGTCCCCGTGCCTTGTCCTCGTGGCCCTCTGCCAGGTCCAGGTCCCCCTATCTTGCCGCACATCGATTGAAGTCACCTAGCCACCTACTTACTTAAGTACCTACTGACTTGGTACTTGGGTGCGTACTACTCCGTACTAGATGCTTGTACTTGCTACGCGGGGCGGGCTATGCTACTGTTGTAGAAGCGAATGAGCCTTTGTGCGGAGGAACTTCCAGACTTGGTAGCTCTTTGAAAAGAAAAAAGGTACCCACCTAAGTACTGAGTACTTGGGTACATAGGTACGGAGTACTCCGTACTCGGGTAGACATGCTGATGCCGGGCCGCCGCGCCAGAAAGCACCCAGCTCGTGAGCCACGGGCGCCAGCAGCAGCCAAAGCCCAGCGTCTCATCAAAAAAAGTCGGCAGCAACCGATAGATAACATTGCACCGGGGCCTGCGCCTGGCCGACTTTGCCTTGCTGCCTTGTTCGTCTGCCAACATTGCCATAGCAGAAGCCCTGTTTATTTAGTCATTATTGTTATCACTGTTGTATTTTTTTTTTCGCGGTTTTTTAAGTTGCCAGCCAGCACTGCTCCCTCGGTTCCTTCCCCGTTGCGCCTCCAGATGTCCCACATGCTTCAATTAGCCACACACATCCTTTAGCAGTAGCTTTAGCCCTGAAACCTGAACTGAAGCCTGTAGCTTCTTTCCTTCTTGTTGCTTCCTGCATTGCGGTTCAACTTCAACACCTACCTGCCTTGACCACCTGCCGACCCTCTCTTCTCTCGACCTCGACACGACACGACACGACTGCACAGCCGGCGCATCCCTGGGCTTCAGCCTTGATTCGTTGCTCCGCAATTGACCTGTGATCGGCCGTCCCCCCCGGGGTCATCAGAATCCAGCGACGTCTATCTAGTGACTTTACTAGCCAGCTTGTTATTCCATGTACCTTTGAGTGAGCCCGCCGCTTTTCGCCTGCAGCATCAGCTCCAAAGTCTCAGCACCCGCGGGCCGAATCGTTCTCAAATCGCGTCCGCCGACAACCATTATTTGCACTTCGCCTCTTGAAGTTTGGACTTGCACGGCGCCGGACGACTGGATAGCATCAATCTTTCCTTCGTACACCGTTCCTGCCAGACGTTCCGCGGCCCGAAAGGCTTTCGATACCCAGTATGCTTCTTGGCTTGCGACTAAGATAACCTCCTCTCTCTCTTTTTTTTTTGTCCCTTGCCCGCTGTTTTCAGCATGGGCAACGGCCAAGGAAAGCCCGTCGATCTCAGTGGCGAAGGTGAGTTGTCGCCCGCCAAGGCCTTTGCGTCTTCATCTTGAGCTTCGTCACTATCGTCACCATCTCTACTGTCCATTGCTCTTCATCCAGCCCCGGCCAATCTCGACTGTTCTTCGCCTGTGCTCTCGTGCTCGCCACTGGCCGACCACTCTGCGCATATGACGTTGCCTCCACACCCGACAAACCACGACGAGTCTTGTTTGACATGCCAAGCTGACCACCGGCTTGTAGTAAATCTTAATCACTTTCGCCTGTTGCGGGTCGTCGGCCGAGGCGCTTTTGGCAAGGTGCGCATTGTCGAGCGCAAGGACACGAATTTGTCCTTTGCCTTGAAGTACATTCGGAAGGATGAAGGTGCGCAAAATATCAATTTTTGGGACTCTCCCGTATACTCCATGACTCGGTCCATCTCGAGACATTCTGCCGCTGCATTCGAACTGGTTTCGAGTGTATCGATTCATGGTGTCTCCTGAGCTGACTTGGCCTCGATTCAGTTGTTAAATCCGAAAGCGTGCGCAATATCATTCGCGAGCGACGAATGCTGGAATACGTCAATCACCCCTTTATTTGTAACCTGAGATACAGCTTCCAGGACATCGAATACATGTAAGCCCGTGTTGAGACTAGGACTCACCAATTGCGCCCACGGACGCTGATTTGTCTCAAACACTAGGTATCTCGTCGTGGATTTGATGAGTGGCGGTGACCTGCGATTTCATATTTCTAGAAAAACCTTCACCGAGGAGGCTGTTCGATTCTGGATTGCCGAACTCGGATGTGCCCTGCGTTACATTCACGAGCAAAACATCATCCACAGAGACGTCAAGCCTGACAATGTTCTACTCGATTCAGACGGTCATGTCCACTTGACAGATTTCGTATGTAGCATTGCGTCTGCCTTGGCGCTCGGGTATCATTACTGACTGCTGCGCAGAATGTGGCATCAGACATCGTTCCAGGAAGGGTGCTTACTAGCAAGTCAGGCACATTGGCGTATCTAGCACCAGAAGTCTACTCAGGCAAAGGCTACACTGTGTGCGCCGACTGGTGGTCTCTGGGAGTTTTGTTCTATGAATGCATCTACAACAAGGTATGTGGGAGCAACCACAGCACAGACAGTCATTCTTCTTTCCCCCTGCCGCCCTTGCCGTTTCCGAGACAATGTGTCGATAGACACGGGCAGGGCGCATGCCGTGCTCTGTAGTCTGCTGTTTGGTGTCAGAATCTAACCCAGCCTATAGCGGCCCTTTGATGGCAGCAGCGAATCCATACTCAGTCAACAAATTCAGAACTCGACTCCCAGATATCCCGTCACACAGCCGCCCGTCTCGCTGACGTGCCTCTACTCTATCCGAGCTGCTCTGGATCCAAACCCACGAACTCGCATGGGCTCAACTTGGGAGAGTTTTATTTGCAATGACTTTTTCAGGGATATTGATTTTAATCTCCTGGAACAAAAGAGGATAGAGCCTATTTTCATACCCTCCTCTGAGAAAACCAATTTCGATGCTACATACGATCTGGAGGAATTACTCCTCGAAGAGGCACCACTTGAGGCCCGAGCTAGACGCCAAAAGCCTCGAGCGAGATTAAAGGAAGACGCAACAGACCAGGAGATTAGAGAGGATGAGTTATACCGCATGATTGAAAAAGATTTCAGACCCTTTGATTATACTGTGGCGGCGTACAAGAAGTATGTGCAAATCGCCCAGGCGCTCTCTCACAACCCCCCGTTTCCTTTGAGCCAAGTTGTTAAAATCCATTCGCAGAATCACGGAGGCATCTCGTAACCTGAATGATGATCCACGGCAAAACGTGCTGCTAAACAACGGCCCGCAAGCCCTGACGACAGACGAAGCCACACCTATTCCTGCTGGTGGATCGGTTCAACAAGCCTTGCTTCCTATACCCCCAGAGAGGAGGCCCAGTCCTGGTCACCGACAAGGCCGACCTCTGAGTCCAGCGCCGCCGCCTACCCTGTACCACCACAGCGAGTACGTCTCACGACCACCGCCGCCGAGAAGTAAACGAGTAGCAAGCTCTACTGGAGGCGTCTCAGTGACGCTGGATGGTGGGGGAAGTTGGTCTGAACTTGCCCGCCAGGATGCCACGCTCCCGACTGACGCCAACACGCCAGCCGATCACAAGGCTGAAAGTTCAAGTGGCGTGTTTGGTTTCCTTAAAAGCAAAAAGGGCAGAAACAACAGTCCCAGACCCAAGGAAAGAGGAGTCCTTGGCAAGGAAGGCGCACGAGTCGTTATCAGCTAGCTGTCGACTGAACTTCGGGCGTGGGCACTCTAATACCTACCAGCTAGGCCATTGTTTTGGCCCCGGATAAAGCCGAAATTACGGAGGGTGTAGCAGTAGACTGCAGCGAGCCGCGGCGATTTTTGATTCATGGAAAATGAGGCAACTAGCGCGGTCAACTCGTGGAGAGGCCCTGGAGTTTCTTTATTTTTGAACAACCGCGGGTAACGGTTTGTACGGAGTGCATATGCCAGCGTAGGGGAGACGGCCTAATACGCAGACACATGGGTCCTGTTGCACCTATCATGGCGAGTCTCTTTATTTTTTGTCTTCTTTTTTCTTGTCTTGAGCTTCACCATCTCTTGGTGTTTTTCTGCTTTGGTCACCTTGGGTGGAGCGTCCAACACAGTAAATTACAGATGCATATGCCAACATGTACAGAGAAAGTATGGCCGTCAGTTGGCTAGTTTGTGCGGAGGGGGACACGTTTAGAGCGATGGTTAGATAGTTAGTCCCTCGGGGAGAGGGGAAAAGAAAAGTCATCGACATGACCAACGTCGTCCGATGAATCCAAGGACGAGCGCCGTTTCGACTAGTGACTCCTCTTACCTTGCCTACTCGCAGATTCATCTGGCAGGGAGTCTTGTGTGTTTCTGTTGCGGGGATGTCGCTTCCGACACGGCGAGCGAGGAATAGACAGCGATGATGACGTGGCAGAAACGGGGGGTATACATGTCCTTGGGATCGGGTGGCTCGTGAATGGCAACTCGGGGATGTAGATGTTCACGCCGTCCAAGACTGCATAAACCACTTGCGGCTGGTTTGTGGAGCAGCATCATTTCCCGACCGCCCGGACCTCGACTCTCGACAATCACACCGCGGAATGCAGCTCGTCCCAAGAGTGCTTTCAGCACGATGCAGTTCAAAAAATTCATCCGACTACATGCCAACCACTGATGATGGTGAGGAAAAAAAAAAGAATATATCCAACTCCCCTTTGCTGCAGATATCTGGCAGGAAAGGAACTGGCATTGCCAGCTGAATTCTCGAGACCCCTTCCCGTTCCCCAAAGAAGCAAAGCCAAAGGTTAAATAAAAACAGAGTAATAGACGAAACCGAGGGACACTGCACGACGAAGAAAATTGGTCAGCGTGGCGGCGTATTCTTGCCCTGGCCAGTACCGAAGCGGTCGTTGCTCCCCTCCCCGTTTTCCTTATCCCCAAGTCTGTCTCCTGTACGAGGTCGTCAAATTACTTCTGTACCGTGCCGGATTCCCCCTCTTCCCATGCGGCTCCCTCTTTATTTGTGTTTCCCAACTGGCTGTCCCATCAAAACGCCGTAGAATATCCTGTTCCTGAACCGTCCCTTTTTTGCTCGTGTCACCATTTCCATCATCGTCCAAGCGAGGAGAGACGCTGGGAAAGAAAGAAAAACCGTGCCTCCGACCTAGACTGAGGCCAACGCACATGGCACCAGCACCTGTGTGATACCTACCGAAGGACCGGCCAGGGACGCGCCAGTTGTTTAACGAGGGGCCGTCAAGGCTTTGTCACGCCATTGGACTGCTCTGGGTTCACAGAGATGCCTAGCTTGCTGGCCATGCAATCTGCCGACACATCCTTTCCCATGTACTTCTTCAGAATCGAGTCGAAGTCCCTTTCGGCGACGACGGGGCCACTGCCCGAGCACTTGGCCTTCTTGGTAAGTTCGGAGCAAAGCCCGTCCAGGTCAAATTCACCGTTTTGCGCCTTGGGGCAATCCTGCAGCCTCTCCCTGTTACGGATGTGAGTATGAAATGATGCAAGCAGAAAGCGTACATTGCAGGCACGTACCAAAGTTGATTGCAGCTCATGTTTTGATTCTTACCCACGTCGTCCTCGATGGAGTTCTGCTGAGCGTCAATCTCAGCAATGAGGTTCTTCTTTGGAGCATGATCGTGATCGCTGGGGGCAGCATTGTAAGGTGTTAAAAAGTCAACGTCTAGTCCGTCATTGAAGTAGAAGTCGTCAAAGGTTGGGTTGGACAAGATGCTCTCCTGTGACTCTCGGTAATCCCCAAACAGTTGGGGATCAAAGTGGCCCCCCCCGTTCTGCAGAACGAGCCAGTCAAAGCTGGGACTGGCAATGTCGACGTGAGAAAACTGGGCAAATGGCTGATCCGTGGTCGCCGTTGCCGGCTGCTCCTCGCCAATGGTGGTCAATGTCTCGAGAGGCTTGGAGCTCATGGGAGACTGCGTGAAAGGCTCGGGCGAGGTTCCGCAGGACGAGCTGGGTCCGGCGTTGGAGTTGGATGACGCTGAAGGTGAGCTAGTAGCGGCAGCAACACTGAAGGGAACAGAGTCGAGGCTGGCATGAGAGCCAGTGCGCGTCGAGTTGGAGACGGAGGGCGCAAACACGCCGGCATACTTAGCAAAGTCATACTGGTTTGGCTGCCGCACGGTAGACCGAGGTGATTTGCTGTCGCTGCCAGTGCTGCGAGCTGGACTGTTCTTCTGGCCGTTGTGCTGCGGGCTGATGGGTTGCGATGAAGATTGCTTGATCGGTGGGCCGGGAAGGGCACCAAACTTGGGGAAGTCGAATTGGAAGCTGACATCACTCAAGTTGTTGACGGCAGCATGGCCGAACGACGCCTTCTCTCGGGGAATGGCCTTGTGCTGTGTCATGACGGCGACACGCTGCTTGTACTGATTCAACTCGGTGGTGATGCGATCCACTTGGAGTCGCAGCTTGCTATTCTCATGGTTGGCAGCCTCGGAGGCCTTTTCCAGCTCCTCGACCTTGGTCTCCAGGTCCTTGAGATGCTTCTCCTTGCGCTCCCTGAAAGCCCGCTGAGCGGCTCTGTTCTGTGCCTTGCGTTTCTTCAACGGCAGTCAGCAAAGCCGATGCGGCACCACGGCTGTGGGACGTTGCTGATGGACGGGGTGATACTTACAGAAGTTGGCTCTGAGGTGAGAGGCTTGCGGCCTGGCTTCTTGGTAATTTTCTCTGAACCTTCCCGTCTCTTGGAGTCATTGCCCGGACTGCTGTCATCTTCCTCGTCATCAGGATGGCTCCTCTTCTCATGACCATCGTTCTCTGTCGAGTCGGATGCGACAGTTCCGGCATTATCGCCCATCATGTTGGCCTGTTCACCGCCGTTGCCGGCAAAGGAAAAGTCGAAGCTGGAGTCGCCAAAGTCGTAGTCGATGTTGTCGAGATACGGGCTGTCTTGGAAGGCGGAATTGTCTACATTCTGCATCGGAGAGCTCTGGAATGAGCCTGGCGACATGGACAAGCCTTTGACGGGGGGGGAGGCAGAAGTCTGAGGCTTGTTGGCGTTGAGCGCAGCGAAAAGCAGGGTCTGTTGCTGCGGGGTTAGGAAGAAGTTGGGTGGCAAAGAGCCGCCTCCGTCGGCGCCTGAAGCCATCGCGACGTTGAGTTTTTTTGTGTATGCGCGTTGTGAGGCGGGATGAGGTCCCAATTCCGGGCAACGGTGGCAGTAAGGGGTGAATGACGAAGCAAACAAGGCGCAGACGGCAAAGTAAACGTCGTGACAGGTCAGAATGGTGGAACGAGCAGCGGCGGGTTCGGTGTTAAGTCCGGGAGGTGACGAGGTGACGCAAGCCACAGCTCATGGACAAGACTGTGAAAAGTAACGGCTCGGATGCACTGGGTTGACTGCGTCTGTCCCAAGACGGTGCGGTGCACATGTGCGCCTTTCGCCGGCTGGGTGGCACTGGGGGCAGCGCAAAGATTTGGCGAACGAGCCAAGTGGCAGTTTGCCGATGCCAGAGATGAAGGTCGAGCGAGGCCGTAGCGGACGAGCGGTCGGCTTGAGAAGTCGACCAACTACCCAGTTACTGGTTGGTGGTGGCTGGGACGAGACGAGACCGCAGGAGGTGCAGTTTGTACGGAGCACGTCGCAGGGTCCTGCAGGGCGGGGGGGGAGAAGAGGAAGAGGACCTTGCTGCCTGAGTCATGGACGCAGGCTCAGCAACGGGTTCCAGGCGATTCCACCTCGACAGCCGCCGAGAGTCAGACGAGGGGCGGCCAGCAAAATGCGTGCGTGATCCGAGGCGCAAGCTGGACGTGAGCTGGCCGTGGGCTGCGGCGCGGAGGAATGGAATCAGGCGCGCACCGCGAGCAGCAAGTGGGAAAACGAATTTGTAAGCCGCTCGAAGCCAGGGCGGCGGGGTCTCGGACGGCGTACGGTACGGAGTACGGTTTCCAAGACCTGAGTGCTCCGTATGAGAAAGACGACGGGAGACGGTGGGCGACGATCACACACAGGGGTCGCGACGTGCGAGCACTCACTTGGTACGGAGCGGCCGGGCAGAGCGCAGCCAGCACATTTGTCCGGCGGCACTACGGATTACAGAGCCTTCCATAAGCACATTTGTCCTGACCTGATACCCGGAGCAACGTGCGCGCTCTGGCAGACTGCACCGTCCTCGCACCGTTTTCCAGACTCTGCAGCACAAGCATAGTCACCCGACCGACGGCTTCCGCCGTGACGACAAACTTTCAAGCCATTCACACAAATAGCCTCGCACCCGAAAGCCTCACTTCGCGGTCGTGTCCTAAATGCCAACAGTACCTAGGTACGTACCGGACTCCACTCCGAGCTTGCTCGGTCGCGCTGCCATCTTTTTCCGCCTGTAACCGACTACGGAGTGCCAAACTCGTCCTCCCAACGACCGTGTCATGCCAAGCCCCGTACAATGGATTTTGCATCAATGTTTGACCCGGCGAGCAGTTACTTGCAATTACCGCTACGTACTAATGTACATGTATGTGCGCATGCTAATCTCCACCAGGGTCTGGAATCCGGATCCAGCACCGTGTGCACCACGGTTGTACTATCTGATCTATGTGGAGAATTGCTGAATCGCAACTTTGACAATAACGGCACAAATTGGCAATACGGGGCAGCAATGACATCGATGGTCCGTGGAAGAGGCGCGGCATCGGTTCAACGCCTCGTGTCCGTCTCGTGCTGGGTATGACACCTTGGAATTTGTTTGCGGCGGCAATACTAGTGTCTTCTTGTTCCCTGCACGGGAGGCCCCTGATTCTCTGAACAGCGAATGGAAGCCGCGCATCATCAACTGATGGGTGTTCACGCCAGATAAGTTACTGCTGCAAACGTCCGGGCACACAGCCAGCAACCAGACTTGAAACCCCCAGTTTAGGACAGACCCAGCAATGACATCGTTTTCAATTGCAGGCTTGGAGATTCCAGTGTTCGTCCTTCAGACACTGAAGTCGTGGTTTGCCTGTTGATCGGCTGGCTTCGAGTCGACGGATACAGCCAAGGAACGACCAAACCCTTATTCACCCTGCACGTTTCATTCTCTTGGAAATTTGCTTGAACAATGATGGAGTGAGGGGCCAATACCAACACTTCTGCATGGTTGGTGACGAGCCAGGACGCAGACACTCACTTACACGTTTACATGCGGTGGCAATTCAACCATGCAGCTCTTGGGACTACAGCAAATATCATGTCCGTCCACGTCCAAATCATGTCTATTTCCAACTTTGTTCTACGCTACAATGGGGTATTATGTACTCGACTGATTCGTTCCCTTTCTACCGACAACGCTTGGTCCCCCACAGCCATGAGGATGCCTTAGTCGACGCTGAATACTGGCCGTTGATGAAGCAGCGCTACTCAAGTCTCCTAGTTTTTGGCAGCCTGCTTGTGAACCTCGGCCTTGCCATCGTGGGCATTTTGGTTGATCTTGTCACCGACGGCATCCTTGGCGGCAGTCAAGCTTTGCATGTTGTGTTAGCCTGACTAAACGTATGGAAATCCTTCGGAGCACGGTCAACGTACCGAGTGCCAACGTCGGCATTGCTGTCCTTGGCAACCTCCTTGTTGGCCTCGTGGCTGGCACCGGACACGGCACCCTGAACAGTCTCAGAGACGTAGTTGGCGGCTTGCTTGACACTCTCCATTGCGATGTTGTTGAGAAGCAGTGTAGCTTTGGGCAAAGAGGTGGTAGAGGTGTTTTTTGAGCAGTGGGAATGTAGATGGTGTGGGAGGATGATGAACCGCAAAGCAGAGAGCGAGACAATTGGGGACCAAGGGACCAAGGGTTTATATAGACAGGACGTCCTCGAGCTTACTCCCGAATTCAAAGGCCTTCACCAGGGGATATACCGACGCTTGTTACCCACTTGACACGTTGATTGAGCGCCGCGACGCCAACCACCAATGCCATTGACACCAACAGTCATCGCCATGTTCAAGTCGGATGAGGAAATCATCGTCATATTTCGGCCTGGCCCCGCAGCCACGCAGTGGGGCGCCACACCCGATGCGATGGCGGTGCAGGGAAGCAGATGACGACATTGGCTGATGTCAATCCAGAAATCGCCGAAAACCTTGATTTTTAGTATCGCAGCATGGGCCCGGCCAACCAAACTGGCGGCTTCCAAAACGTACTTGCCGGCGGAGTCTGTATCTTCTTTGTCTCTGGCGGTAAGGGGAGCCGTCTTCTGTCGTTTTAATTCGCTGCTATGTTCCTCGATCCTCGATACGCCGGACATGACGACATTGATCATCACTGGACAATGAGCTGCCCAAATCTGAAACCGGTGTCACCAACGCACCGATGTGCATAGATGAAGGATGCAGTAGTCGAGATTCCCCCAACTTTGGTCGACATTTACGATGCGACATTTCAGGATTCACAGACGATTTCATTGTTTAGCATCAACAATCGATGCACTTGCAGAGAATTGGCACAAATTGCCCACGAGGACCATCATTTACGCAGTCCAGTGATTGCTTCTTCACTATTCGCAACTGCCGTGGTTGGAATGTCAGCTGCCGCCCAAATGTGGCGATGAGCCGGGGTTGACCTGTGGATTCTGCTTTCCTGTCCTCAATATATCAGGCTTCAAACTGATCATAGAACGATCTCGACCCACGTGAGTTGTCTTTGAGTTTTTGTTGAGACGCTTTTTTGACGCTCTTGTTGCAATATTCCATTCCCGTAAGCCGTTTCGATGGCGTCCATCCATGCGCCTTCATCCCCGCTACTACTAGTTCGTTAGATCGACCTCGGCCGACACTTAGACCCTTGTCTCTCTGTTTCGGCTGTGACCGATAGTCCCCTATTTTTCGATTTCCTGCTTGTCTTTCGATCTCAGCCATCGAAGAATACGATGGATCATGATTGCCGTCCGTGCCTGGCCCCCGGAACGAAACACGCTTCACACATGTACCTAGGTACTTCATTGCAGTCCACGACTGTTTTACCACTAGGTGCTTTTCCGCATTTGTAGGGCAGGTCTCCTGACGGCACCGACCAGGGGTTATCTAGCTTAATCCTGGCCCCCGAACATTCGTCTCGTATCTGTGGTCTTGAAGCGACGTGAGAGATGTTGACGGGGAATTTTCGATGGTATTTAGTGCGAGGCCAACACCTGCCCTTCACCGCGAAACTCTTCACAAAGGGCTCGTTCGAAAGTACCTGACTACTGAAAACTGGCATCAGCCAATGATTCCATATCGCAAACCCCGTTGCGCGTGCTTCAGATGCAGCAGCCCGATTTTAGCGCGACGGTCATTCGAGGACTGACAGATAACTCAGTACGATGAAGCACGATTTCGATCATACTGCAGTGGTTCAAGTTGAATCGAGCTGAACCGAAAACTGTAGATTAGCATCAACCAAAACCCATGGTTTGTTGGAACCCCTTCTTGCAGTAGTGATGGAAATGACTTCAAAGGCCATGAGCGCCAGTCGTCCACGAACATTTCTATCACGTGACATCTGCATAAATGGGCTCTCCACAAGGGTCCCGCCTTCGAGCATGTGAACTTGTCATCCTTGGGAGGACGGCATGCGGTGGACGACTTCACCATCCCAAATACCATCTAAAAAGCTGTGAACTGCTACGATACTTTGTGAGAATCGCCACTCTCGAGGACGCGATGGATCTCGCCTACGACCTTATTCAGGAGAACGCGTACCCGCAAGACAGGAAGGAGTCGAACGAAACGCCCAAGCCAGAGCAGCAGGAGTCGTCCCTGAACAGTGACTTACAAGATGCATACAAGGCTATTTCGTCAAGCCCCTGGGGTATGAAGATTGGCGGATTTTGGGGAAATGTTATGAAACAGGTAAAGCACCCTTGCACGACCACTACTCGGTATTTCAGTCTACTGATCATTTGTGCAGGGCGAGACAGTGTACGCGCAGGCTCAGAAAGAGCTCGCCGAGGTGGGCGAAGACGCCACCAGGGGCTTTACCGATCTTCGCGAAACAATATTGAACCGAACCCGATCACTATCCGTTAATACTGCTACTGCAACGTCAACAGATGGAGCCAAGGAAGGAAACGACACACAACCAACCCCAACAGAGACGAAAGCTACCGCATCCGACGGAGTTGGTGAACAATCCGAGACTGTTCTGTCACGAATACGCACCGAAGCTGCTAAGCGTCTCAAAGACTTACAACAAGCTGAAGATGCCGCTGATGAGGCGTTGCTACGATTTGGCGGCAACATTCGAAACTTTCTGAGGGATGCCATCAGCGTCGCCCCACCTGACGAGTCATCCCAAGATAGCACGGTTCTTTTTGAAAGCAAGGATGCGCAAGGTAAACGGGTTATCCACACCTCTCGGCCTGATGCTCAGATGCACGTTATCCATACCTCTGTTGATGGCTTTGCCAACGACCCTATCAGTGATGAGTATGAGAAGTGGACGAGAGAATTTGATGTTGAGAAGAAGACGGATGATATCAGCGGTGATCTTGCCAAGTACCCTGAGCTGAGAACCACAATGGAGAAACTTGTGCCGGATCAGGTCTCCTATGCCGACTTCTGGAAGCGATACTATTTCTTGAGACATGGCATAGAAACTGCAGAGTCGAGACGGCGGGATCTGCTTAAAGGTACTGGTTGCCGTTGTTCTATCTAACCTGAACATTTCTACATACTGACTTCTGTTTTTTCCTGATAGCCGCCTCCGCTGATGATGAGGTTGGGTGGGGCGACGATTCTGACGAAGAAGTCGAGGAAGCAGAGAAGAAGACCCCTGACCAAAAGCCCAGCTCCGGAGCGTCATCCATCACTATCCAGCGGTCTGATGGCCGTGAAAATGCTACCGAAGCTCGCAAGTCCAACGACGAGAAGTCACAAGCCGATAGTGAGGCGAGTTATGACGTCGTCGGAGCCCATTCCGGGAAGACAAGCCAGGCTCCAAACAGCCCCAAAGTCTTTAAACAAGGGGATGACAGTGACGAAGACTGGGAGTAATGCCTCGTCGTTTGACCGTCGTAGCGTCCGATTTGTTTCTTGGCCTCTTGAACTCGGCGTTCTTGATTCTTTTGTGATTCCCAATTATGCAAATTGACTCTTCTGCACAAGCCTGTATATAAGCGTTGGGTGTCAATGGATGGGAATGCAGTCAGATAATGAGGTAAGCCTTCTGCACAAATATTTGTCCTTTGCGGGACCCATTATTTCTTCTTGTGCGTAACTTTTGTGAAACCATCCTCGTCGACTTCTGGAGCTGGCTTTTCCTTGGGTGCCGAAGGGAGCGCAGGTGCGTCATCCATGTCAACGTCACCAGCGTCATCATCGTCATCTTCTTCGTCATGGTCTGATTCCCAGTCGGTATCTTGGTCGGCATCTTCAGCCTTCTGGAACAGTTGGTCTACCTTGTTGCCCTTGAGGTTCTGAAACCGCTGACCCAACTTGTTCACTTCGTCGAACTGGCCAATCGCACATTGCGCTCTCGCTCGCACGATATTACCGGCGACCTCTGTGCTCGAATCATCATCAACGTTGACCTCGAACTCGTCCATCATGACCTGCAACAAGACAGTCTCAACGTCCTCCAGATCGGGTTCGTCGATGGCGTTGGTCTGCGGCGAGTCGCTGAATTCGGAAAACAGGTCGACAATAGCGCCGGCAAACCAGTCACGCTTATCTCCTGAATCGGGGCCTCCCCAATTGTTCTCAACAGCAAGTGCAAGGGCGGGCCAAAGATGGAGGGCATAGGCGACGGCTTGTTCGAAGTTTGACTGGCGCTCGGCTACATGTACTGGAATTAGTACCTAGGTATGCGAGCAAGCACTTGTGGGGGTTGAATTTTTATTTTTCCCTGACCTGCGGGGGGAAGCTGCGTGGCATCTGTAGAGGAGGTCATCGCGGCCTCTGGATTTACTTTGTTTTGTTTTACTCTATTATCCTCAATGCACTGTTGGCGGGGTCGTGGAGGGGCAGACAGGCACCGTGATGATCATGAACAAAAAAAATTTCGATGGTTTGTGGAATGCGATTGCGATAACCCGTTGTTGGTACGGAGTACGTACACCGTACGCAGTAACTTAAAGTAGCTGGCTGGGGCAACAATTACAGCGGGCCAATCAATGGCGGGCTCTCGTGCCCCCGCACTTGAGCGGCCGGTGCGAGTACGGAGTACGCTGAAGAACGAACATGCATGACATCATGGCTTCTGTTTTGTTTTAGCCCATTCGAACAGTCGATCGACTGACTGGTTTTGCACATATGAGTTGGCTTGGCCTGTTTTCGGGCTGCAGCTTTGCACCTTGAACCTTGACATGTTTGCCATCATTGATGGCCTGCAGCCACAATGAACAGTCTGAACACGACCTCGGTCTCCTTGGCCGTTACTCCGACAGTAGTTTCCACGTTGTTTTCCCATGTACGTTGTTTCCAAGTTCCAAGTTGGAGCACTGACCTTTGTCGCTGGTGGCATCAGTCGTTTGGCTTCACTTCGATCAACCAGACCTTTCAATTGCAGCGGAAACTAATGTTCCAGATTCGACACTCAATAGTACCTTAATCGGAAGCCACTGAAGCAAAAACCAACTGCGCATCTGTCTTACGACGAGGGTCTTCATCTGATACGGTCGTTTCTGGAGTTTGCCTCGCACCACACCGTAGAGGAACTGCAAGCATTCACCTCCCAATGGGTTCCTAGCCCCCGATGGATCAAGGTCCAAGTCGCCAAAATACCAGACGAGTTTCTATCCCGATCAGCGGAACTCGTTCAATCTCAACTGGGACCGGACGGCATCGTCCAGGTCGGCGGCAGGCAGTGGTGGCAATGGAGGAAGCCGAAGTCGACTTTTGAGGCCGAATGGATCGAGATGCGCGCCCACTACAATGCGAGAAAGGCAATTGATGACCCTGGGAGGCGCGTGATGTTGTATGTCCATGGCGGTGCGTACTTCTTCGGGAGCGTCGATGAGCACCGGTACCAAATGCAGCGCCATGCACGCAAATTGAAAGCAAGAGTTTTTGCCCCGAGATATCGTCTTGCACCACAGTTTCCCTTCCCATGTGGACTTCAGGATTGCTTGGCAGCATACTTGTATTTAATCTCTGTTCAGGAGCCTAGCACTATCCTCCTGGCGGGCGATTCTGCTGGTGGGGGGATGGTGATGTCCATGTTGTGCGTGTTGCGCGACCAGGGCATCCCTCTTCCTGCCGGAGGTATTCTCATCAGTCCTTGGGTCGACCTCACGCACTCATTTCCGAGTGTTGCTGCTGATGCTCCTCTCGATTACATTCCGCAGTCTGGGTTCCATCACAAGCCTTCTCGCGCCTGGCCTCCTCCAAATGATGACGATATTGCGACGTTGCGAGGGGAGGCAGTCAAGCGAGCAAATAAAACGGCAGCCAACGACAACGCAAGAGACTTTCCCGCCATGACGAATGGCGAATCCGCAAATAAGGATGATGCAGCTGACTCGGTAGGAGATGCGACTCATCCACCCAAGCGGTTGACTGTCAACGTGGACGGAAAAATGGTAGTTATCAAAGACCAAATCCAGGTAAGAAAATTCGGGAAGTGGCCGATGGGAACACTGCGCTAACAAAACACAAGATGTACACAACAAACGCGCTCTTGGATCATCCTCTTGTCAGCCCTATCATGCAAACGACTCTAGGCGGGCTGCCTCCGTTGCAAATCATTGTTGGGGGCGGCGAGCTTCTCCGTGACGAACAAGTCTATCTGGCTCACAAATGTGCAAATCCTAGGAAATACACACGACCGCTTGAAGCGATTTCGAAAAAAGAAGTCGAGTTGTTGGAAAGGTACAAGCCCACAGATGTCCAACTGCAGGTGTGGGACGATTTGTGCCACGTCGCTCCCACGCTTAGTTTTACGAGGCCCGCCAAGTTTATCTATCGATCTGTTGCTCAGTTTGGTGCCTGGGCTTTGGCCAGGGCCCAGAAAAGAGGCATCGAGATTATGGACGACGATGAAATCTCCGTCATTTCCAACTCAGGCTCCGATACAGACGGTGCAGAGATCGATCAGCAAACGAAGGAGGGGAAACCACAAACTGAATTGAGAGAGCCTGGGCAAGTTGGTAAGGCCGGGGACCCCTTACCGCGCTTCATAAACCACATGGTTCGACAACGAGTCACACGTCATGGCATTACTCTTCCTCTGGCCGCGGAGACAGAACTTCCAGGCTGTTGTATGAATGCTTCTGAAGTCGGTGTAGCTAAGGAGGGGACCGTGATGCGGTGGCGAGCGACCAAGGAACAATGGGACAGCCGTTATTCATTATCAAAAATGAAAGTGCATAAAAAAATTGTCAAGGATATGGTGACAGGATTCCAAGACTTCGGGGTGGGCGAGTACCCCCCGCCGACAGCCCTAGCCGGCCGACGGTTAGTCGAATCAGATATTGTTGAGAAGAAAACCAGGAGCATGGGCTTATCACTTTGGTCCCTATGGGGATCCAAGCATGACGAGCTCACCGTCGAACGAGAAAAAGAAGCCGACAAGACACCCGAGTTACAGGACGTGACCGGTGCCGAGGGGCGAGGGGCAAGATCTTACCAAGACATTGAATCCCAACAACCTGGTTCGTCAAGGCCGGGTATTGAAAGCAGAAGCAGGTCTCGCCGCAGAACCGTAGTAGACGAGCATCAAACAGGGGAGACTGGCCTGGACGGAGATACACCAGTGGCACAATTGATCGAGCAGCGCAAGAAACAAGAGGCTACTCATCCTGGACTTTTGAGTCCCAGTTATGTTCCTGAAACTGGAGTCGCAGGGAAGCGTCCCTTCATAGATGGCATTGCACTGCCGTTCAGCCTTAAGAATGATGCTGAGACCGCAAGCATGGTCACCTTGAACTCAGCAGTAACGCCAACAGGCGAGGGCCCTCGTCCCCTCAGTCCGCTGGGTTCCCGTATGGACTTGTCTGTTCAGCCAGAGGCAAACGACGCGGTGAGAGCCGAAAAGATGCTTGCAGCTAGAACCACTCGGCCAACTACTGTCTTGAGCTCTAAATTGGACCAACATCCTCTGATCAGGGAGCCAGAGCAGAGTAAGTAAGTAAATGCTGCCGAGAAGATCCGCGGAGGACGCAAGAGGAGGACACGAACCTGGAGCAAGCCTCACAGCATCATATTTTAGCAAATTTTCCCATGTAACCATAGCGCTTACGCTTGTATTCCACTATTCGCTTTGTATTTGGAGTGAAAGATAAAATGCGAAGAAAAATTATACAGGAAACCTATGCTTTCCATTTTGTCCTGAATGGTTGATACATGACAGTCATACATAGTGTTACAATGTTGAGATATAATATATACAGAAACGAGAAGCCTCATGATTCTCGCTGGTTTTTTCATCGTTGCTACCACGGGATATTCACGGTGGCATTTGGTCCGCTGTGAGCGCATTGCCTTGCATCTCAATTATGCAGCTTCGAAGCCGCCTAATCCACGCCGTTGTATCGTTTCCACTGCTCAACGTAAAAGAAAGGATTCTGGGGTCCTTTCTCCAGGCCCTTGTAATCCCCGGGTTGCTCTCTAACTTGGCGACTGACGAACGGCGTAAGCTGTTTTTACTCAAGTTAGTACTTTTCTTTTTTTTTGGGGGAAGTACGACATATGTTGATGCAATTGGAGATTACCTTGAAGTCTTTCAAGTTCGGGGGCACAGCATATGTTCGGACTTTGTTCCATTCGACGACATATCCTCCGTGTTTGGTGTGCCGACCCATTGCGCCAGTTCTGTTTCCCTTGTAGAAGCCCTTGCCGACATCTTTGGTGGTGAGTTTGAGATGGCGGTAACGCCCAACAGAAAGGGCTTGTGTCGGTCTCATTGCAGGTCTAGGTTGTCGAATGAGGGTGAGGGTGGGCAGGCGATTCGCGAAAAGATTGCGTACGGTCGGGTTCGTTGACTTTCTGATGCCGTTGATTTCTGGTGGTTTGCCGTCGAGATGTCGAAGCAGGCGGTTCGGGGGTTAGCGTTGTTCCGATCCGGTTAGCTCGAGGGTACGGGAGGCTTGTTTGGTCAACAATTCCAGCGTGCTTGTGGGGGATTAACAGGATCAATGGACTTGTGATGCTGGATGAGTGATAGTTACTCGTCGTTCAATCTATGTTGGATGTCATTCTTTTTATAAAAACGAATTTGGGGGAGATTTTTTTCCTTCGAAAGACTTCTTGGGGCCTCCCTCCCCCTGATCCTATACAATCGACGGGCTGACTTGCATCACGCACCCACACACACAATGAGGGGCACGTTCTAACACGCCCAGCTTCAGCCTCTAAGAAACTCACTCCCGTGGCAGCTTTCAAGCGGGCCGACGAGCGACGTCCGCCAGCATTGGCAACCTGCATGATGGATGGGTACCCTTCCGGCAGTTTGGATCACAATGTTCCCTTTCTAGTCGCTGCAGGCCTGAACTCAGCCGAGCCAGAGCTTGACTTGCAAGGCGAGCTGGGCACCCAAGGGCAGTTGATCAAGTCGGACTTGCCGCCGCTCGAAGGCCGGGAAGCGCAGGTCTTGGAGAGGTACTTCGCCGAAGTCGACATCCGGGGTACCTCTTGGGCGGTGGTTTCCAGGGACGAACCCTATCGCTTTCGAATCAAGACATTGGGAAGGGTGTGTATTGTTGGCACTGACGAAGCTACGAAATGGTTGGGAGCTAACTTGCATCGTAGTCATACCTTTTACCGCCTCGGAAAACACTAATACCCGACTCTGTAGGCCCTCCAGATCCAGGCGCGACAATCCACTCTCCGTTTTCTCCGCTATCTCATGTGTCCGTGCTATACCCCGACGGCCTGATCGATTCGCAGTGGATTAAGAAACACCAGCATCTTGTTCCTAGTATATACGCCTGTTTCTACTCGCTGTCCCATGACAACCGACTCAAGTCGGATGTGAATGAAATCAAAGCCACCCTATCTCGATCTGGCTTCAAGACGAGGGTTGCGATAATACTGTTTGGCAATCATGACAGTGGCACGGCAGTCCTTACAGAAGAGGTTCAGGACCGGTTGGAGAGTATTCGAAGAGGAACCGCGCTAGACCCCAAGTCTATATTCTACATGCCTACACAAGAGTCCCCCGCTGAGCTGAAAAGAAAAGTTGATAATATTCTTGCTACTCTGTATTCAAACGCGGTGGAATATTACAGAGACCTCGGTCGGCACGCAAGGAAAAAAAGATCGCGTGGCTTTGCTCCGCAGCCAACGATACCACCTACTACTGGGACGTCACATACTCTTTCGTTGCCCGATTGGAACTTTCGATATGATATGAAGACGGCCATTCTGGCGGAATTTCGCCAGGAGTTGGATGCGGCGATTCGATCCTTTGAGCAGGCGTACGAGATCTTACTGGGACAGGATGTTTTTGACATGATCCCGAGTTGGAGCTCACGGTGGAACGAGGCTCGAAAGTTGGCAGACGTCATCTCAATTCGGTGCCTGCGGCTACACTTGTGGATGGGCCATACGAGTCTAGCCGTCAGAAGATGGCAGACGCACAGAGATCGGATCGGCGACCTTGTGGACCGTAGAGGGCACGGAACAAACACATACGGCTGGCAGGCCTGGGAGGCGAGGTGGGCTATGGTTATGGCCAACTTGATAGAGAAGATTGAGGTATCTGGTTTGGTTCCGCCGTCGGTCACCATATATCTACCACCAGAACGGGCGGTCTTGGGCGAGCGACTACAACCGTGGGAGCTTTTACACCATACAGGCTACTGGTATCGTATGGCCGCACGGCATCTCGGCGCTCGACGCACGCTTGCCCGCATGATGCCAGATGAAGACAGGGAAGCACCGGAATCTGCAGCGAAATCTGCGAAGAGCAGTTATGACACTTATATGTGTCCGCCGCCTCATCAAGAACATCCTCTGAGCGGAGAAGGCGGTGTCAACCACGCTCAGTTGATAATAGACTGTCTCATTGCTTCAAGGACTCAATTTGAAGCTAGGGGCCAGCTGCGGCTTTCCGCAGAGCTTTCATTAGAGTGCGCAAAGGAAATGGCCACGTTGGGCTCGTGGGAAGAGGTTGTAGCCATTCTGCGACCTCTGTGGGACAGTGGCTCGTATCGAGTTGACAATTGGCTGGATATATCTGAAGACTTGTGTTGGTTATTACGCCGGGCAGCCAAAGAAACCGGGCAGGCCGATCTTGTTGTTGCCGCGGACTGGGAGTTGATGAACAAGAGTAAGCATAGACGTGTATTCGAGTCCTCTGTCTTTCCAGGATGAACACTAATCTGGCCGTGTTCAGAGTTTTCAAAGCGGCAGCACTGGCGCTATGATCTGTCACAATCGCTGGATGGAGTGACTGTTGGGGAGAAACCGTGGATTCAGCTGACGGATGCATCATCATCTCCCCTCATTTCGTCAAGTTTCGTGTTCAGAAGCAAGGAGAACAAAGCCGGCGATCTGTGCCTGGCCCAATTTACGCTGATTTCGAACGCTATGGCAGATTCTATGCCGATATCGCTTTCTTCTGTGAAGATATCGTTCGCAGGCAGTTTAAGACCCATTTTTCTTCAACACGGCTCAACCGAGGAGGAGATTTCTTTGATTACAAAAGTGCCACTGGAGGAACAGCTGTCCACCGATGGATCGGGCGACCTGCCATTAACACTCAGTGGAACCTGCGATTTGACCTTGAAGCCCGGACAAAAACATGTGTTTGAGATGGCGATTCCGTTGAGAGAGTCGGGAGACGCCGAAGCGTCCACAGTCGTCGCCACGTACAGGCACGAAAGGTTTGATCTTCAGTATACAATGTCGTTCAGGGAAACTGACCAGGTTACCGGATGGTATGTCAAGACTTCAGACAAGCCACGCCAGTTGAGAGCCAATGCCAGGATACTTCACATCAAGCCGCGGCCACCCAAGCTTCGAATCAGCCTGCGTGAATCCTGGAGCCAATGTTACACGAACGAAACAGTGGAACTTGGAATAGAGCTGCGAAATGAAGAGGAGGAAGCTGCCAATGTCAAGCTAGACGTCCATCTGTATGGAGAATCCGCCCCGTCGTTTAGGCTACAGGTTGGAGAGCATGAACGAATTGGAGAAACGGGCGCGGAGGAAAGCAAGGCATTGGCGGCGCCTGTAGGTATCATTGCTAACGGTGCGGTGGTTGAATTGAAGCTGGCTATTGATCCAACAATGGTGCCTACAACGTACGACCTTCACATGCAAGCAACCTACCGCCTGGAGTCGGATACCGCAACACCAATTGTACAAGTCCTATCTCTGCCCCTAGACGTCGTGGGGCCATTCGAGGCGAATTACGATTTGTTACCGCGGCTACACCCAGACCCATGGCCCAGCCTCTTCGATTGCGAAGGAGTGCACATGGCCACGGAGGAGGAGACGGCGGCTCCGCCTGCAAAAGGGTTTGCGCAGAAATGGTGTCTGGTGTGTCACTATGCATCTTTTGCTGTGGAGGACTTGAAAGTCCTGGGAATGGAACTGCAGGTTGTGTCTTGCACGGGAGGAGCCACATGCACAGTGACGAGTCGACCTGAAGTAGGAGAGGCCGGCATGACTGTGACTCCCAAGACGATACACGAAGCGCAGTTTGACCTCGTAGCACACAAGCTCAGCCTGGACGATGGACACGCTGCCACTCTAGATCTGGCGTTCATGATCCACTGGAAGAGGGAGACGGCCTCGGCGGAGAGCCAAAGCAATGTCACGACGATGCCAGTAGGACAATACCTTGTGCTGGGGACGGAGCCTAGAGTGCTGGCGTCGGCGCTCTACTCCAACCCCACGGCATCGACTAATCTTCTTCATTTAGACATTACGATTGAGAATCCATCCAACCACTTTCTCACGTTTGGGCTCGGCATGGAGCCCAGCGACTCGTTTGGATTTTCCGGTGCAAAACAGACAACAATCAACTTGTTACCAGTGTCACGAAACACGGTGAGATATAGACTCCTGCCGTTTGTTCGGGGCGATTATATTCGGCCCAGTCTCGTGGTACGCGACAAGTATTTCCAGAAAGTGCTGCGCATCATTCCCACGGAGGGCATGAAGATTGACAAGGACGGGCTGCTGATATGGGTACCCGGGGATGATGGGAAACACTCGGAGACGGAGGCGGCAGAGGCATGAGAAGAGAAAGGCGGCGTGCGCTTTGAAGGGGTGTTTGTCAAGATGTAGGCTTCTGGCCAGGCGTGTCAATGGCGAGCAAATTCGAGGCCAAATGTCAACTTTCCATGTGGTTTTTCCCCTTCATATTCAGGAACCCGACGACATGGACGTGTGCTTGGAGGGTCCGTGCACCTGGGCGGCTGAGGACAGTTCTAGTAAGGTACGGAGCACCTGGCAGGTACACAGCAGGCGCGGTAAGAAGAACAAGTGTACAGATGATCAGCCACGCATGCAGACAGACGCGGAGAATATTCGGCAGCGCTCCGGGGAGTCGGAGCCGGCACAACATGCAGGCGGTGGTTGGTGTGTTGGTGGCGGATGGCGGATGGGAGACGGCATCTCACCGGAGCTGCCGGCCCGTCGGACGAGGATGCTCAACCGACCGTTGACGTACGTTGGCGTGCATGGATTTAGGCGAAAAACGAGCTGCGATGCGACGCCGTGCGCCCGGTTGGCTGCCTAGCCGACTAGGCGGCCCCACAGCTCGGACATGGGCAATCGTCCAATCCAAGTCCGCCGCCCTGCCACTAAAATTTGACCAGGAATGTCAAGAACTGCACCGCATCTTCACAGCCTCGAGCGTCAACTCGTCTCCATGACGTGCATCCAGCAAGCCTCCCGCGCATCACCAGCCAGCTAGAGCCAAACTAGTGAGCCCGATGGCATTCGGCCTCGTCGTTTGTATTTGTAACGTTACAAATCGCGAATCGGGCAGCAGCTTTCCTGACACGACGCCGCAAGCCCAAGGCTGAAGTGAAGGCCTCTGGCAGCCCCGTGGTTGGAACTTGTTGGCGTCTTTGTGTCTTGTCAAGACGGATCGATGCAGACCTGGGGCCTCGGAGCCAGTTCCAGTTACATATACATGACACAAGTGCGCGCCCGCACACAAGACATATGACCTGCTGAGCATCACCACCCAGTCGCGACCGATTCATCCCCAGTCGTCATCATGCCGGCCTCAACCACCACCGAACCAGGCCGTCTGTCCTCCGACAAGACAGAGGTTGAATCCGGAATCGTATCGCCACCCGAGAATCCGTGCCCGCCCGAGCATCACCCTCACCCCGTGGCCCACGACAAGGCACAGCAGAGTGAGCCCGACGGTCCCGGCTATCCGCATGGCATCAAGCTCGTCTTGATCATCACAGCCCTGTGCCTGGCCGTGTTTTTGGTTGCTCTCGACCAGACCATCATCGCGCCTGCTCTGGGCGCCATCACCGCGCAGTTCCAGAGCGTCAAGGATATCGTATGCCGCGCCCGACAAACACGTCGCTCTCTGAATCGCCTTGACCGGTGCGAGTGCTAACGGTTGCCTTTTCCTTGTCCAGGGCTGGTATGGAAGCGCCTACTTGCTCACGACGACGGCCCTGCAGCCCATGTACGGCGCCGTGTACAGGCTGTTCAACGTCAAGCTGGTCTATCTCGGGGCTGTCTTCATCTTCGAGGTGGGCAGCCTGCTGACGGCCGTCGCGCCCACTTCCACCGCATTTATTGTCGGAAGAGCCATTGCGGGCGTAAGTCGTTGTTTCGCGTCCGCCGATGCCTAGAAGAGACGAGAAGACCCGAGGCAAACTAACCACCAAAGCCGTAGGTCGGAACTGCCGGTCTCTTCTCCGGCTCCATCGTCATCCTCTCGCTCTCCAGTAAGTCGGCAACTGCCCCAAACGTCCACGTCTCCCTGATCCCCGTTGACCGTGCCTCCCTCCCTCGCCCAGTGCCTCTCCAGAAACGTCCCCTGGTATTCGGCCTCATTGGCGGCATGTGGGGGATCGCCTCCGTCGCAGGCCCTCTCCTCGGCGGCGCGTTCACGGAAAACGCCACCTGGCGGTGGTGTTTCTACATCAACCTCCCCATCGGAGGCGTCGCCATGCTTCTCGTCACGCTCTTCGTCCACGTCAACCGCAACACCTCGGACACGAAGAACATGGCCTTTGCGGAGCGTGTCCAGCAGCTGGATCTACTGGGCACCTTCATCTTCATCCCCGCCATTGTGTGTCTTTTGCTTGCGCTGCAATGGGGCGGCGCCGACTATGCCTGGGGCGACTCCAAGATCATCGGCCTCTTTGTCGGCTTCGGTCTCATGATTGCCGTCTTTGTCGGCATCCAGTTTTGGCAGGGCGACAAGGGGACCTTGCCGCCTCGCTTCTTCAAGAATCGCAACACCTTGTGCGCCATGCTGTTTGCCTTCTTTTTCGGCGCCGGCTTCTTCCCCCTCGTCTACTACATCTGTAAGTCGTACTGTGTACACATAGACCCGAGCACGCATTCAAGCAGATGACACGACACGCTGACGCCATGGTAGCTCTCTATTTTCAAGCCATCCAGGGTGTGTCCGCCGTCCAGGCCGGCATCAAGATCCTCCCGCTCCTGCTCGCCACGGTCCTCATCTCCGTCGTCACCGGCGGTCTCATCTCCGTCATTGGCTACTACAACTTCATCATCATCCCCTGCATGCTCCTCTTCACCGTTGGCGCCGGCATGATCACCACCTTTGACGTGGACACCCCCCTCCGTCAGTGGTTCGGCTACCAGGTCATTGCTGGCCTCGGCATCGGGGCCGGCTTCCAGATCGGCGTGCTGGTGGTGCAGACGGTGCTCCCGCAGGGGCTGGTGCCCGTCGGCACGGCCTGCGTGCAGTTCTTCCAGGCACTGGGCGGCGCCATTTTCGTGGCGGTCGCGCAGACGCTCTTCCAGAACGGGCTCATTGATGCCCTCGGCAAGGACAAGACGGGCATCGACGGCAGGATCTTCATCAACACCGGCGCCTCCCAGATCAAGCATGTCCTGGAGAGGTTGGGCCGCTTGGATGCCCTGGATCGAGTGCTGGCGGCTTACATGACTGGGCTGAGGCACACGTTTTACATTTCCGTGGCGTGTGCAGGCTGTGCCTTTTTGGCGGTGCTTGGTTTGGAATGGAGGTCTGTGAAGCATGGTCCTGATGGGAAGCAGAGGCAGCAGCGAAGTCAGAATAGAAAGGAGTCTGCTGCTTCGGAGCATGTTTGAAGCGGTGTACATATATATGTATATATATGTATATATATATATATAGACATGTATTCCCCGTCGCGTCATGCCATCAATACGGCCTACGAGTAAGTGGTCACGCGCCATGCCACAACTTTACAGGATAAAGCGAAAAGGGAAAAAAAAAAAAAGTCTTCAAACTCGGTGGACGGCATGTCCAAACTCACTGTGTGTGATCCGGCGGCCTATCCCAGTCCACGGCGTCCTCGTTCCCCCCCTTGCCGTCCAATCCCACGAACCGCACGACCCAATCCCTCACGGCCCTGGCCTTGCCAACCTGCGGGCTCTCGTTCTCGTCCTCATTCTCGTGGCGGCCGGCCCTCGCCAGGCGCCGGGTGGAATAAAGCCCGCCGCCCTGCGCCCTCCACAAGAGGTGCAGCCTCGTCCACCCCCTCCGCAGGCTCTGCCCGTAGACCTTGCCCCGGAAGACGTGCAGCGCCACGTTCTCCATGAGCACCACGTCTTGGCGCCGCAGCTTGAGGACGTCGCTCTCCGCGGCCTTGTCCGCGGGCACCCAGAAGGTCACCGCGAAGCCGGCGGCCGTCTCGTCGCCCACGAGGACCTCCACCAGCGACAGCGTGCTGCCCCATCTGGTCGTCACGGTGCGCGGCCGGGCCACCGACAGCACGCCCGCGATGAGGTTCAGCGTGACCGTCTGTGGCTGCAGCGCGGCGACCCGCGCCGCCGACGGCACGTCCTCCAGGTCGGAGAGGTGCGGCGGCACAGGCGGCGGGACGCGGCGGCCGTGCGGGAGCGGGAGCGGGAGGCCCGGCGTCGTCGCCGGGGAGGAGGCGTCATGCGTGGTCCAGTCGAGGCCGACGCCGTCGGGCTCCGGGGCCGCGGTGGAATTGTGCGCGGCGAGGGATTCCTCGCAGAACTGGGCGAGGACGTCTGCGGTTCCGCCGTGGCCGGGCGACGTGGTGTCGGCGGTCGTGAAGAAAGTCGCGGTGCCGGGGGGGTTGAGCGGTTCACGCCGGAGCTGGTGGACTTGGCTGAAGCTCGTGGGCAGGGGCTGTCGGAGAAGCGGCAGCGACCGCCATGCCGTGTATCGCGTTGCCGGGGGGGGCTCGCGCGACGGAGCGGCCGGGAGTGCGAGGAGGTCCTGGAAGGGCTTGTCGAAGTGGTGGACGGAGCATGAGGCCTCTGTGATGGTTGATGACGGCGGTGGCCCTGCGAGGAGGAGGAGTCTGGGGGGTGGCATTGTTTAGGCGGGGTGCGCTGCCATGATGGCGGTTTCTTGTTCTTGTTTCGCTTTGTCACATTCTTTTCTCTACGCCGGGAGAGGAGAGGTAGGACGCGGACAAGACGGGATTCATGGGAACGATGCGGGATGCGGGATGCGGGTTGCACCTTGCAGCCAACGTACGTACGTACTTACTTGGGTGTGGGTCGTGACTCGTGACTCGTGACGCGACGACTACCGGAGGTGAGGGGAGATGTGCTCCAACACTCGCATCAACGACGGCACTCGAGGAGAAACACGGCATGAGATGAAAATCATATTTATTGATTGGTTGCCCATCGGCAAAGCTACATGGCAGACGCAGACAGGCTAGGTCTGCGACGTAATATGAACATCCTGCGCTGTTTGGTATGAGAAGGGAATTTTTTTCATGGTGTGAATATCTTGTTTCCTGGGTAGGCAAGCAGTTAAAGTATGTGAAAGATCAGGAAAACCGCAGCCGTCTAGTCATTTCCCCTTGACACCGAGACAAACGAAGGGAACTCACTCGTGATGTCGCTCATGAGTCATGACACGTTTGCCCCTCTTATCTCGCCGCCGTCATCATGCTCTCTGCTGACACGACTTGACGCAAATATAACATCCTTGTGTTGCGCCAGTTCCTCCGGTCCATGACTGGGCGCAGCTAGCTAGGATTCTTTCTTCTCCTTCGCGCCAGGCAAGGACGAGCCGTGGTTTTTTGGCCCGTCGTCTTTGAAGACCGCTCCTAGAATTGTTTCGGCTCCATTCATCGCTCGGCTTTTTTTTTTTTCTCTTTTTTTATTTTTCCCTGCTCTCACGGCTCTCGAATCCACTGTTCAGACCACCAGTCAGCCTACAACATGCGTCTGTCATTGAGATAGGGACTTTGAAATTTCGGCTCTCGTGGAGTCTACATTCATACCCCGGAAAATGACACGTGCAGTTTTTCACGGGCTGGCTGGTCGTGCGTCTCGTTTGGCCGTTTGAGAATGCTCCGGGGAGGCGAATGACTGAACGATGCCCACGGCTTGGCCACGGGCGTTGTTCTTTGTAGATCAGGTAACCTGGTGTTTTCGGCATTTGTGCCCTTCTTTTCTTGCGTACTGCTTTGCGACATGGCGAGCGTGGTTGCTGCTGAATATCCGTGAGAGGCCGAGTGCTGACACGCAGAGTGCTTGTCGCTCCATGTGGATGGACCTTGGGGGAGGAAAAAACCGGTGGATGGACGATTTAAATACTCATTTGGTGCCTTCCAGACCACACTGTACTGTCCTCAAATAGGGCGTCCGTCGTTTAAACAAGGAACCTACGGGTCAGGCCTAAACTGTGAATATGCTTTCAGTACCTCGTCCAAGCATCAAAGCCCACCAGAAAGCGGCAAAGATGCATGGCTAGGGTGCTGGTCATGGACAAAACGTGTGAGTAATGATGGCGTGACACCTCTTCATGATGTTTTGGAGACTTGCAGGCGGAGGCGCTTCACAGGTACATGAACTGGGCTCGTTTGCCAACTCAACACCTCTCTTGGTAAGCAAGCTTAGCAGAAGGGCTCATGAAAGAGCATTTTCATTGATTCTCTGCGGCTTGACATCTGTAGTCTTTGTACTTTTGGGGACGCTGTACAGGATACGAGGTCGCGGGCGCGGCGCATTTGCTGCCGTGACATTCGAACCCAGGTCAAAGCCGGATTCAGCCACCAGGTTCGCACGAAAATTGGCCGACTTGTTCATCTGGCGTGACCCGCACTTTCGCGCAAGGTCCGGCGGTGGATGAGACCAGATGAGACTGAATGAGATGTTAACGTTTTAGATGAGACTGGATGGATGAGACACCGTTGCTCCGGGACAGACGACAAAAGCACAGTGAAAACTTGGCTCGATGCAGGGGTTCAAATGTTGCCTCGCCGCCCCGCTCCTCTTCGCGGGGTGTGGGGGGGACGCAACCAGGCTGAGCAGTACCAGCTACCTTGAGTAGGTACTGCCACTGCCTGGTAGGTTCAGGTCTGCAAATGTCGCGGTACCCGTGGACAGTTACATGACCTTGACCTTGGGTTTGGGTACGTACCTAGGTAGTATTCACTGCCCTGCTGCGCCGTCGCTCCTTCCTCAACCTCTTCACAAGTACCTTCCCGGTAGACAACAGTACAGTCTCGACTTCTCGACACCCTGTGCAAGCTTCTCCTTCGCTCCCGTATATATCGGCATCATCATGACCTCCATGCGTCTCCCTCACCCTTGCACTACCAACGACGTTCCAGTCCGCCGGCACGCAAATACTTCGCACGCCATCTGAACGCCCAACGTCGCTGTGTGCCCGTGGCACCGTTGCCACCCAGGCGGATAAACCGTCATCGTCCCGAGTTGACTCCCAACACAACATGGCGGCGCTGTTCAACGTCACGGACCACATCATCCATGCTTCGCACATCCGAGAGTTCGCCCGTGCCACGGCCATTTCGCAAGATACCGCCCTTGAGCTGCATGTAAAGCAATACACTCCCAAGGACAATGCATCCCCCCACAAAGGTGACGTGACCTTCATTGGCGCCCATGCCAACGGTTTCCCCAAGGTACGTCGCACACAAACCGTCGACAATCCACGTCACAGCCATCTACACATCTGCATGCCCCGTCATGTTTGATGTCCGGGCCACCACAGGGCACTGACCGGGCCACCAGGAAGTTTACGAACCATTCTACAGCGACCTTTACCGGGAGCTGAGGACGTGTGGTGTGAACATCCGTGATATCTGGATTGCCGACTGTGCTTGGCAGGGCCAAAGTGGCATACTCAACCAGCAACGAGGTCTCTTGGGCAATGACCGTGAGTGTCTCTTGCCCACCACGGCACAACAACTCAAAGTGCCTACACCTATCGACTGACAATGCTCATGCCATGTCCCGTCCAGCTTCGTGGTATGATTACTCCCGAGACATCGCGCACATTATCAATACCTTCCGCATGCCGCGTCCCCTGGTCGCTCTTGGACATTCGTTCGGCGCAACCGCCCTCAGCTATGCCGCCTTAGCGCATCCCCGTCTGTTCCACAGCATGGTGCTCCTGGATCCCGTCATTGCCCCTTATCACAAGGGCCCCATGGAGTTCGGAGCAAGTCCTGCGACGGCCAGCGTCAACAGGCGTGATCTGTGGCCGTCGCGAGAGGCTGCTGCCACCCAGTTCAAGAAGAGTCCGTTCTATCGAGCCTGGGACCCCCGCGTCTTGGAACTGTGGATCAAGCATGGGCTGCACAGCACCACCTCAAATCCAGACGGAGAAGTTGTCTTGGCAACCACCAAGCATCAGGAAGTCTTCACGTTTCTGCGCCCCAGCTGGCCCGCCTTCGATGCAGAGGGCAAGAACGCCATCAACCCCAAGTGGATGCCCGACTGCGGCACTTCCATCAAGCTAGAATACTCCATGTATCCGTTCTACAGGCCCGAGCCCATTAATACCTTCATGCGTATGCCTAGTCTGCGCCCCGGCGTTGTGTTTATCTTGGGTGGCCGGAGCACCGTCATCTCCAATGACGCTGCCGAAAAGAGAACGGAAATCACAGGTACTGGCTTGGGAGGCAGTGGTGGTGTCGCCTCCGGCCGAGTCAAGCAAGTCGTACATGAGAAGTACGGTCATCTCATTCCTCTGGAAGTTCCTGGTTTCTGTGCCCGGCATGCCGCCGAATTTGTCAAACAGGAGCTGGACATTTGGGCCGCAGAGGAGGCCGAATTCGAAGAGTGGGCAAAGAAGTCGAATACTGAGAAAGTGACGGTCTCTCAGGAGTACAAGAAGCACCTGGGCGTTGGAGAGAGGCCGAGGGCGAAGATGTAGGCAGCTTGTTCAAACATGAATCTGTACTTGTAGACCATCCCGTCTCTCATAGAATAGAACGAGGCTTGCTGCTGGCATGTTTTGATCATTACAACATGCGCAAAGGAGAGCTGCAAGGAAATTCGTCAATTTGCTCTTGGCTACTCTTCAAACTCGGTGCTTCAATTTGCCAACTCGGACCAACCCCTCTCCAAATCGCATAAACCCTTCATCATAGCCAAATCAGCAGAAAGTATTCATCCCAGTCTTCCCAACTATACAGCACATGTCACGACTGCTGAGAAATCCTCCGGCAAAGTCAGATATAATACATGCTATCCCTCAACGACCGGTGAACCTGTCTCGTGCCCGCTGCAACTGACGAGTCCGTCGACGCAGAGGTTGCGACACTCTCCACATCGCTCACATCGTATTCTGGACGATGGGCGCGAGCACGCTCACATACTATGTCAGCGTAGTAGGCTGGCGGGCAAATGCTCACAGCCTTGGTGGCTCGTCCGAACAAGTAGCAGAGCTCATGAGTCAGACGCTCCAGCTCGTTGGCCGCTTTCTCGCCGTACTTGTACCTGAATATCTCGTCCAGCAGCACAGTATAGTGTGCCGGCCGGGCCGTTCCCTGTAGGGCCTCATGTGCAGTCAGGTAAAAGTCCCAGTACGGGGCCAGGGTGATGCCGCGGTCGACAACAGTGCCGTTCTTGACGTTGCCGGAACGGGACATGTCTTCTGTGTTGGTGGGGTAAAACCTCGTCTGATGTCGCTTGACGGAGACGATGATGGATAACTTTGGCTGCTTGCCGGATGGGTATGTCTGGCGGCACGCGTCTCTGATCATGGGCAACTCCTGCTCAACAACCTGTGCGAACTGGCCTTCGGAAACGCCATCGCGAAAAATGACGATGTATTCTGGGAGATTCTTGTTGTTTTTAGATCGCCACAGGTCCAGGCGGGACTTGAAGGCATCGGTAAGAGTGCTGCCGAGCATTTCCTGCTTGGACTTCTGTTCCCATGCCATGGCGGGCCATTGAGCAAAATCCTGGTCCACAGAAGCGACGAGGCCAACCAGGCTGGGAGGCTCGTTGCCCTTGACGACATTCATGTTAGTTGGGTGAGTGACATCGTAGCCGACTAGCATTGTCTTGCCTTCCTTCAGGAGACCAAAGTCATTGCTGAGCTTGTGGTTAACACCACCAGACTTGAGATTAATCTTGAGGCCGACGTTGCTGTAGTAGGACAAATTCTTCTCCTTGAACAGGTGTTTAGCTACGAGACAACTCGTGTGAATGCCATGCGTGCAGTCTCCTAGACGCTTGATCTTGGTGTAAAGGCCGCCGCCGTCTTTCTGGCCCAGGATAAACATGATGTGCTGGATTCTGTTCTCCTGAGCCCATGCGAAGAAATTTGTCAGGCTTGCTCCGTCCTGGGCGCCCTCTTTGGTCATGAAATGTTTAGGCAGCTTGACAGGCGACTTGGCGATGTTCACGCCCATATCATTAGCCATAAACTTGGCAAAGTCCTCCATTGTCTCAAGACCGACTTGTCTATCATTGTCCCGGAAGAGCAAGTTCATATATGTCCATCGCGAAATCATTTCGCCCCTTTTGACGACTTTTACGGCCTTCATATTCCAGGATCCATTATAAGGGTTCACAGAGATCTTCTTCTTAGTGGCGTCAATGTAGGCCACAGCTGGAACGTTAAGGACTCGTCCGTTGACTGTAACAAGACTCTTGTCGACAGAGATTCCGAACTTCCGAAGAGATGCATTGTCGTCATACTCCAGGACTTGTCGGGCATCACTAGATATGGACAGCGCGTTCTCGTACGGGGTGCGGCAGGCGAAGGCGAGCATGGCGGTTGTTTCCTCCCCAGTGAGCTTTGCCTTGATGCTTTGCCCACGCTGGATCTCAACGACTTCAGCCGGGAAGAATGTCGGACGTTTGGGGGTACCGAGGTTGAGAACAGGGAAGTCCTGGAGGTTCATGCCATACTCTGGAAGAGGCAGTTTAGTCACTCCGTCAGTAGTTACGCGGAGGCGGTCTGAGGAGTGGCTTACTCTTCTTGTAGTAATCAAATACAGTGATGAAACGGCTTTCTTCCTGGAGCCAGAACCTAACATTCTTAGGTCCCGGATACTCATACTCCGGGTTGATCGTTGGACGGTTGGGCCCATCAGCAGTTGCTGCTGTTAGCTTGGTCACAATGCCCTGAAGAGTCTTGCTTCTCCGGACTTTGGTGCCATCAGCTGTAGTGAAAGTTACCCACACTTTGGCCCTGGGCAAGAACTTGGCAAAGGCACCCACAAGCCTCTTTAACCTGTAATCATCACGAGCCGCCTGCTGAATGCCGAGGGACTTCATGACTTGATCCATTTTGCCAGCAACTCGGAAGACACCGTGAGTGACGTTGGTGTTCAAAAGGAGTCGACCGGTAGCTAGTCGAGCTGATTGAAAGAACCCACGCGCAGCAACAAGAGTGCGATAGTCTTGTTGCAGACTGGCGGTGGTTGCATACTTGTTGAAGGGGAAAAAACGAGAACCGCCAACGGCCGTGACTTCGCCTAGTTTCGAACGCGCGTCATGGCCAAGAATGATATTCAAGGCGTCAACCATCTCTGGAAACTTTGGATAGGTGTTTCTGTCGCCATTATCATCCATAGTACGCGTGTAAGACATCATTTCTGATACACATACCTCGGTAGGCCCTTCAATTAGGATGTTGACGACGTCGGGTTCGCGATCATCACTTTCAGCCGGAATGTTGATCCTCATGGGGTTGCTAGGTATGTCCAATGGTCTATCCGAAATTATCTGGTCCTTGAACTGAGATGCCAGAGCTAGGTTCTTATCTGTAGAGAGGATTTGTCTCAAAATATGCTGGATGGCAAGACCAAGCTTTCGGCCCTTGACATCCTTAGCTTCCGTTTTCTCTTTGCCTTTGACAACAGAGGCAATATCTTCCGTCACTTTTAGGACGTATCTGTAGACAACTGGAATCTTGAAGTGGACTGGGAAATAGTTTGCCCAAAGCACAACGGACTTGCCACTGGACCCGAATGCTGGTCTCTCGGGGAAAGTATCCAGGCTGGCTGCCTTCTGCTGGACAGTCAAGGCGCCCATTTTTGCGGTGAGTTGCTTGAAAGCTGATTCGTTCTTGCGGATGATGTTGTTTTCCAGCTCCGTGACTGTTTGATCGGGACTAGGAATCCGGCCATCGATACTATAGGAACTAGGTCAGCTCTGGGGAAGATGGCCACCCAGCACAATGCTTCCCGTACCTGAAAACTTTCGACCTCGAGTCGTTCGCAGGTGTTCCTCCCCGGCCGCCTCGAGGCCCTCCTCTGCCACCACGATCCGGGCCGGATCCTCTACTTCCTCGGAAGCTTCCTTGGAAGTCTCCGCGACCGCGACCGCCACCTCCACCACGGCCGCCGCGACCGCCACTGTAGCCTCGATCAGACATTGTCGCAGTGTCTCCAATGTGTCAACGTTGGTCTGTCTGTGTGGGTGGCAAGCAAAACCATCTGGCTGGGTGTTGATATAGCCGTCAGAAAAAAGTAACAACGAGGGTTACTGGTCGCGTGCTATATCGAGGTTTCGAGAGGACCTTGAGGTGCGGGGAAGTCTTCATATCATTGGAGAGCCGCCTTTTTTTGGGCCGGATTTGGCACCCAACGTTGAGAGTCATTCAGCCTTGAGGGGAGCTGCCGCCGAAGTATTGTACTCCCTACAGAGTACGTAGTATGACTCTCTTGGTGGGTGTTAACGTTGAACGATTGGAAGCTGCACAGCCTTTATAGCAGCCGGATTCTCGATTAGGGCGGACGTCGGTTCTAGCCCGCGAGTCCGTGAGAGCTCCGTGTGAGAGCCGTTCGGGCGGTCGTTTCGACCGGTGCGGCGGGGGGCGTGATTAATTTGTGAGCGTAACGTTTGTTGTGCACATTTGTGCCGAGCGGTCGCAGAAGGAGCGTTCAAGCACAGACAAGTTCAAGAGACAACAACCATCACAAATGGCTCTTCAACAGCTCAATAATACTCATCCTCAGCCATTCACACTTTGCATGGGCCAAAGACCTGCTGCGGTTTTTTTTTTTTTTCTTTTTTTTGTCAAACCACGCCGTCGACAATCATCAATATAAATAACCGCGCACACGATGCTTCACTCCGAATGGCGCCGCAATACTAGGTGATCGCGCACCCTCGTCAGTTGGGTTCTTCATCGACTCCTTCACTCAGCCGACCCCTTGCGATTGGCGCCTTTTCGATTTCGGCCTGGACAAGCTTGTCTCTGCATCCTGCATGGACTCACAGGATTCACGGTAGAACTTGCCAATAGCTACAATCGCCATACGACAAAGCCCGAGACTCGACAGATTTCTTGCTGCGGCAAACCAAGAAAACATGACTCTACGGCGCGGGGCTCGTGTAGTGTTTGTTAACCTGTAGTGTCTGGCATCTCGATGGACGAACATGTTGAACTGTACCGAAAGATCCGACTTCGCCGGCGTCTCCTCTCCGTATATTGGGCTCCGACGAGTTTGGAACTGGGCAAAACCTGTCATTCAGTTGTTGATTCGTCACTTTTTTGCCGCCTCGGTGCCTTGAACCTCGATACCAAGACCCGTCCAGATGCCGCTGCCGCCTCCCGGTCACGTCGCGAAACAAAAGAATTGCAAACAGTCCTGCAGGTCGTCAAGCTTCACGACGACCAATCAAGGCCTTACAGCCTGAGATTTAACCCTATGCGCATGCAAGTGCCACGCCATCAACTGTACAGACGGCTCACGATAGTGGGTCGGCCGTGGCTGTGTAGGTGACGTCGTAGGCATCGACCAACAAGAAGGATTGAAGAAGCGCCGTGGTAGTTAAAAGGCGAGACGGATTCGCACAGGAGCGTTTGAGAACAGACCACACGAAAAGGGCACTGCCTCGACAAGGTTCGGCAGGTGTCGCCGAGACGCGATGAGTGAGTCGGAGCGAACTAGGAGTGATGCAAGACAGTTCCCGGCAGAGCAAGCCAGCAGCTTCATAAAGAGACATGCTATGTCGCTGTTTCTGTCAGTTCCTCTATTCGAACATCTTGCGAGTTTTCCACAGTTCCTTCAGATTCGCGGGCCCAAGCAAACGTGACGCAATGGGTCTAGCCAAAGCCGCCATCAAAATCGTCATCATCCCTATTGTTATAGTCGTCGTCCTCACGGTCCTTGGTGTCGTTTTGATCAAGATCAAGCGCAACAAGAGCAAGGCGTCCAAAGACGTTGAAGGGGGAGAGTTTCCCCCTCCAGCCGTGTTGCCACCGCCGAGCTACCCTGCCGTACGGCAACCCCAGACGACCTATTCTACACCAAATATCGGGCGCAGGGAACAATGGGTTTAAATCACATTCACTAGTCCCCGGGTTTTCCCTTGAGGGTACCGGGGTCACCGGTCACGATACCATGCGGGTGTTGCAAAGATATGGCAGGACCGCGATTCCAGGGTATCAGTTTCAGATCTGCAGCGGCACTTGGGAGGACTGTTCTTGATGAGAAAAATGTAACGTTAGCCGGCGAGACGTTGCGAATACATGTGTTGGTTGCCTCAACTTGTTCCACGCGCAAGTCCAGCGGTCTTGTAATTGGCTAGAGAGCATCAACGCCAGCTTCCAAGTTATAACTACTGAATCGTAAACGGCAGCGGCCATGAGATGGCCCGAGATGGCCCTCCCCGCCCCGTCTGCCCCCACGACCACGCCCCGCATGAGTCATCCATCAGCACCAGCATCAGCAGCAGCAGCGATGCGATGCGATGCGATGCGATGCCGTGACAAAACCACCACAGCTCAACCCCTTGATCGCGAACCTCGCACACCATGGCGAACAAGCGCCGTCCCTCCATCGTCGGCCCAGACAGCGGCCCCGCGCCCCCGTACCCCTACAGAATGGAGGGCAAAGTGATCCCAGGCTTCGGGCGAGGCTCCAAAGAGGTTCGTTCGTCCCGCCCCCTCCATCCCGCCCCGGCCAAGTTGAAGCAAACCAAAACTCTCTCAAAACCCGCAGCTCGGCATTCCCACCGCCAACCTCCCCGTGGATCCCGCCCTCGCCCCCTGGATATCCTCCGTCCCGTCCGGCGTCTACCTGGGCTACGCGTCGCTCAGCCTGCCGGCCTCGTCGCCCGAGGCCTCCTTCACCGCGTACCCGATGGTCATGTCCATCGGCTACAACCCGTTCTACAAGAACACCGTGCGCAGCGCCGAGGTCCACGTCCTGCACGAGTTCGCTGCCGACTTTTACGGCGCCCACATGAGGCTGCTGATCCTGGGCTTCATCCGCGAGGAGAAGGACTACGAGAGCCTCGAGGCCTTGATTGAGGATATCAATTTCGACTGCCACGTCGCCAGGCGGAGCTTGGCCCGGGAAGCATGGAGTGCGGAGAGCGTCGGGGACGGGGCTGACTGGTTGCTCAAGGACCTCTAGGTGCCCCCTTTGCTGACTTGTCCTCATCAATCATCCTCGGCGTGCGTGGTGCCGTAGCATCTGGGGAAGGGTGGGAACGAGTTAAGACGTACGACGGTACAAAAGGGTCTTTTTTTTGTTATTTTTTTTTTTTTGGTCGGCGTGGCAAACAAGAGGGCGGCGGTTGGGGCTTCTTTGGGTGCTTTGAAAAACCACGTTGGGTTGAAATGTAGACAAACGTCGAGTAGACTCTGGCTTGTATAGATTTGGAAGAAAAGTTTCGGATAAATTTCGTGTGTGCTTGTGCAGCAATTTTTGTATTGTACGACGTGTACGGCATGTACAAGACCGCGGGTATCGTAAGCCTCATCTAGGCATCTACCTCTTGCTCCTCGACGTGGCCTTTGCCTGTTGAACCGTTTCCGAGACACCTCGAATCCCCCCTCCCCTTTTGTTTGTCTGTGTCTGTTTGAAATCCAACCAGTCCCATACCCCATCTCAAGTACCCAGTCCAGATGAGATCCGAAAAAGAGGATGAAAGCAGATATGAAAACAAGAAACAAGCAGAGGACAAAAACAAAGCAAAAACACCATCCATGCAGATATGTACAAAACACCGGCTGCATCAACTATACGGCAAGCTGGTGCGGCTCTTGGTTCGGATAATACCGTGGTAAAAACTGCCATGGTTAGCCAACATTCTCATTGTCCTCGCATCACGTAGCATCTCCTCCCTTGGCTTACATTCATTATGATCATCATGGGAATATCAAAGACATCCCGCTTAATTGTCCAGCAATATGTGCAGTTGACCTTGCCGTCCTTTTCGATCCGCGAGATACCATGCTCGCTGTCAATCTTGGTGACACGACTGCTCAGGATACCCGTCCGGTCTCTGTGCGTAGACGTGTCCTTGCTGTCCAGCATGTCTCGTGTTCGGTACTTGTTCAGACTGCAGCTCCTTTGAACCTTGCCTCGACTGTCTTCAAAGGCAAGCTGAGCAAAGTCGCGGTAGAACTGAACAACGCTGTCGTCATCTAGCAGCTCTGCCAGGTAAACAGGCTGTGGCCTTTCACCATTCGGTTCAAGAGTAGCAGTTTTGAGATGCGGTGTCGTGGCAGCGGATCGTGTGTTGCCGTCGGTCCCGTCGTCCGACCCCTGTGTCGGTCCAACGAAGACGTTTCTGTTGGGCTCCTTGCCTAGCAGCACATCTTTCGTCCAACCCGTCAGGGCCGTGAACTCCTTGTTGACAGCAGCAACCTCGCCAGAGCGCCGACACACAATCGTCGGCGCGCAGCAGTGTTGAAGAAAGTCGTCAAACTCAAACAGAGTGCGTTGGAAACACTTCTCCATGAACAACAAATCTTCTTTTGTCAGGTCCTTGGTGCAGGCAATGAAGGAAGGACGGATTTCCCCCAGTGACCTCGCAATCATGACCAGTTTGGTCAACGGCAGGCGGTGCTTGATCACCGAAATCATGTTGTGAAACCCAGCAGTGTAGGGATAGGGTTCCTTGACATTGGCATAAACGGAAGCAGAGTCTCGTCTCTTGCCAATCAGTAGTTGAGAAATCTTGTCCTGCATGGGCTTCATTCTGTTTGCAGTTTGTGCTACGCTCGGCAAGTTGTTGAATGTCGTGTGCGGCGACCCGTCGAGGGCCGCCTGCGGACTCGGGGTGGCATCTGTGCTTGGACTAGCAAGACTGTTTGGCCCTGCCGCGATAGCATATGCATGGGGCAACCCGTGTTGCAGATTGCCTTGGGTGTAGATGGAATTGGTGGAGTCGATTCCGGAGTAGTCGCTCCCGGTCATCATGGTGTCAAAAGGCTGGTTAGGCCCATTGCCAAACAAGGAGGCGTAGTTGGCCTCGGTTGTTGGCGTCGCGGAGATGGAATTCTCTCGTGGTGGTGTTTCGGCAGCCAGACCCATCTTGTTCAGGATGCCGAACTCCCACCCGGCATACTGACTGCCGAAGTTGAGGCCCTCCAAGTCGAAGTTGTACAAGGCAGGGTTGCTGGGGTCGAATAGGGCATTGAAGTCCATGGCATTGCCCTGCATCATGCTGTCCATCTGAGGTGCATTTGCTGCTGAGCCGGCCTGAAAGCCCGACGGTGCTGGCGAGCTGAATGGTAGGTTGTCTGACAAGCCTACCTGCGGCTGATTGGCAGCTGAGAAGACAGGAAACGACGGCCCGTTGCTCTGGGCAAGAAAGCCGTTGCCTGCAGTCACCGGAGATACAGTATCGGTATGAGTCGAGTTGTGGCGTTGGCCATTGGTCCGAACACGCTCAGCTTCTGGGTCGTAGTTGGGTCCCAGCACAGGCCGAAGTGCTTCAGGCGGCGCGTCGTGAAGATATTTGGCCTTCTTACGCACGCCGTCTTGACAAGCGTCGGCCAAGCCTCGTTTGATACAGCGCTTACACGGCCGCTCATCACCTACATTTACACTGTCGTCAGCACCGGCGCAAAGGCAATCTGGGCCTGTCTGCCATGGGAGGGGCGGAGAGGATGTAGCTTGTAAAAGAATGACTTGACCATCGACAGGACGGGTTCAAGTCGTGTAATCATGTCACAGCTCACAGCGTAGGGACTTACCGCATGTCAAGTGAGCCCTCTGGCACGCGAAGCAGGCTCTGCGGGCCTTCTTCCTCCTAGGTCGCTGAGGATCCTTTGGATCATACTTCTTCTTGGTATCAGTCATATTGTCGCCGTCCTTGTTGGGGGACTCGCTCTCTTCCTCATTATCGGACGGGTGGTCCGACAAATCGGCACTATTGTCCTCCACCTTGTTGGGCATCTTGGCAAGGTTTATATAGGCCCAGGGCCTATCGTTCCGTTAATGCGGTCAAATTGCTTGAGCTCAGGTTTAAACCCCGGTAGGTCCCTCTGCAATGGCTCTTGGTCCTGGTCGTGTGAGAGCAAGATGGCGACACACAATGACGGCTGGCCCAACTGCCACTTGCTACAACGCATCCAAATCCTTGCGCGTGAGGACCACACCTCTCTGCGCCTCTGTTACACGGCCTGTACTTTGTGTTAGACCGCTGATGACAGTGTTTTGTTGGTGTATGCGCAAAGTATGGTCGGTGCGCCCACAAAGGAAACCTCCCACCCACGCTATTAACTACCGGTCAAGCAAAAGGCTCGACCTATTTGTGGACACTGCGGCACTGGGTGAAACAAGCAGTTGGAAAGGGCGTAGTCTCACAAATATCTCGGCCGAGTAGTTGGAGTCGGTGGACGGCGACCTTGGAGCTGGGTCAAAAAGGGGAGGGGGGGGGAGACCGACCAAGGCAGACGATCACTGTGGCTTCCCGGTAGATGATGGGTCAGGTGTAGTGCCGGAGAGAAGACCAGCAACTCGATTCCCAGGGCAACTCGTATTCTCCCCCACGACGGTTGGATCAAGGACGCCCAATGGGGTGTACGGTGAAGAGAAGGCGAGGCGTTCGTGTGCGACGAAGGCGGTGGCCAGATGGGCTAGAAGGATGTATTGGTCCCCAAGGTTGCATGAAGTAAGCCTTGAATTGGCTGTATATTGGTCGTAGTGGCTGCTCGAGCAAACGCCAGAACATCACCAGCGTCTTGTTTTCGAACAAGTAGGGTGGAGGTTTCCCTGGATGTTGCTGGCGACTAGCCGGTATACCGAGGACGGTCGTAGATGTACGGAGTGTAGGAGGTGACGGCGGAGCAGTCAGTCACACGCAGCCACCCGGGGGCCATGTGCTTGTCGGTACGTGCAAGGAATCCTACTTATGCAGCATTGGCATTGACCAAACGCGCCGAAGGAAAACAAGCGTTGAAGGAGCACGGCGCACACGACTGGTCGGCCTAGTGTTGGTGGTGGCGGGACAGGGTCGAGGCGAAGAGAGAGGCCGACAGTCGCGCGTAGCCGAGGAGGGCATGCGAAAGGTAGTCAGTCAGTCAGTCAGGTCGGTGCGGTGACGTCGTCGCGTGGTGCAGTCAGCTATTACGCCGTGCCAGCCGGCGACTCAAGTCCCTGGTGTGCGCGCTGCGACGTGGTTGCTGCTGGGCGAGGGAAAGTGCACGAGGACGAGAAATTTGCGCTTCTCCCGTCCGGCTGGGAGATTTGGCGATGGAGTTGAGTCGAGTCCTTCCTTTGCTGTGCGAGGAGGAAGGAGCACGAGCACGAGAACGAGCACGAGCACGAGACGCCGCAGGGTTGGGCCTTGGGGTCGGACGAGTTATTAGCCGGGCCTCAAGTGCTCTCTAAGGAATAATCGAACTGTGGTCCATGTCCTTGTCTAGGGCTGGAGGGCAACTGCAGGGCAGCGCACATGTGTACGCAGCGTGAGGCAGGAGCGAGCGCAGCCACGACTAGCGGCTTCCTCGTCGAGTCAAGTTGTTGCGAGTGCGCCAAAAGGGCGCCGGCGGGCCTCGGCGGGCCTCAGCCAGCACTAGCCGACCAGTGAATGCTGGTGGTCTTTTGGGCCTTGGAAATGCATCGACTGCCCCACGCGGGGGGGTGGGGGTGGACGTCCAGAGCACTACAGCAGAGCAGGCTGGACGGACATTTGACAAGTTGGCCCTATCCTTCATGGGCCCGTCATAGGGTTATTGTTGTTGGTCAGCATTCGGTTTCCTGTTGGCTTGTATTTTTGTTGCCGGCGGTCCAGCATGGAACTTGATTTTCAACTGACTGCGGGGTTCTTTCCTATTCCCAAAGGGGGGGAAACCAAAATCAGAGCCCGGGCCCAATTACCGCCCGCCTGTACGTAAGTCCTCCCGGGATACATTTAACTTACTAATTATTAATCAACCACTGTCTGGCAGTAACGTCTGGACTGGACTTACATCTGTACCGTCAGTTAGATACTGGGTCTAAGTACCTTATAGGCTGGCTGGCTGCCCCTAGTGGTGCTCAGCGAGTCCCAGCTGGTCACTTGATCACTCGAACGCAGACTCCACTTTCGCACATCGCCGCAATCTGTGGCTTTCTGCACCAAGTCCAGACGGTGTGTTCACAGAACAGAATGTTGGTGCCCATTCCGCTTGGATCCGTGAGCATGATGAGAGGACGTGGAAGGACTCGTTACTTGGCGGCAGCACATGGCCGGGCATGGGCGTGGGCATGGGCATGGCGGGGTTCCTCTTTGGACGTCGGCTGTGCTATGACTGGCCCGAGGTTGTTTCAGATGTAGCGACTACCCCAGTGCTGTGCTGGAACAGAGCCGCATGTCAGGTACTCGGCACATCGGACGGCTGGTGCGGGCGGGAGGGGCCGGAGCTGAGGACTGAACGGGCTGAACGGTTGTGCGTGGAGACTCGGTTCGACAGGCCGGTAAATGGTTGCAAGTAGGTACGTACTCGCAACGCAACATGGAACCTGTAAGTTGTAAGTGTGCACAGTTTTTTACGGGCCACGACATCAGACGAAGCCAGCAACGGCCGGCTTATGCGAGGACACCGTAAGCACTCGAAATGAATTATTAATTACATATCTGCAGGGGCTTCTCAAATTCGCCTGACACGGACATCCAAGTAGAAGACTCGACACGTTTCATTTGCACTACCTACCTAGGAAGGTGCATTGTGGTCTCTTCACATGTAGTCTGCGTTATGTACTCGAGCAGTTTGCAAGTAGTACCTAAGTGCTTGCTCAAGAAGTAAGTGCCTTAGGTAGCCCAAGATAGGTAAGTACCTAGGCACTTGGCCGTGAAGAGCACGTGCAGCAGTAACCAATGTTCCCCCGTTGCTTCCTTCCTAATATACGCACCGAGTGCTCCGTACGGAGTAGTAGTTGCTAGGCACCTCTTCGGTACCCGGGCCTCGTCGCCGGGCAGTCAATGAGGCAAGTACTGCCAAGGTAGCTCTCTTCACCATGCGACATTCGGCCATTTTGCTATTATTAGTCTCAACATTCCCATCCCATGTCACCTCCATGCTACCTCAGTCCCGTCTTCAATGCTCTTCGATATTTCCTCAACCGCTCGTAGATCATTCAAGACCGACTGGTTTGCCCTGACATCGCACACCCCTCCACACTGTCATCTGCACCGCCGTGATATGCTCATAGGACCACAGGGAAGAGCTGGAGCTGAGAGGCATGCGTGATTATTCGGCGAGCAAAGAAATGAGCAACACGGACGCGGGGACCAATCGACATTGCGATTCTGCCATGGACATACTGACGCAGGCTATTACTAATTTCAATTCATCATACGTGGCTCTCTTTGCGCAGCTGTTACTACTAGTCGGCTGAGTCCTGACACGCCTCAACACACAGCAGCGGCCGTCCCCGTTGCGAGAGCGCATGCGGGCCACCAACAACGAGCAACGATCGACAATCGACAATCGATTCAGCACCACTACCAAGCGTCGATCCCAGCATGACTGTTCAATGTTGCGCACGCAGCAGGCGAGCAAGCAGATGTCCGGATGACCCAGCCCGTGTTCTGCGTCTTCTCACACTCTCTCCCTCATTCGCTACATCACCATGCTTGGCGTAGACCTGGGGATTGCCGAGAAGCCCGAATTCTGCCGTGCAGCATGCAGTGTCCAGCCTTCAGCGTACAGCATGCAGCAGCCCAAGATGATGCCCGTGTTTTCCATCTCCCTGTCTACTCCGTGTTTACACTCTGTATTCTCTCTGTGTTGCCTGTTTCTGCTTCTCTGTTTCCATGTTTCCATGTTTCTCCGCGTCGCCAGGGTCCCGTCTTGGGGTGCATCGGAATCTTTGTTGCATCAGCTTCCCTCCGTCTGTCCATTGTCGACAATATGCGCTGTGCGCTATGCGCTCCCCCCTACGCGGCGCCGGCTCGCTGAGATGCTTCACATGCAAGACCCGTTGCACGACCGCGCTAGCCTCACAGGACTGTCTCATGGACTTGCTCAGAATGCGTGTCACGGTGACAATTCAGCAAGTCACAACTTTGGCTGGCAAAGTCCATCAAGCCGATGTTGCTTCGGACCGTGCAGACTGCCGTGGAGCCATTTTCCATCAACGCTTTGGTGTCAAGGCGAATATGTATGATGATGTGTAATCTTGACGTTTGTCTGCCCTCGTTGGCGGTCAACGCTACACAGCAATCAGACATTTGACATTAATAAGAATGTCAAATCTTAGACTCACGGCTCGGTCCTCGGTCCTCCGGGGTGGGAGGGCGTCACCAGTGCGAGAGCGATTCGGCCCGCCTCCTAGCCCCAGGCACCTTGAAACATTCAACATGCAGAGGTCAGTGCTGGTTAGCAACCCGGGCCTGGACATCACTTTTCTTTCCAGGTGTTTCCTTGACGCGCGTCTTCTGCCGGCTTCTCAAGTACGGACGGCCTGCGGGGCCTCGGCCCATGCATTGCCCGGAGGTGATATCAAGACGTACGGTACAACCAGAGCTGCCAGCCACATGCTGGAAACAAAGTAAAGCATGCCACCAGACATCCAAGAACATCACGACTTGGCATATCTGCTCTTGCTTCGTATCTTCTTGCCGTAGCGGAAGAAGATGTACGGAAACGGCACCATGGCCACCATCAAGAAAGCCAACAGCGAGGATGCCCATTGGAAGCCAAGTTTGTCGTACATTTGAATACCAAACAGAGGAAACGCCGCTGAGAAGAAGAACAAATGGTCAGTCCATCTCGTACATTCCACCACGAGCACGCAAAACCCTCCGCGAGGACGTGGGATTACACTGCACGACTCTTCGTAACTTGTCAGACGTACCTGCGAATATACATCGCACAAAGGCGTTGGCAGCCAGTGCACTTGCAGCATACAGCGGATACGCATCGACCTGAATCAGCAGCAAGAAAGTCGCATCAGCCAGGGTCCAGCCGATCGGGCAGGGCTTTGTTCGGGCAGTAATGTCCGCGGGCCAGCATGAGTCCAACTTACGAGGAAGGTAAAGATACCAGTGAAGAGCAACACGTTTCTAGACAATTGCGCGACAGTCAGCCACCTCGTACAGATCGAAAGGCGCTCTGGCGATGCCAATTGGCCTCCACCGAGGTTCCGAGCGCCTGACAAAGATGTGACTAAAGCCACTGCGACACGCTCCATCTTGGCAATATTCTGTCCATGCGGTCATGCAGTCTGTAGTGCTCATCCAAAACGTGGCCACGACAGATCCTGGGGCTTGACGCTCGGCCGAGTGAGTGATGGGTGACACGGACCCGCGCTCCAAGGACCCTTGCCAGACAGCGACGGACGACGCATGCATACATGTATCAACCGTGAAGCCAACCATGTGGCCATAGACGCACACCGCTCTCACATACTGCTGCAGAACAATGGTCTTGTGCAACAGACTTGCCAGGCTTGAAAGGGGAAGAAAAAGACGGCCAAGGGGACAGGCACGTACCCAATCGCGAAGATACACGATCCAATGATGGGCACCATCCAGTGCACCCACGGATATGTAGACCATCCAAACATGAAGATGCCAGCTGGGACGAGAAACGCCCCCAAGACGGCTGGTGGAAGTCGAAACTCGGGCTCGCTGGCACCTGAGACGCCCGTCTCTGCTTCGAGCCTCTGAACCAGGCGGGTACGGACACGATGCCACACGGGATCGGTCATGATGCCCAGGATCATGCCTGCGAAGATGCCCATGAAAGACAGGCCAATCTGCCAGGTGTTGAAACCGTGATTGGTGCCAAACACGAGTGGAAATGCGCCAAAGAACAGGTACAAGATGCCCAGTAGAAGTGCGGCGTAGAGGCAGAGGTTGAGACACATGGGTTCAAAGATGAGCAGCTCAAAGGGTCGCTGCAGGGAGCGGCCAACAGACCGCACGACCGACTTGTGCGCCTTTTCCATGGGAGCCAGCCACCTTTCGTCGCCGGTATCCTGACGCAGCTTCTTGGCCTTGCTTCGCAGTAAGATGGGATCTGTCAAGGTGAGAAGAGAGAGAGACAAGGTCAGTGCTCGATATTCCTTGTCTGAGACAAACATGAGCAACCGCATGGTGATGACTGACGAACCGAACTGAGACCACGGTGCCCCACGAACAGCCCGTGCAACCTCTTCATGTGTGCCTAGGGCACGATGCCATGGTCAAGAGAGAACAAGAGCGACTCACGATAAGTCTCGGGCACGAACAAGACAAGCGCGACCCAGACAAGGCCGGACCACACCAGCAGCACATAGTAAGTCCACCTCCAGTCAACATTATAGTTGATGAAGCCACCCAGCAAAGGGCCAATGCTGGGCCCTACAAAGGGCGAAACGGAAAACAGGGCCATGGGGGCCTGCAACTCGTGCCTCGCGAACAAGTCGCTCACGGTGCCTCCAGAAACAGCCAAGAAGGCGCTTCCTGTCAAGCCGTCGAGGAAGCGGAACACGATCACCGTGGCGACGTTTTTAGCGACGGCCTGCGGGACCAGGAAGACGACGTACGTGGTCCACGAGACGAGGTAGATGGGTCTCCGGCCGTAGAACTCACTAAGGGGCCCGAGAAACATGGGGCCCAAGGCGATGCCGAGGACGAAGGTCGACAGGCCGAGGACAGATACGATGCGGGAGTTGTGGAACTCGGACTCCATCTTCGTGTACGTCGACGTGTAAATGGACGAGGCGCAAGTCCTGCCACGATGGAGCTTGTCAGTCTGGACTCTGGGCCCTTTGTGCCAGCGGCGCAGCAGCAGGCGCGACGCAACTCCACATGACCAGACAGGAGCGAGCCACGTACACACACAAGCTAACGTGCGAAACAATCAAGGTGATCAACCACTTGCGGCCCCGGGAGAAGCTCCTCGGACAGAGGGGGTCGTCGTCGCCGCCGTCCCAAGCAACCTCGTACGGATCTTTGGCAGGCCCCAGCAAGGCCGGTTCCTTGCGCTCCTCCCCGCCGTCGCCAGGGGCAGGGTCACTGTCGTCGTCGACGCCGTATCCGTTTTGCGATCGAGTCCTCTCGAGCGGGCGGGCGTGGGAGGTCCCGGAAAGGCTCCGTTCGGGCACGGCCGCGCCACGTCCATCTTCCCCCGCTGCCATTCCTGTCTACGCACCTGCGCGTCTCGCCGCCGTGTCTTGGAAAAAGAGAAAACTCCAGTTATTGGCCGGTCGAGTTCGGCGGTGGATGCTCGGAGGCGCTTGTGCCGGCGTGATGCGTCGCTCCTCGCTGGAAAGCCACACTGCGGCGCAACAGAACGTTGGTTATGGTTAGTTGGTTGGCATGGAGGCTCGTCCCGGGAGAGCGGACCAGCGGTATTTAAACACGAGCAGGAGCAAGAGGAGGCATTTGAAAAACCACTGTCGGAGCTCCGACTTCGCAGATTGAAGTGTTCTGGGGGGGACAGGGCAGGAAAAACAAAGAAGAAGGGACGGGAGATGATGGAGCATCGCAGGGGGGTCGGACCTGCGCAATGTTGCAATTTAGCTTAAACGGGCTTAAACGGGCAACGAGGCAGGCTCCATCCAAGGGGTTGCCGCAACGCCGCCCGCAATGACCGGCATGTACGTCATCGGGACGAGCGGCCAACGGGGGGCCAAGGGAGGGTTGCTGATAAATACACAAACACGAAATGCCACAGGCATCGGAGGTCGGAGATACGGTTCGCGACGGAGGGGCGCTGTGTTCCTGTGGGGGGGGCCCTGTTTTTTGGTCGCATGATGCTGGAACGCAAGACGATCGTGAATCCCAAGGTATCGTTCGGTGAAGCCACACGGCCGGGGAAGGGGGAAAGGGGAAAAAAAAATTATAAAAAAACATCGGAGAAATCTGAGGCATGTCCTTTCAATTCATCCCCCTTCCATTCACTGTTCATCATTTGTCATCCACTTCATTCATTGATTCGACTTTTGCCGTGGCCATCCGCAGACCCGTGCTCGATGCGCAAGACCTGATTGATGCCTGAGGCCGAGTCACGCCAGCCATCGGTGCCACGGATAGTCGCGAGGCGCGAACCGGCACGGCACGGGTTTGGGGCTTGTTTCGGCCTCAGCCGGCCGCCCCACTTGCAGACGAAATTGTCTCAAGATTGCTCCGTAAAGACGAACAGCGGACACTTCAAAAGCCGAAGCGGCCGCGTGGCTCCGCCATTCTTGGTAAAACCGTCTAACTACATGCTCAGATACGTACATGTCCAGCCGCCGGCCGCCTGGAATGCAAAATGTCATCAACGCCATGCCCCATGCCCCATGATGCCATCCACGTCACGCCGCACGCAACATGTGTGTGCTCTTGACTCTTCATCCTCCTCGTGCCCACCCGTGTTCCTGTCACACGTTGGCTCTGCGTGCAGGCTTAGTAGTTCTCCGCCAGCCCGCTCTTGGCGAAATCGGGAACATCCGAGTCGCAGTTGAAATCGCGGCTGTGAGCTTTGCTAGGCATGATTCCCGCCTTCAGAGCCGCCTCGTAACTCCACAGGGGCGCGCTCTCCGTCTTCCACGTCCAGTACCACCAGCCCCAGCCCTTCTCGAAGCTGTGCATCTGCGCCTCGGCAAACATCTGGAGAAACTTCTTGTACTGCCCGCCGTACTTGCTCGGGTCTGCGTTGGCCTGCGCACACGAACAGCTGCTGTCCTTGGTCGGGCACCGAGGCGTGAGGACCGACGTGCTCGCGCTTCCCGTGTCCAGGGTGCCCTCCCAGCGATTGCCCCAGCCGACGTTTGTGAGATGCCTGGCACAGTCCGTGTCGGCCTGAGACCACTCGGCGAAAATCGTCGGCCCGTAACCCGTCTGCGTGTTCATGCTTTGCAGAGTCTGTCGGGTCCATCCCTCGCAGGCGTATTCAATCTTCTTCTGGTGTGAGAAGACGATTTGGTTCTCGTTGAAAATCACGTACTGGTGGACGTCCAGCACCATGTCGTCGTAGCCCGTCATGAGCCCCTTCCAGTTGTCGAGACCCATGAAGCCATCACCAAAGATGACCAGCGCCCTGACGCCGTTCCTTCGCACAATCTTGTACGCATCTTCCGTCCATTGTACCACGTCCGCCGTCTTCAAAAACGTCATTCGCGGCTCGTTGGCCAGCCCGTAGTGCGTGAGTATGTTCTTGTAGCGCTCCTGGGCGAAGAACTGGCTAAGTCTGTCGTGAATCTCCAACGACCTCTTGCCGTTGAGTGCTCCGTCGGTGCCGTTGAGCCATCCTATGGCGCCCCATCTCCCGCTGTGGTTCCAGCCGTTTTGACTGCCCGGAAGGCCGTGGAGATCCAGGTTGACGCGGAGGCCGTACTTCCGTGCCCACTCGATCCCTCGCAGGAGGTACCGCCACGATGCTCGGAACACATATGCATCTCCGTCGTACACCTCAACCGCCCAATACGAAAAGGGAATCCGTACGTGGTCGAGCCCTGCCGCGGCGATGGCCTTGAACGTGTCCTCGGTCACAAACGAGGCATAGTGGCTTTCCAAGTTGCTCGCGGCAGACTCTCCAAGGTGCCGGCACAGCGTCCATTCGTCAACGATGCCCATTTGAACATTGTAGTCGAAGAGAGATGGTGTGATGAACGGCTCCAGCGACAGCCAGCCCCCCAGGTTCACTCCGCGCGCAGGTCGGCTGCCGTAGGGACCCCAATCTTCGTTCAACGCTGGCACCTTGTCGTTTGCTTTCGCCGAGTCGTCCCACTCCGAAAACAGGCCCATCACGGGAAGTCCGCCCACCATTTGATCCGTAAAGGTAACGTTGAAGTCTGTAGTTGTCTTCCAGCTCCATGGGTCAAGATATGTATTTTTCCACTGCGCGGGGACTTGATTGGGATCCTTCCCCTTGAGTGCAGAGGATGTGGACGGGGAGTCGTTGTCACTGCCGTTCTTTTTGCCAACAACGACAGCTACAACGACAATGACAATGATGACGACGCTGGTGATTCCAACCATCATCCCTATCGCCTTCGTCAGCCGGGCTTTTCCACGCAACGTGGTCGGGTCGGTTTTTTCCACTTACACAACCTTTTCCGGGACTTTTCTTTCTTGTGGCGGCGATGCAGCTCCTCCTTTTCGAGCTCAACATCCCCCCAGCTGCCGCCGCCCCTTAAGCCAGACCTTCCCGCCCGCCCTTCCTCCATGACGGCGCCGCTCACGACCCTCTTCTTCCTGCTCTTGTGATTTTTGCGCGGTTTTCGCGGCGTCGACCGAGGTGTCGTGTCCACCTCGTGATACTCGCCGCCGTGGTGCTTCCGCCGGTCTCTCTCTGCCTGGCGCTTCCGCCGATCATTTTCTCGGTTCAACTGCGCCAACGCGCCAGCCGACAGGTTTCGTGACGATGATGGTCGACGCTTCCGCCTCGGTTCTCGGCTCTCGTCGGCGGTCGATGTCGTCGCCGGCCTCGTCGTGGCGGCTTTTTTTTTCCTGTGTTCACGACTTTTTTTGGATGATTCGCCCGCCGCGTGCCCATGTCGGCCAGACCGGTGCGCTCCTTCCCTTAGCGCCATTGTCGCGTCGCCATGCGAGATCTTTGGTATTTTCGTTACCCCCTTTGCTGCACTGGAATGTGGGCTCGGAAACAAGGTTGAGACGATTAAACCACGAGTGAAAATGTCCTGGTGCCGCGTCATTCATAATGTTTGCCAAGTCACGGAACCGTGGGCATTGGCGCCAAGTGGTTGGCGGGGCAACGCCCGTGGGACCGCGAGTCCGCGACAACCCAGGATCGAGGATATAAAAAATGCGCAAACTGCAACGGGCACACGGCTCATGGCTCAACCCTCCAGCCAAGCCCGGTTTCGCCGGCAGATGAAGGAAGGGCTGATCATGCACGCACGATGCGCGAGCGCATGTACAGTTCGAACGGCAAAAACGGCCTGTACACGGCTCTCTAATCGACGTCTCTGAGGAGGCAGATCCATGCAAGCTGTCCGGCCCTGGATCCGATCCCCGGATCAATCAATAATAAGTGCGTAGTACATACCACCTTGAATAGAGTGATCCTGTTCCTCCAAGCCCCTCCCGCAGTCCTACGTCATCAACACTCCGGAGGTCGGCTCTCCTATTCTTGATTAGCATTGAGCCTCCAACTCACCTGCAAAACATTCTTTACAAATGATGATTTCCATCATACGGAGTAGTTTCAATCCCATTCAGGTCCAACGCACTGCGTTTCGCAGAGGACGGCACATTGTGGAGCCCGCAAGGGCCGATGTCCGTGGGCCGTGGCAAGCCGAAGTTCGCCAAAGCCGAGTCCACCACAGTCCGGGGAAGCTTTTAGCCTCAGAAACAGCCGCATTTGTTCTTCGCCTTCCTCCATCCGTGAACGACGTGGTGCGACTCTCCTCGACGGCCTCCCCAGCTACGTTGCGGCACGACCGGCGCGCACACCATGAAGCGCCAAGCTGTTCGTCAATTGCGCAGGGCTGCGGCTTTACCCAGGCCTACTACGCCCGTCCTGCTCCCCGTCCAGGTCGCTCGAGCCTATTCGACCCATCCGCCGCAGGCGCGTCTCAACAGACCCGTGGATTACTCGGAAACGCCGTTACTCGCTCACAGCAGCAGGGGGCCCGCGCTGGGCAACCATGGCGAGATCCCTCCCGAGGTACGGAACGGCGCCACCAGGAAGATGAACCTGTTCCAGGCCATCAACGATGCTCTGGGGATTGCCCTGGCCGAGGACGACTCGGTCGTCGTGTTCGGCGAGGACGTCGCGTTTGGCGGCGTCTTCCGATGCACCATGAAGCTCGCAGAGACGTATGGGGCCGATCGCATCTTTAACACGCCCCTGACGGAGCAGGGCATCATGGGCTTCGGCATAGGCCTGGCGGCGCAGGGGATGCGGCCCGTCGCCGAGATCCAGTTCGCCGACTACGTCTTCCCTGCGTTCGATCAGATCGTCAACGAGGGCGCCAAGCTGCGGTATCGCGAGGGGGCCACCGGCGTCCATGCCGGCTCCTTGACGGTCCGCATGCCCTGCGGCGGCGTCGGCCACGGAGGTCTCTACCACTCCCAGTCACCCGAGAGCCTCTTCACCCACGTGCCCGGGTTCCGGGTCGTCATGCCCAGGTCGCCGATCCAGGCAAAGGGCCTCTTGCTGGCAGCTATTCGGAGCAACGACCCCGTTCTCTTCATGGAGCCCAAGATCCTCTACAGAGCCGCAGTCGAGCAAGTGCCCCAGGCTGCGTACGAGCTGCCGCTCTCCAGGGCCGAAGTCGTCAAGGGCGGCGGGGACATTACCGTCATCTCCTACGGCCAGCCCATGTATACCTGTCTGTCGGCTATACAGAGGGCCGAGGAAGACCTGGGCATCTCCTGCGAGCTGATTGATTTGAGGACCGTGTACCCCTGGGACAAGGAGACCGTCTTTGCTAGTGTTCGGAAAACTGGGCGGGCTCTCGTCGTTCACGAAGCAATGGTAAACGCCGGCGTTGGCGCCGAGGTGGCCGCGGCCATCCAGGAAGATCCCGAGACCTTTGTCCGGCTGGAAGCTCCCGTGAGCCGGGTGGCAGGCTGGAGCATTCACAGCGCCCTGATGTTTGAGAAGTTTAATATTCCAGATGCAGCACGTAAGTCTGCACATCACTCCGCCTGACGACCTGTACATAAGCTGTACTAACTGCACACATATACAGGTGTTTACGAAAACATAAAAAAGAGCCTCGATTACTAGACTGTGAAAGAGCACAGTAAAACAAAATTTAAAAAAAACGGGAGGAAGGGACAGGGGAAGGGGTAGGGGGAATAACGGTTATGATTGTACATACATGGGGCATAGCCATTCCGGCGTTTTCAGAGAGCCGCGGATAAAACGACTGATATTGCGTGCAAACTCAGGCTCAAGGGATGTATCGTCTTCTAATACCTCCCCTAGCTTGTTGGCAACCTTATTTATCTGCCTGAGTGTTGTGGGCGTCTCAAAGTCGGAAGAGTTGTTGTGATATAACGGCGGCGGCGATGGTGTTGATGTGTAAATTGCAGCTCGTTGTTCAAGGGCCTCAATTACAGGCTGTGGATTGTAGGGTGAAATTCCAGTTTTTCGAAAGGCTGTGAGAATAGTAGTAGTCTTGAAAGCTTGTTTTCGTACAGCTTGAATGCAAGCAAGGAATTCAATCTTTGTAATATTCAACACGCCGTCTCGAACAATGATATCCAACGCCTTTGCATGATAATGCTTTAGTGGCTGAAATATCACAACATCAAGAGGTTGAAGGATGTGTGTAAGGTGCGAGGGCAACGCAAAGGGAATTATATCGTGCTGTTCGCAGTATTCAACGAATTCAATTGTATGGTGTGATCCGTGGCCATCTAGGATTAAAAGGCGATATCTGCCTATTGGCGTTGCAAATTCCTGAAAATGCTGTATCCAAGCAACTGCAATTTCGTCATTCGTAAAGCCGGTTGGTGAGACTGTTATTTTGGTATTAGCTTCAAGCTCCTTTATCCGATACCAGGACTCCATGTGTTTTTGCCCTGTAAGGATAAGAAAGGCAGGAATAACTTTGCCGCCAGCAGAAATGCATTCTATTGCTGTTGCAGTCTCCCTGTTTTCTGGCATTGAAAATAGATGCGCTCTTCTTCGCTTTGTAACAACTAAATGGTCCTTTCCCATTCCAATACGAAAGCCAGTCTCATCCATATTCCAGATATCTTCAGGAGGGACTCCGTACTGCTGAATAGCCTCTTTAAGCTTGTTGTAATAAGAAAGAGCTCTTGTCACATCTTCTGAAGCTTTTCGACTTGAATCAATCTTTTTTTGAAGACCTTTATGATAGTGATGCCGCTGGATAAAGCGTGTAGTCCATCGCGTTCCAACTTGCCTAGGCGGGGCAGTTGACGATGCCCTCTCTTTTAGGATGTAATTTGCAGCATCTGTAATGAATTCAGGTCGTACAGCGAAGTTGGCCTTATCAAGGCGATCGATATAGTTACATAAAGCAACTTCCTCTTCTCGTGAAAGCATTGTATTTCTTGCTGGATGGCCTTTCCTAGCAGGAACGCCGTTAGCACGTCGTTGAAGCCGGCTACGAGGCACGTTGAATTTCTTCGCCACAGAGCGAATTTTTGCACCTGGATTTTCCTCAATATACTCAAGAGCCTCGTTGACACGTAATTCGACATCGCTTTTTGCCGTTTGGACGCTAGTTGCAGCCATTTTCGCGGTTCAACGCGTCTAGGTTGAAAATTGGCCCGCCTTGGTGTCCGGCCCGCCTTGCTGTCGAGCACCACCTTTGGTGGTGAGGGCTTTTGCTAGCCGAACCACATAAAGTGGGGCGGGCACGATTACTTCCGAAGTAGGCAATGAATCGTTCAAGCAGGCGGTTAAAAGCGCCATTGACACGTAGTGCGAGTTTTGATGTTGGCCTGGGCTGAGCGGAGAGGGAGCTGGGAGTACATGTCTGGGGCTGCATTTTGTATGTGGCCAAAGGTACTCTGCGCCTGTCGTCGAGTTTGGCCAAGTACCCTCGTCAAGATCCGCCCCGCCTCAGGCCGAACCTCCCTCCACCCCGACGGCATGCTTTCGGCCGAGCCTTCGTGCGCAATCGGTGTCCTCTCGACGCAAGCCCCTTGCATTTTTTCCTCGCCAACAGATACACAGCTGTGGTGCAACAAGCTCACATCATGTCGCAGATCGAGACCGTCTCCGCCTTCGTGGAGGGAGCTCCTCCCGGCGAGGTAAGCGTCCTCGCCTTACGATAACCGCGCCAGCCGTCGCGTCACCCTCGATGCTAACTCTCCATCGCAGCTCGCCGATGTCATTGCCGGTTCGACTGCCTCGCGTCCGTCACCTTGGCGTAATTTACTGACTTCATGTACTGCAGATATCAAAGCCTTGACTGTGTCGTCTCCGGACATTGTATCGAAACTCACGCCCGCGATTGAGAAATACAACGAGGAACAGTTCGTCACGGTGAAGCTGCCCGGTAGCAGCCAACCGGTATGAGAGTGGCGGATTCTGCGGCCAAGGCGGATCGATCCATGCTGAGGCTGAAACAGGTCATCATCAGTTCGCACAACTCCCTCGGCGACGGACGATACTACGACGTGGAAAGCTCGTCGAGCTTTGCTGTCGACCACGCAACACAGGCACGTTGATTTGAAGCTGGCTCCAAGTAGATGTATGCGCTGACGCCGACTGAGCAACAGAAAGCTAGTACCGTGCGAAGCCATGTCATTGAAGGGGCTCAAGTCGATCTAGTGTATGCGATGACGGCGGTGTGTCAGAAGAGAAGCCGTCTCAAGCTGACAATGCGCAGAAAATCGACGTTGAAAAGTTTGGCAACATATGTCAAGGAGCACTTTCCGAGCGCGTCATATGGAGCATATCCCGTCGAATCCGATTCCAAAGTGGCTATTATCATCGTGGCCAACAAGTACAGCCCAAACAACTTTTGGTACGAGCCCAATGCCGTTGATGAGAACCCCACTCTGTCCCTTGGCAGCAGTACCGCGAAGACAAAATCATGATTTTGCAGAAGAGGATACCCGTCGCTAATGTTGTCTAGGAATGGGCGATGGCGATCACTGTACATCTTCGATCCAGCTTCCGGAAGTCTGGAAGGCTCCATCAAGGTTGACGTCCATTACTACGAAGACGGCAACGTCCGCCTACTCACCAACAAACCAGTTACGGCCTCGATTCCCTCCGGCACTGGGGCAGGAATCGCCAAAGAAATCTCAGCATCAGAGAAGAAGTACCAGGAGGAGCTAAACAAGAGCTTCGTCAGCTTGAGTGAAGGCGCGTTCAAGGGACTGCGGAGACAGCTACCTGTTACAAGACAAAAGATTGAATGGGACAAGGTAACGAGCTATAGGCTGGGACAGGATATTGGCGGAGGCAGCTCGAAGCGATAGATGGAGAATATTGTTAGCGACTTGAATGGGTGATGCATTGCATGGAAGAGATGTCACGACAAGACTAAGCTAAATGTGGCCGAATACACTCTATCGGTCATTGATGGCTCCGTGACCGGCGTGAGTTCACATGTCAAGGGCGCATCTGCCGGAGGGCCGAAGGAAAGGGATCGGACGCATGAATGGTACCGTGAGTGGCAACGACATTTACAGAAAAGAGCAGACATGCAGACACCACACGACGGTGATGCGGTAACTGCTTCTGGCTGTGTGCCACGGCAATTTCATCACGGCCTCCCTCCCCAGCCACCTGTCGAGTCGTGACAGGCTTTCCCAAAATCCGGGGATGGTGAATGGGACTGTGTAGCGTATTTTTTTCAGGATGGGTAAAAGGGATGGGCCGAGGCATTGCTGCCAGACATCAATTTGAAATTGGCGCGATGGCTATGGCCGAAAACCAACTGGACGTCGAGTTGAACGAGTCCAACGTAGCGGGGCAATTAGCTTTCCTGTCTTGATGTACTCCGTACTCCGTACTGAGTACTGGTTACTGGTAGGACGGCAGCACGTGTGCCCACGTAATATGCGGCGGGGCCTGGCAGAGACGGCATGATGGGGGATTGATGGCTCGTTCGTCTGGTTGTCCGACGTGGCTCTTCGTGGTCAAAGGCGGAACAGAGCCATTCAACGTTTCAGAATTGGCTGACGGGGTGGAGCGACGCGGAAGGTAGAGACGGCTGGTGGAAGTCAAGATTGAACGCGACATACTCCGTACGGAGTAGACGGAAGATTGAATGAGAATGAGAAAGAGAATGGCACAGGCCGCGAGAGCCCCGAGGCAGAGGGGGGCTGCAGGTGGATGAAAGTTGACTGTGGACGGCCTGAGATAGATGGTGATGCTGGTGCTTGACGGGGCCATGGACGATGCAATTGCCATTGCCCCTTCGTGCCTTCCTTGCCGGGCCGCGCACACGTGCACATGTGCAAGTCTGGTCCGGACTCCGGAGTACTAACTAATAACAGGACCTCCGGAGGAACCAGGGGCGCCTATCGACAGAAGTCACTGCTCTGTGGCGGAGCACAGCCAGCGCCTGTTTTAATTGCTGGGGCCTGCGAGGGGCGCACGAATCAGGAGCGCTGGGCAGTAATTTTGAGGCAGGCTATTGGTCAACTGGGTGCGTTCCTTGGGGCCGGAGGCCCCGACGGAAGTTGGAGGACCGGGTGGTGCCAGCCAGCAGGCTTACGTTAAGTACTTACTCAAGTACCTTTAGTGCCTGGAAGTGTGTTCGGTACAGGCTGCCCGCCCGCTGACCAGTTGATCTTCAGAGGCAGCTGCAGGGGTTGCAGGGGCCGCCGAGGCCACTCTGCCAGACGGGTCGACATGCTGGCGGCTCCATCTGGCTCTTCGTACGGAGTACCGGTGCATTCTGGGCCGGGGCCTATCAGACAATTCATTCTCCTTTGGGGCCTCGACAACTGCACGCTCCCGGACATTCTGTTGTCTTCCTCTCCACATCATCTTGATTGCATCCTCGACTTCCCTCCGCTTCTCACGGTTTATTCGTACGTGTGTGCTGACGGCGTTTTATCCCCCTTTTCCTGCCATTCTCTGTCCATTTCCTTGCTTGCAGACCGATCCGCCTCCTGTTGCCCTTCCGCCGCAAGTCATCTGTCATCCAACATGTCCTCTACCGTCGAGCTTACCTACCAAGATGTTGCTGAGCACAACACCAAGAAGGACATCTACGTCGTGATTCATGACAGGATTTACGACTGCACTCAATTCGTTGATGAACATCCGTACGTAACTGCGGCCCTCGCGGGCTCTCCCCTATTCCCTCGGGCGGCGGTCCTGTCGAAAACACATTGTGCGCTTTCACAATCGGACGGTTTCGCCTCCACTCGGACGTCATCGTCCGACAAGTGCACCAGGAGCTAACAATATCATGGCAGTGGTGGAGAAGAAGTTTTGCTCGACTGCGCCGGCCAGGATGCCACCGAAGCCTTTGAGGACGTTGGCCACAGTGACGAGGCTCGCGAGACCTTGGACAAACTCCAAGTCGGTGTCCTGAAGCGACAGGTACGTTTTCCTCCCGCCCGAGTGACCAACTGGTGTGCCTCGAATTGCACAGGTGCTTTGCAACAAAAAAAATAAAAAAAAGTCTTGCTGACTAGTTCATTGCAGCCCGGTGATCCTGCCCCCAAGAGCGCTCACGCTACCTCCTCCGGCGCCAGCTCCGGCAACAGCGACAACACTGGCGTGGGAATTGGCGTCTACTTCATCATCCTCATCGGTGGTGCTTTGGGCTACCTTGGATTCCAGTATATGGCCAAGCAGCAGCAGCAGCAGCAGGCTCAGTAGGCTGGTGCCGCACACATGGTTTTTTTTTTATTCTTTTCGCACGACTTGAGCGGTGATGAATTCCTCGCAATGCTTGTGAGACCGACTTTGTCCCTTGCAAACGACGATTGGTTAGCGAAGGAGAGGGGCGCAAAGATTTTCATGGAAGGGAGTCGGGAGCAAAGAGGGGGAGTCCCATTGAGACGTAGGGTAGCGTTTCTGTGCATGGCTCACCCCTTGGAAGGAACCTCTTGTTCGCCGGAGGAGCTGATGGCGGGCAACTCGGAAATGCGGTCTCAGCGCTGTCTTATTTAGAGGCTGGGATCTACGGCACGGGCCAAATGGTAGACAATTGTCCACTTGGCAGACTTCTCTATAGAATTCTTTTAATGGTTGTATTCTCTAAGCTGGTCGTTCCGTCACTCACTGCACAGGCGGGACAGAGGTGCTCATGTCCCAAACACATCCTCATGGCGCAACATTGCGCTGCTCTCTATTCTCTGCTCTATTTTCTGCTGCTTACTACGGGAGTACATGAGTATCTTGGGATGAATTTTATGCCGCGAGGCTGCTCTTGCTGAGCAAACATGTGGGGCCTGATGGTTCAAATGCACCAATGACAACCCGCCGAAATCGCACAAGTGTCTCAAGATACAGGACATAGAGTGTTATCATACATTGCATAGGATACTTCGGCCAAGACGGCGCGATCATTCATAGCCAGGCCGTTTCGCCATCCCGACCTGTGAAGCACGGGATTCTCCTTCTTGCACCCAGACTTTCTCTCCTTCAACCCCTGCCGTCTTTCTGGGTTGGCCGCGGAGGCGTTTGTTTGGTCTTTCGCATGTCACCGCATCCAAGCGACGCCACAGATGAAAGCATAAATGATACAGTCGACTCTTGAAGCCCTTTTTTTTTTAAAAAAAAAAAGGAAGAGAAAACGGAAGGAGAGATTAAACTTAAGAAATTTGCACTGATCCCTAGCACGTGTCGGCGCATCAAAAGGTTCAAGTCTTGGGTGAGACCCGACAGGCCGGCCCTTACCCTCGAGCCGCGGACCAATCAGCATGCAGAATCAAACTGACAGTCCTCTTCGGCGTTGATCTTGCAAGCACAGCCATCAACAAACGCCGTCTGTCACCTCCTCCTTTCCTCTCCTCCACGGCCCGCCATCTCCGTCGCCCAACCCGACCGAACGACGTCTCTCAAAAACGCCGCCTTCTTCATTTCACATCGAGGGCATTCCGCTCGTCGCCCCCCATGTCCTCGTACCTGGAGAAGCAGTCGTCCGCCTTCCGCGGAACGCTGGCCTCGGCGGCCGCAAAGCTCTCGAACCCGTCCGGCACGAGCGCCGGCAAGGCGACGTCGCTGGCACCGCCATCGCCCTCTCCATCCGCCGCGTCAGACACCACCACGCCCACGGCCAAGAGGAAGCGCGACATGGCCCCCGAGGTGCCCTTTTCGCAACCCCAGCTGACGGGGTACGGGGCCGAGGTCAAGACGCAGATGGCCTTTGCCGTCGAGTATCTCAAGAAGAAGGCCGAGCCCAAGAGCATCACCGACATCATCGACCACCTGAGCCTGCGCGGCTACTCCGAGGAGCACAAGCGGGAGCTGACGGAAGGCCTGAGGGGCCACCCGCGCGTCGAGTGGAAGCCCGACGCCGGCCTGAGCGAGCAGACGTGGAGGGCGGGCATCTACTCGTACCGCCCCGTCATCCTCAACGTCAAGGACGGCACGTCCCTCCTGGCGTACCTGCAGCGCAAGACGGACGCCTCGGGCGTCTCGGTCAAGGACCTCAAGGACGGCTGGCCCGACTGCGAGGAGACCCTGGCGGCCCTGGAGAAGCAGCACAAGGTCCTCGTCGTCCGCACCAAGAAGGACAATTTCCCGCGCTACGTATGGGCCGACGACCCGTCGCTGCACAACTCCGTCCAGCCCGAGTTCCAGGTCATGTGGCACCGCGTCCCGGTCCCCACCATCGACGACATACACCGTAAGCTGGTCAACGTCGGGCAGAAGCCTACCAGCGAAGACCCGCTCAAGATCCAGCAAGCGGCCGGCAACAAGCCCAAGGTGCAGAAGAAGAGGGCGAGCAAGAGGACGGGCAAGGCAACGAATGTGCACATGGCCCACCTGCTGCAGGATTTCAGCCACATACGACGATGAATCCCGCCTTGTCTTTGTTTGGTTGATGACTGTACGATGCAAACGTGTTTTTTTTCCAGCTGTCTTTTTTTTCCGCCTCTTTTTTTTTTTTTTTTTTTTTTGATTACGACGTCAACCACCAAGGTTTCGGTGGCGGGTTGATTGAAAAAAAAAGTCAGAGAGAGAGAGAGAATCAGAGAGATTCCATGGCTCTCTCTTCACATAGCGCATGGCCAAATTGGAAGCACACATGGCAGCATATATCGGCGTTTGGGACCACAGATTCGGAAACTGTGGTGGAGCATATTATATCCTTTGACGCACTTCTAGTCTAGTACGGAGTGATACACCCTATTCCATTTCATAATTTACTTGGTGACTTTGTCCATTCTTGAGCTCAAAGGACTATGGTATCGCGCATGCATCTCACGACGCCGTCTTAAACATCGTAACTATGCACTGGACATTGCCGCCATTGAGGGTCCATTCCACGAAGCCATCGTTTGCATGATTCCTATCAGCCCTTTTTTTTGCTTCTCCTCTTCGGAGGAAAGTCGCTCTTCTCAGGCTGTCTTCTCCATCTCTTCTTCTTCGCGGCACTTCGTCGACCAGGACGACTGAATCTCTTCCATGACCTCACGGCTTGCTCAAACGCCCGCATTCTCCGCCCATATCCGCTCAAAAAGCTTCTCGAAAACCTCCTTTTCCTGATACCCACCGACCTTGTACTTTCCCGAGACCGTCACGCATGGGACCGCCTCGACTCCCTTCTCCTCGACGGCTGCCTCGGCCTCGTCGTCTACGAAGCGGCAGTTGTCATCGTCCCGCAAATCTGCTCGGACCACGTCTGCCGGCAAACCTGTCGTTTCGCTGCCCAAGGCCACCAGGACGTCTTCGTCCGAGATGTCCTTGCCGTCCAGGAAATGGCTCCGGAACAAGGCCTCTACAACTCGTGCTTGGGCCGCGGGTCCCCGGCGTCGGAGGGCGTTGGCAATGAGGATTTGAGAGGCGCGCGTTGGGCCCGTGTCGCCCGTGACGGAGAACTTGAGGTTGTACGGCTCGCCGGCGGCGCTGACACGGTCGAGATGCGGCTGGAATTTACCTGGTCCGCCGGCCATTTCGTCGTATAGCGCTATCTTGCCGCACTCTGACGCCCCATCAGTGCTGCTCGACAGTTCTTGATTGGTGTAAGGAGGATGGAGGCGACGTGGAAGGGTTTTTTTTTTTCTTTCTCTGAACAGACGAGACGGGCACGGGATGCAAGTGAAGGAATGGATAGTACATGGAACGTACTCGTCTTGAACAGCGGATTCAAGCAGAACGGCCGCCACACAACTTCAAACTCAACCTGTGGGTGCTTGGACTCGAATTTCTTCATGGCAGCCTCAAGGCTTCGCTTCTCAATCCAGCACCATGGACATAATGTGTCTGAAAACACTTCGATAGACAGGAGCAGCCGCTCCGCCTGGGAAGGGGAGGGCATTGAAACGAGTCTTCTGCAAGGCGAACGGTTTGGTCTGGGCTAGGTCCAATCTGGGAAGTTGGGAGGTGGCTATACGGCACAACTGATTCGCTTCTGGTATCAAATATCAGGTTGTAATTGCTTCTCCTAGCGTGAAAGCTTGGACGGACGAGGACAGTAATGGACACTCCGAAGCACGTTGGCCCGGCCGGTTTGAGGTGGACAAGATGGAGTGAAGCTCTCGTAACAAGTGAGTCTGACGTATACTGGGATGAGAGAGCAATCCAGCAGCTTTTCGACACGTAAATGACAGAAATAAGCCCGGGTCCCGGTCTTGGCCGTCAGTGGCAAAGCTTAAGGCGCGTGGTGTTGCGGGCTGTGGTTGATTGAAAAGAAAGAACCTTTTGTCTCGTCCCCCCCGCTGCCAGGACTTGTACGCCATTCAGACTTTTCCTTCGTCCCAGGGCTAAGTAATCATTATTTCCACAATGCAGGCAGGACCCCAGCTGAGATGGCAGGGCCGGCAGGTTTACGTTTGTTGGACTGGGGATTCATGATTAGTGATCAGTAATCACGATGCAGCAGACCACGCCGACGACTTGGAGCGTTGTAAACTTGTCATTTTCTCGAGACCCTCTTTTCCCGTCACGGAGGGCAGGTTGGCGGCCTACTGATGCGACGGTGCCATGAGCTACAAGGGCATGAAGAAAAGTGGCGGGACACACGATGGAAATTTCAACTGCGTCCTCCATGTGCACTCTGCCATTGAAGAAGTCACATTTGCTGCGCTGCTGCACAAGCTGCAGAAGGGCACCAACAGAAAGAGTAAAAACCCTCCGACACATGCCAAGAGGGGCGACAGCATCATTGCGCGCATGCAAGTGATTGGTGGAGCGGGATCTGTTTGCGTGGAGAAGTTTGAGGATTATCCCCAGATGGGCCGCTTTACTCTTCGTGACCAGGTAGGTCGTGTGGACGCTTCCGCGCTGGACCAGAAATACGGGGGGGGGACGGAAAGCACCAAATACTAACCCATGTGTTACTGCATAGGGACAAACCATTGCCATTGGCAAGATCACCAAGCTCATTCTTGATGGCTCCGAGTAAATGAAGGTACCCCGTGCTGGTGGTGCCGCCACGCGTTCTGAATCCGATGAAGCCGTCCCGATTTGAGAGAGCCTCCCCCTTCCCCGGGTCAAGAAAGGAGGAGGGGGGGAGGATGGGGAGGAGATGGGGGTTTGTGGAGAGGGGAACGAGGAAAAAATGCATTGCGTGCGTGCTGAAGATGCTACGATTCCCGTTAAACGGAGCCGTATCTCTGACGAAAGACAGCCGGCGTTGGAAAATGATTGACACGACAAGAGGGCTGCTTTTTTTTTCTTCTTTTTGTTCTTCTTTTTCCCACACGAGGCGGAAAAGTGGAATTTCGGTAGAATAGCCACGACAATCGGAAGCATAGATGGCCTCAGAACGGTTACAAAGAAGAGAGCTATTTCTCCCCGCATAATTCGACCATGAGGATGCGCGATGATGACGCACCCTCTTACGCCTATGAACTACAGAAAAGGGGGGGAGACGTGGGTGCAGGTGTGCGTGACAATGCAAGTTTAACGAGGGAAGAGGCATCGCAAATGGTCCATGGGCCATGGGTAGCGAGCGAATGACGACAGCAGTGATGTGTACGGTGTGAGCAAGTGTGTATGTATGTGTGTATGTGTGTATGTATAAAGGAGCGTCTGTGTTGGTGGTTGTGGGCAGCGGAGCGACGAGGGCCGGACGTTGTTCGCAGATACGCCTCGTATCTACGACAGGGACTCGGCAATACCATGTAAAATGGGCGAGGACGGGAAAAGCAAAACAAGAAAGGCGACAGGCCGGAAGGATACGGGACGCGAGGCGACGCGGCTCTGTGCGAGGCCGGCGGCGGGTGTGTGCAGGTGGGATGGCCGCAGCCGGCAACGTCGTCGCCAAAGCAGAGGAGGCGGAGTACGTGCGACTGCTGCTACTACTCCATGGACATGCGCAATGTCACGCACAAAGCAGCATCGTGACGTGCGTCAAGGAGGAGGAGGAGGAGGAGGAGGAGGAGGAGGAGGAGGAGATGGAGGCGGCAGAGGGCACTCGTTTCATATGTCTGATCGGAGCTTGGAAGGAGCCTCCCTGGTCCACCCGGACGCCACCTTCCTCCCGCCTCTGCATCAATCTCCTTCCGCAGCTGCTGCTCACCCAGTCATCGACGCCACTCCCGAGTTAAAAAAAAAATACATAATCAGAACTCTATATTTTCAGAAGCTATCCCATTCTCGCGCCGCACCGCTCGTCCTAGCTTCCCCGGTTTCCCCGTCTTCCCCGGACGCCTCCATCTCATGCCCGACAAGCCGTCCCGTACGTGTGTTACGATGCTGTCAATGGCAGGCAGTATGGTCAAAACACGTGCCTGCATGCAGCCTGATGCCCGAGGAGCTCCCCATGCGTTGAATGCCCAAACACGCGGGTACCCGACGTCTAGTCACGTCATTCCTCAAGTCATGATTTTCCTTGTCTTACCAGTTTCCCTATTCCGACCCTTTCGACGTTCCACCTAGGCTGTGCTATACTTTTGTGTGCGTGGTTTATCTTGGCTGACACATTACTCCATCAAGTGGGATTTGTATTAGTGTAATGGTGACGAACTCATCTATGATTCCGTGTGTCCAGCACCACTTGGTCGTCTACATACAACTAAGGAATCAACATGACAATGATGTGCACCCTCTTTTCGGATTCCACCAGCCCCTGATGACGCCTGTCTAGCCTCCTGCCAGGAAAAGTTCACCTGCATCCTAACGCACCCTCACAAGTCCCATATTCGTCAGGGAAGTACATGAGTAAAAGGAGATGAAAAGGATAATAAAAGAAAATCATGACGGTGTCACGCACCGTCCCTATGTAACAAGGCCGCTGCCACTTTACCGGGCTGAGCATGAGCAAAAGGAAAGAAAAAAGAGACAGGTACAAGCGTAATCTGAAGAGCCCTGATTTCATCGAAACAATCATGACATTAACATGCAATCCAGTGGACGACTGACTCGTGCCCTACTGAAAAGTATTCGTCAAGCGCACGCCAATTTTCTGCCGGTATGCTTGCTGCGTGGGTGAGATGATAGCTCCTGCACCGGCTGCAGACCAGACGCCAAAACGTCGTCTCTCCTCAAAATAGTCTATTAGTGTGGCGTGACTGAAACAAACGTTAGGGGTATCTATCGATGGACCGTTGCGGCCCCAGGGTATTTGACTGCTCCATTATTCAACAACCCCGAGCTAGTGGTAGACCAACTAAGCCATGTGTACTAGCCCAGTATCGGTACTTTGAGGCCGGCGCATCTGGGCTGACGCGTTGTAATACATCTGGCCCATCGCTGCGTTCTGAGGATATGTGTCTGGTTCGGGGTACACATAGCTTCCCGCGCCTTGAGGTGGCGTCGGGACATGCGCTGGCGACTGCCAACCGACACTGCTCATGTGAGGACTCCCTCCCGAACTACCGGGCTGGTGCTGTTCAACGTTTGGCTCCAAGGTCGGCGGTGGTCCGTAATTCGTTGGGTGCGACGTGGGCCTCATTCCTCCGTTGCTGTAACCATTCGACGCTGTTGAATTTGGGCTTCCCACTCGTAAATGCGGCGGAATTCCATTTTGCTGTAAATATTGAAAGTCACCGGGATGTCGGTTCACATTCGTTGCCGTCGTCATATCCATGCTGGGGGACATGGACATCGTGCGGTGACCTGGAGACGGCGTGGTCAGGGGCGACCCATGACTTGACAAATGGTCTCCCTCAGAACGTGTTCTCGTTGCCTTTTGTGCTTTGGATGCCGCCAAGGCGGCTGCCGTTGCTGCCGCCGCTTCCTCAATTGTCCCACTATGGTGATTCTGATGTCGAGTCAAGGTGGTTCGGCGGGTGAATGTTTTTTGACAATCGGCATATGGACATTTATAGGGTCTATTGCCTGTGTGGGTGCGTCTGTGACGAGCAAGAGAGCTGCTATCGCTGAAACGCTATTCGACGGTTGTTTAGCAAATTGTACATATAAAGAAGCAGCGTCCAAGTTCGAACCCTCACTAACCTTGGCACAGATTTCGCAGTGATGAGGCTTCTCCCCAGTGTGGACGCGTTTGTGAACTGTGAGAGCAGATCTCTGAATAAACTGCTTGCCACATTCGGGAAAATCACAGACATGTGGTCTCAACCCGGTGTGAATACGTTCTGTCACTTGCGTTAGCCTGACAGGTGTTCCGTCGAGATTCGATGTCCCTGCTCACCATGTCGTGCCAGATCGCTGCGACGAGCAAAACTTTTGCTGCAAGTACCGCACAGGAAGGCCTTCGCGGGCTGAGGAGAAGGCTGATTGTGCTGGGACATCTGGTGCATCGTCATGCCATGAACAGCCCCCATACCGCCTGGCATTTCTGGAAAGTTGGGTAGCGACATCTGACCTGGCATGGTATTGGACATGTGCATAGATGCTTGCATTGCCCCTGGAGAAGCATATGACCTCGCGATGCTATGAGCCGTCGAGTACGAGGAATGCTCAGACATATGAGGAGAAACTGAGCGTTCCATGTTGTGTCCTGGTTTGACAAGTGAGAGGTGAGGATGGTGGTAATCGGTGTGAGACCCGACGAAATGTTGCTGCTGCTGGTAATGGTGCGCGAGGGAGCTTGCCTTGTTATTCAGCATGTTCGTCACATCCATTGCCTTGCGGCACGTCTCGAGGTTGGTCGCGGCTCAGTCTGGCCAGAGTGTTAGTGGCTGGTTTCATCGAGGCCAACACCATGAAGCGGAATGATTCACTCACGCAGAGACAGCCAAAGTTATGTCCCGCAGCACAAAGCCAATGGATGAAGAAAATAATAGTATGCAACTATCAATGTCAGAACTGGCCGGGAAGCAAGGCGCAAGAGACCGTGACAGTGACAGCAAATAGAGCGCAGCAGATTTCAAGCGCCGGCCGGATTTGTACAGAAGCTGTCTGTATCATAGAGCGAACGCGATAATGCCAGCAAATATGATCCATCCGCCGCATTCGAAGCTTTGCAGGCTGAGCCTTGTCCAAACACCCGTCACGAATAATTTATCGTTCTTGCAGCGCAGTTGGAGAATAGGGGCAACACTTACCAAGTGGTTCAAGGATGCCCTCAGGTTTTAATTCTTCTGTTTATTTTCGGCTTGATCGAACAGCACGACACGGAATAGTGGCGGGAACGTCGAGAATGATGGTGGCGCAACCGTGATAAATCTTGCGCTCGTAATCCGTCCTTGAAACTACAACAAGAGCCGGGAGATATGGTATCGCACCCGTTGGGCCGGGAGGGTAGCCGAAGCAGCTGCTGGCAGGTCTGTCGATTCTACCGCGGCGCGTTACCAAGCGCCTGTCGCAAGCCCCAGAGCGCAGCAGCGGCAAGTTTATGGCCGTGCCAGCAAGGATATCGGTAGTTTGCTCTCGAGGGACTCCGGCAAAGAAGGAGTGCAGCAGAACAATGTCGATTGACGATGTGCGACTGGTGATGACAACAGCTCTACGCCGCACAAAGGCGTTGGACACTGTTCCCCCGAGATTAGTCTCGGTGAGACGCAAGGCTTTTTGTCAAATTGTTGCCCTCCACTATCATAGAGTGACAAGATCGAATTTCAACTCGTGGGCGGAAATCTCGGGTATGTAGACTCGTTGCGCGACGCTGGGATCACGGAGCGGCCGACGGAGAATAATCTGTGACTTTACACTCGGGACGATTAGCTTGGTCGCAAATACAAAGAGTCGGAAGCCGGACCACGGGCGTCCACAAAAAAAGAGAGAATAGAAGAAAGAAGCCCAGCGGCAGAAAACAATGGGAAAAGACGCGAAAACCGCAAGGCGCAATGGCCCATGAAGTTTGTAATGATCGCAGGTAGGAGGAACAAGAAAATACCTGACGCAACATGAACAATAAGGAATGTGAATGCAGTGACGGCGTTGGGGCTTCAGCGGCGTGCTGGACTTGACTCCTTGTGGATGGGCGCCGACGCTGGTTTAGGGGCCAAGCCTTCTGTTGGAAGGTGCAAAGGCCCACCTTGGCAAGAGGGAAGGAAGGAAGGGGCTTGGCTTTCCACGTCAGGGAAGATTGAATGAATAATGAACACGGAGTAGGTGAAGATGCGTCACAGGGCAGCTGCAGCCGTCAGGTACCACCTTGACTTGACGCTTGCACCAGACGCCTGCACCAGACGCCTGCACGATTGGAGGCTCCGGGCAAGACTCAATTTCCAGCCGCGGTTGACGCTTGTGGCCGGGACTGCAGCTGCAATGCTGGATCCCGTCGAGGCAATTGGCTGCTGCGTACGGAGTACGCGTGCAATACGTCGGTAGATCAGGTAGGCAGGCGTACCAGTCGGTCGGCTCCCCCACCAGCCAACTTTAGACGTGCCTACTAAAGTGGGATTACGGAATTGACCGGGGCTGCGCGACACCCAGAAGCCAAGACCCCGGTCCCAGGGTGCAGGGACGACAATGCGAAAGCCGGAGAGTGCCAGGCGGAATTTTTTAAAAAAAAAAATAAAAAAATAAAAGGAAAATAAATCCATAACAGAGGCAGCGATGGAGGCAGAGAGTTGTTCCCAACCGGCGCAAGGATGAACCCTGTTGTCAGTCGGGCAATTCCAACCCTAGGCCGGGTCACGCGTCTCCAGGAGCCACGGACAATGCCAACGGGTGGACGGACGCCAAGAGAGAGATACCGGCAGCCCCGGTGAAGACAGACGGTGCCTTCTCGACTGCGTACCTAGGCAGTCGACGAGCTCGACCAGGCCAGAAACAGAAATGCAAAGTGCGTCAGAAGCAGTAGCATTGAAGGTGTCGCCACACGTATTTAAATGCCTCCTCATGCGGAATACGAAGAAGCAGAAATACACCGAGCCATCGCTTGAGGTCCAACAAGACAGGAACAGAAACCAGCAGGAATAGAGACGACAATGAGCATCGTTGGAACTCACAAGAAGTATGTGCCACGGGGAGGGTCGAGCGGCACACCGGCGGGGTCAACCAAGGACGTTTGTTGTCTTTGCCCCCGACTTGATACCCTATCGAGTAGTCGTAGTAGTATAGCTGGAGTTTGTTGATGGCTATCGGCGTAATTTGGAAGCCTCTGCGTGCGGTCGGTGTGCAATGTGCTGTGTGCGCGCGCGCAAGCAGCGAGTGTATGTCACAACTACCTGGGCAGGTCTTTATATGGCGGTCCGGATGACTCGATGACAAACGGCTTTTGCGAGCAAGTTTGGACTAGAAAAAGCGGCCCGGCAAACGATTTCACAGAAGAGCGTGGAACTGGAGGCCAATTGGTTCTGCTGTGAAGAGAGTCGGTACGTGTTTATGTCTGGGGCAGGGCCGCCGTAAGCTGGGCTGTAGGATGGAGGAAATCCCCAGCTGAGACGAATGAGACAAAGGAAGTCACTGGCCGTCTTGATTTGCGAATCTTGGAGCCCGTGTTTTGACCTTGGGCAGTTCTCGGCGGATGTCTGATAGATGCGTGGTTGCGTACACGATGGCAGAAAGACGCCGCAAAGCCAGACTGCTGAATGAGTTGAGACGCCGACGAGATCTGCACACTTGAGAGCGATACTCGGGGAAAAGGCTCGTGTATCGACCAGACGGAGCTGTGCGGTTGCAGTTGCAAGCTCGGATGTAGTTGAAATTGGAGATGAAGTCGAGGGAGAGTGCAGGAAGGCCCAAGCTGCCTATGTACTCTGGACCAGCTTCAACCATATGCTTGGAGCTTGGGGCTTCTCGGACGGGGACCGGCCGGGTCTTGCCTTGGGAACTCGAGAGCTCGAGAGAAGAAATAATGATGATAGTCATAAGTAAACCCCCCCCCTCCCCCCCCCGGCGCCTTCGGCGTCCCCAAAAAGGCCATGGAAACACGATCCAAAATAGGTCTCGGAGGGGGGCTTGAAGCTCTCGAGCGAGGGGGGTGCAGGTTTGCTGGGCTTGGGAGTGTGCGTCTGCCTGCCGACAGTGCCTACCCAAGTACTTTAGCCAGAAGCTGACAGGTATAGTGCCATGTACTATTATGGCCATGGCTGCATCTGGGCTTGAATTGAATGCGAGAATTAAGACGTCAACGGGGCACGATTTAGACGTTGGAATGGGACTCTCTAGACTAGGCGACGATATAACACTGTTTTCGACTCCGTTCATCGCCTCAGTGAGGCAGACAATTCGGCCGCTGGTGAGACAACATGAGAGAATGAATGCCATTCATATCCCGCTTGGAAGCTTGCATTTGCCGTGCGGAGCACTCCGTCCTTCCTGAATGGCCACAGGCTTTACGAGTTCCCAACTCCCGTCTGGGGGGTTGTTGACGTATTCCAACGCTTGTCGAGATCGGTGCTGCAGAGAAACTCGCAGGTCCTATTCTGGGGTCGTTGTATTATTCCGTCTCGACCGCCAAAGCCTCACCTCACCTGCAGAGGTGTTGTCAATCAGTATTGGTGCCTGTCGGAGCGCCGGAATTGGGCCACTGCCAAGCATACCTTGAACCACAACCACAGCTTCAACCAGTAATTATTCAACTGCCATGCTGTTTCTCTTTGACAGCTCCAGTCCTTGCAATAGACCGCAACCAACTCGGCAAAGCACCAACCTAGTTACAGGCTAGTCGGAGCACCTGAGACCCTCAGAAACATGAATAACCCCAAGAACGGGGGAACGGAGCACAACTCACCTCGGATGCCACGCCTCATGTTGCTGCTGGCACCCATTCAGCCGTCAGGCCATCTCACACACGCCCATGGCACCCATCCTGCCATTGCCCCAACGCCTCGCCCCAGCCAGTCGTGGCCTCTGCTCCGCGAAAGCCGAACCGGGCTGGGACCGTCCCCGCAGTCCCGGTCCGGTCCTCGCGTCTTGATGTCGTGGGGGTGCAGGGGATGGATGCATAGATAATGCATGGATTGATGATGGGTGATGGGTCGCAGCCTTGGGTCGTGCGCACGAGGCGTTGGAAGTCCATCCAGCCATGCTCCGTAACTACATGGGGAGTGACAGACGAACAGATGGCAGTCCTAGTACTCCGTAGTACTGCCACTAGTAGTACTCTGTACCTGCGGCGGATCCTGCCATCGTGACGTCCGAGCAACTTCAGTGCGTGCTGCTCCCGCTGCTCCAAGTGCCATGCAAGGTTCGTGGCAGATTTGCGCGGGACTGCCGGAGCCAAGCCACAGTGCCCACAGTGTCCACAGTGCCCACAGTGCCGGTTCCACGACACCGCCAGCACCGCCAAGGCGAGGCAAGGCAAGCAAAAGCAAAGCAAAGCAAAGCAAAAGCTGCGAGAACCCTGAAAGACGCCGAAAGGCGGGCTACAATCGGCCTGCACGGTAGGTCGGCCTATGTCTGTCATTTCCGTGCCCGGATATACGAGTGTATGTGTTGGCTGACAATGGATTGCAGCAAGTTCTCTGTAGGTCGGGCAAGTTTGTTTTCGCTCAAGCTCAAAACTTCTCCAGCTGCATATCATTGACGCCTCGACCAGCCTCCCGCTCATCAGCCCCTTCCGACGCCTTGACTGGCACGTATTTTAAGTCCGAGTCAACGGGCAGAAAGTGGCTTATGCTTGTACGCTTCCCTCCATCGGTTGAGTGAGAGCTAGACAAACAGTCTATAGATTGCATCTCACTACTCCGCAGACGTCATATCGCAGCATCAATCC